TGATCTTTTGTCTTCCATAGGAAGGGAAGAAAATGTTATGGAGATAAGAGGTGAAGTGCGTGGGTTTTCTCACTCAACAAAACTCTGGAGGTGCAAGGAAATGTGTAGGCAACAGATTTGTAGGGAGAATCGTCAATAGATGCTGAGGAAGAGTGAAAACTGCAGGCTCCCACCCCCTTCCTCAGGTTAGGCAGTGAGGGAGACATTGTCCCCACATGCGACAGGCTAGGGGCTGCCTGTGGGTGACAGAGCAGGAGGTCTCTGGTCCCCCAGGCACTGACTGTCCCTCTTACACTGGCTGATCCCCCAAAGGAAGGCTCCCGAGGCTGATTAATGTGCTCCGCAAATCCCTGCAAGGGGCTCAAGAGCCACCGCCTGTGAGCCTCTCCCTGTCTTGGTGGCCACAGCAGCTCCGAGACAGCTTCCGCCCAGCGGTGTGGCCCCAGGTCCCTCAGCCCTCCAGGACTAAACAGCCCAGCCAGACGCATGCTCTGCCCCCGAACCTCCCTTCACTTCTTTGCTCCTCTCCCCCTTTCCTGAGGCCCACCCCTACAGACCATACGAGGGCCTGCTCTGTGCCCAGCTGTGCCCTCATGCGACCCTCCCTCCGTCCTGCCTTCATGCTACCCCCCACTCGCCGCCCCCCCCCCCCCAAGAGGATGCACTCCAGAGGCCAGTTCTAGAGCAGGTACAGGGATGGCTCCCTGCTCCCGACTCTCTTCATCCCCCAGAAAGACAAGGAACTCCAGTGGTACACCCATCTTTGGATGAGCTCAAAACCAAAGTTCAAGCCCAGGCGCCATTTATGAGGGGATAGAGCCAGGGGCAGGTTGACTATAGAAATGGACAAAAGAAAGGCTTTTGTAAGCCACCTGCCCTTTGAAATGGGCTTTTCTGTCCCAATATGGGTTCTAAACAGGTTTGCAAGGTAACGGGCAGCATATGGAGTGCCAGCGTGCGCTGAAATGCATAAAACCTCCTCAGCTGCCTGGAGGGGATGCGACGCTGTACCAGGGGTGCTATTCCGCTCCTTCCGCACTTGCCTTGGGGGAACGTGGCCCTCCCGGGAAAGTGAGTCTCTCACCCTAGGCAAGATCGCAGCTTTAAAAAATTTAGTGCAATTCTTTTTATATCAGATGGTTATATTTAAAGTAGCCAAAGGCCTAGATTTACATCGTCTTGGTTAAATTACTCATCACCTATCTCTCGTCTACAAACTTTTTTTCATTTTCTGAAGGCTCGGTTTGCATAAAGAGTTTGAGTTTTCGTTTTCCTCCAGCCAAGTATGTGCTCATTTATGTCATGGGCATTTTAATTGTGTTTCCACCTGCCTGGATTAACAATCAGCAAACATCCCCACTGGTCCCTCTGCCGGCCCATACAGTCTGCCGTGAGGTGCGGGGGCCTGGGTGGGCGCCTTTCTCCCATAAGAAAGTAAAACCCAATAGGCTAGAAACGCATCCTGGCTGACAGCCAGCACGTGCCAGGCAGGAAGAAGTTCCGACCCAACACATGGTAGGGCAGAGTCATGAGAGCAGCAGGATGTTATAAAAAACATTGTTATTAATGTCTACTATTTATTGAGCCCTTGATACACACCAGCCACGTGCTTACTGTGTGTATCTTCAAAATAATTCTGTGATGCAGGCATCAGGCCCACTCCCTGGCTGAAAAAACTCTGGTTTAGAGAAGTTGTGACTTGGCAAATGTCCCAGAGCTGGTAACTGGCAGCCGGGGCTCTCTGACAACACACCCCTACGGCTGCCTGTGTTTACTCATTTGTAGCCCACCTCATCCCAAACACTCTGAGGCAGCTCAGAGGAAGCTGGGTGATACAGCAAAACACCACAAATCACCATGGTGAGAAAGGTACTTTAAGGGGACTCAGAAGGCAACAGGGTGTCATGTAACACATGAACCTCACTCAGGGCTCTGAGCTTCCTAGCAGCCAAAGCAAAGAAAGGCTACTCTCTTCCCCCCAGTTACTGGTGTTGGTAGCATAAACACAAATCAAACACAGACCTAAGGCCCAACTTTTCCTAAATTCAAGTCCAAAAACAAACAAATGCCTCCCAAGTGACCTCTCAGGGAGGCTGGAGTGTACCAAAGGAGTGTAACAATAGAACAATTGAGGCATCTCAGCAGCGCAGGTGCCCAGGGTGGCGCTGGAGGCGTGGGGACGGGGAAGGGACGGGAGGGGCCATTGGCAAGCCCAGCCTCTCTCTCTGCTAGGCAATGGCAGCTTAGACTGGGGAACCCAATTTCTGTGCAGATTTGATAGTTCAAGGAAAGGAAGAAGGAAGGATGGAGCAGAGAAAGTGAGCCAGACTCTGGTTGTATGAGGCCTCGGCATTTCGACAAGGAACTCAGGAGCTGAGATGGCTCCTCAGGGGTGCCCCAGATGGAGGTCAAGGGGCCCAGCCTCAGTGCCTCCTCTCCATCAGCCAAGCACTGACCACAGGCCAGCCTCCAGGAGGGGCCTTAAACCTGAGTGCGGCAGCTCCCCTCGGCGGAGGGCGATTCCCAGGGAGGGACAAAGCTGTGAGAGCATCTGGGGGATGGACGTGTCAGCCCTAAAGATGGGGTCTAGGCAGAAACCACAGCAGCCACTACAAAGAGCCTTTGGGTGCAGTGTTTGTGACCGAGAACCCTCGCAGTCCATGGGGAGCTTTCCAGCCACAGAGCTCTTTTCTTTTTTTTTTTTTAATTTGGAGAATGAGAGAGTGTATGCACATGAGCAAGTGGGGGAGGGGCAGAGGGAGAGAATCTCAGACACACTCCCCACTGACTGTGGAGCCCAACACTGGGCTCCATCTCACCACCATGAGATCGTGACCTGAGCCAAAAATCACAAGTCAGGCACTCAACTGACTGAGCCAGGCAGGCACCCCTCCAGCCCCAGAGCTCTTGTGGGGGCTGAGACATCCTCCAAGGATACAGGCCTCCCACCTGGGCCTGGAAAAGGCAGGCACTAGGACCAGCCAAGACGGCCTTGGAACCTAGCCTTGGCCGTGCCACACCGGGTAGACAGGGCTGGAGCCCCTGCTCCTGTTAGCAAGGGCAGCAGTAATTTCGGCCTGGAAACTTCAACGGCCACCTAAGGCACACCTACCTACACACACACACAACTTCAGAAACACAAGGCCCATCAAGCGCCTGGCTTTAGCAGTATTATTGCTTCCTGGTGAACCTGCCAAGGTAAACTGTTAGCTAAGCATACAAGGAGGAGGCAGAATGAGGGAACGAGTTGGGTGGTGCCTGTAAGAGGAAACCTGCCAGGGTTAGGAGAAAATGGCCGTGGCCTTCGACCCAGACTTTGTAGGTTGCCAGTGACGCGATGGAGGAGAGTGTCACGAGGGACCAAGAGCACACCCTGCTGGGAAGGCTGCAAGGGCTCGGGGAGGGAAGCGTGGGACCCGGAGTGTAGGCCTGGGACAGCTGGGGCTCTCAGGCCCAGGGAGCTCAAGACGGGGAGAAGGTGGGGAGGACAGAGCAGCCCCATGAGAATTTTCATTCCCTGACCTGGGCCCAGCAGGGGCCTGCTCCCCACGCACAGTGGTGACAGAAGCCTGTCACTTTTCTTAATGGAGGCCTGGTCTCGGAGCCTCGCGGAAGGCAGGATCCCCGGCCCCATTCCGACTCGTTTTGGGTCTGCCTGGCCTCACCTAGCTACCCTGGCGCCCAGCGCAGGTGCGGTCGGTTCAAATCTGATGAGATGAACTCTTTAAATAGCTACCCTCATGGATAATCAATTATTTCAGAGCTTTAATACTAAATCAGGCCATTGGACACGTTTCGGGGGCACAACTGCTGTATCTGAGCCAAAAACTGCCCTTTCTCTTTCACTTTGCAAAGCAGACATGTCATGTTAAATCCCTAATGGTCTAAGACAAGTCTCTTCTGACCTAAAAAAGAAAAAAAGCTAAAGAGGAAGACTCTCCAAGATTTGTATAGGTAATTTGTAGATCTTTTCAAAGCAGGCTCTTCATTTGAAGGGTATAAAGGATCACAAAATAGAGCCTCTTCTGGCCATTTAAAACAAGTGTCAGCTATAAATATTTCTTCAAGTCGGGATTAAAATAATATATACACAGTAGCCGTGGTCACACTTTTCAGGTGACCTACAGTTAAAAGGTCCTAGCAGGGAGAAAATTTAAGATGTGGATAAAGTTTCCGCTGACAGATCTCTTGGAAACCCCCAAGAAGCCCGCTCCAAAACTTATAGCCAGGAAAACAAACCATCCGCAAACCTGCAGAGCTGGCTGAAATCACAGCCGAGCCTCAGCCTTGCTGGTCAGCCTGGATCTCTCTCCCGTGTGCACAGGTTAACACGGCCGCGAGCCCGAAAGCAACCCTCCAGGCTGTGTCCCCCGACCCCGCAGACTCCCAGGGTCTCCCTGAGCACCTGTTCTCCCAGACACCTCTCTGACCACTCCCTACGCTTCTCCACAGAGTCTGTTTCCTCGAACTCGAATGCCAGTGATTCCCGAAACTTCTCTTCCTCGCCCTCTTTGGGTCTCACCCTGTACTCGCCCCATGGGATCTCGTCCACTCATTGGCTTCAGCTACCAGTGTGCTGGCCTCATCCACTTTCCTATCTCTGGCTCAACTCTCTCCCTAACTGCACTTTTGAGTCCCATGCTCCAATGGACAGGGCCACCCGGATGTCCCTCCATCAGCTCAGTGGCTACCTGCCCAACTCTGACTCCTCACTGATGCCCAAATCCATACCACCCCTCCCCCATCTCATCTTCTCCTGAGGCATCACCATCCACCCAGGTGCCCAGGCCACAGGCCGGAGAGACCTCCTCCCAGGATCCCCTCTCCCCCAGCCCTCCGTGTGACAGCAATCCGTCCTCCAGATACAGCATGTCCTGTATCCCACCACCACGTCCCTGGGTGGCCAAGGCCACCCCCTGCCCGGCCATGCTGCCTCTGAACCCTTCCACTCCCACAGCCGGGGTGACCTTTGTAGAACACAAATGAGACCTGTCACTCACCGGATCTGATGTCTGCAGGATCTGGCCTCCGCGGGGCTCCTTCATCTCCTGCCACGCCCCTGCTGGCCAGACCCAAGAGCGGTTGCCTCTCCCTTCAGGTTTTTGCCCAGGGCCGCGCCTTCTGTTCTACTTGGACACAAGTCAAGAAACAAAAGCCAGCTCCCATTTGTGGGGCTTGGAGTCCTCCCAGGCCCAGGGACTGCCACCAGGAAACCTGACTCCACCTCCCAAATCCCCTCCTCTCTCCAGGGGGTGGGCTGTGCAGGAGAGACCAGGCTGGGCCTCCCCCCACCCCCCAACCAGGCAGGGCTGCACACAATTGAGCAAAGATGGAGCATGGTTTTGATAAAGAAGAGGAGACACAGCTGCTCCTTATCTTCCCATAGGCCCTCGTAAAGACCTTCTCGGAAGTTCTGAATTAGTAAAGGGGAAAGTGAGGATTTTACTGTCCAGGCTGCGTTTTCAAAACTATCATTCTCTATCATTCTCCAGTTGCCTGCTCAGCTTCACAAAAGCCATTGAATTACCAAGTGCCCCTTTAAAAATGTCTTCGTGATGAGGATCTCAAGGATACTTGTGTAGGGGCGCCTGGGTGGCTCAGTTGGTTAAGCGTCTGCCTTCGGCTCAGGTCATGATCTCAGGGTCCTGGGATCGAGCCCCGCATCGGGCTCCCTGCTCCACGGGAAGCCTGCTTCTCCCTCTCCCATTCCCCCTACTTGTGTTCCCTCTCTCACGTGTCTCTCTCTGTCAAATAAATAAATAAAATCTTTAAAAAAAAAAAAAAAGGATACTTGTTTAGCTTCCAGCTGCAAGGACTTCCCAGGTCACCCAAGTCCGTATGCGGTGGAGGCCCATCAGAGTCTGGGGACATCCAGTGGCGGGGAGGGGGGGCCAGCTCAGGGGATCTATCCCCAGGCCGTGGTCCGGCGGCACCCTCCTCAGGATCCCCATTGCCAGTGGCCCAAGCCAGGCTTTCTCTGTCCCCTCAGGTGGAAGTCATGGTCAGGATGGTGGAAGGTTCTCTCCACTCAGTCCTCACCTGCACATTTGACCTCTAGGAGAGCCTGGAAAAGGGGGATCTTCCCAATTTTGCACGCGAGGGAATGGAGGCCCAGGGAGGTGAGGGTTCCTGTTCCAGCTTTCACACTTGGCATGTAGCAGCGGGTCAGGGATTCTGATCAAGGACCCCGGTCTGTACCGTCCATATTCTACCCCTTGAGAGTCCCTGACTTCGTGTCCTTGAACCTGCAAACAGAAATTTAACACACATAGGGAAGGGGAGGGGGGGATTAGTATGAGCTGTTTCCAAAGGAGGATTAGATCCTCTTTTGGATCCATTTTAATACACTGCCACGTTTTCATGACTAGCCTGGATTTCTCTGAGTCCACTTATCTTTTTATAGTTTGACCTTTACACAGGAAAAACCTCAATGATTTTCCACTGTTTTGAATAAACTGAAATGTATGTATTTTTCTGAATGATTACAGAATGAAACACAGGGCCTGTCACCATCAAAGTCCTTCAGGAGTAATTTCCTCTGGAGGACAGGGCTCACAAAACTACCCCCTCGTGATGGGGCTCTCGCAGCCATTGTTTATCTTCCAGCTGCAAGGACTTCACCACTCATGGTCTACACCCGAGGAGAGGAGAGCTTTGTCCTGGATTCAGGGGCAGGAGCAGGGCTGGGCCCCCACCTGCAGCCCACAGAGTAGCCAAAGCTATGGAGGCCAGGGCAGGAACACTGGGCCCCAAGGTGAGCTGACCAGACAGAGAGCATCACCAGCTCCCTCGAGGGCATTCCCTGAGCTCAGGTCCGATAGGCCGTCTGTTGACAGAGAGCAGGTGGTCCCCACAGGCACTCTGCCCAGAACTGGAAGGAAATAGAGGGCAGTGAGAAAAGCATTCACGGTGTGAGCTGGGGCAAATCACTTCAACCTTCTAAGCCTACTTTCTTTTCCATAAAATGGTAAAAAAAATCGTGGTTACTTGTAGGATTGTTAGGAAGTTAACAGAGTTAAGCTGGTGAGTACATAGTAGATGCTCAATAAAAGTGGCTCCATTTCCTCTTCAAGAGCCAAAACGTTTTAAAGAACGACTTCCTGACATAAAACGTACGCTGCCTTGCCTTCTTAAGCAGTGGAGATGGAACATGATTTCACAATGTCTTCATAACTTGGGGATCCTCTTCACAAAAATATGAGAATCACAGAATATCAGGCTGGCGTGGGAACTGGGAGCCTGTCCAAGCTGATCCCTCACCATGATGATCGCACACAGTTGAGATTTTTTCTGAGCCACTTACGTTGTACCTTTTCTCTTGATTTTGATTTTTTCTCTTTCAGTTCAAATCAGGTAACAATGTTTATTAGAACTGTGTGTCAAATAAAAGCAGGTTGGCTCTGAGTGAGGGCTTGAGGGTGTCTCTTTACAAAGCAGAACACGCTAGTATTGCAAGTGCTGTGGTGGCCGTTTTGACTGCGCAGAAACGTTTTCTGTTTACTTCCGGATTCACTGCTATGTTTTGGGAGGTAGATGTGGCTGGAAATCTGTTGAATTTCCTGATCTTGACCTTTTATATACATTTGGTGTTAAGTGGTTTGATCTCTTGTGGGACGAGGGGGCTGTCATGCTGGTTGTGCCGCGCCCCCCCCCCCCCACCGCGTGTCTGGCAGCCAGGGATGGCAGCATATCTTGGCACCGGGCATTGGGCCAGCAGGCACTCATGGTTCTTAGCAGGCTGCTGGGGGGTAACTTAACAGTCAGTGAAATCTGCCACGTCCTCACCGTCCACTCATTCCTCATAATCTGTACTTCGTGCCCTCTCTTCCTATTGCGTTCCCAGGAAGATGTGCAGCTCTCCCCAGAGTCTCGCTCTGGGCACAGCTCTGCCCAGTGGCAACTGCTTCTGCCTCCACGCATTGCATTTTCCCAGCATCCTCCTACCTCCTTTCCTCCTCCTTGTCTCCTTGCTGGTTCTAGGTGCCAGCCCTCCCCCCAAACCTATCTTTGGCTTCTCTTCTCAGCAAATGCCCCTTGGCTGCTCACAAACATCCTGATGCAAAAGACCCTTACCCACCTTCTGCCTCTGTGGCTCCCCCTGGTCCAGGCCCCCGTTCCCAGCTGCCTGCCACCTTCTCAAACTCATCATGTCCCCAAACACCTTACTTCCCCCCACACTCTCATTTCTGTGCAAGGCACACTGGCCCCCCCAGCGCCTCAATTTCCATTCCTCGCCCCCAGCTCCCACCCTCAGCACTTCCTGCTGGCTGCTCCACTGCGTGGGATCCCTAGGGCCTCGCAGCCACTTCCCCTGGGAGGGCATTAGGAATTCCGTTTCACAGAGTCAAAAACCAAGATAAAGCATGGGGCTTGCTTTAGTGGCCCAGGTAGTTTTCGGAGGATGTGGCACGTGTTGGCTGCGTGTTCCTCCATTGCTGGGCGTGGGCTCCATTTTCTTTGCTCATTATCCATCATCATTTCCACCTGCCCAACCCCAATTCTGGGGGCAGCCCAGCCTCAGTGTGGCCCCCATCCCTTCCCCAGTTCCCCCATTTCCACTCTTTACTCCCTACCCCTCCGTTCATGCCTGCTGGCGAGTGAGGAGGGACTCCAAGCAGAAAATCCTACAAACTCAGGCTTCCAGTTTGAACTGTGGTGGTCACTTTGGCAGGGGATGGTGGAGGGTGGCAGCCCCAGCTCTGACCCATCTGGCCAGGCAGCGTGACCCCCATAACTGGAGTGCCCCACTCCAACCCTGCAGTGGTGCCTGAACACCAGGTACCCAAGGACTTTGTGCCCGTCCCTGATCGCTGGACTGAGGTGGTGCCGGCAAGACAGGCCTGGGCCCAGGAAGAGGGGGACCAGGCTGACCCTCCCTGCGGGTCTGACTACCCGAGGGGCCGCACACAGGCCCATTCTGCCTGGACGCTGCCCTCCTCCATGGCCACAGGGGCCTTCTGGCCTCCGAGCGGTCCAGCCATATGGTCCAGTCCTGCTGGCTTCTCAAACGTCACACCTTTGGGCCCAACAGTTGCCACCTCCCATTCTGCCACAGGGGCAGTCAGGGAAGCCCCCTGATGCCCCACTGAGACAGAACTTGCTGGCATCTGCTGCAGAGCCCAAGCAGCTCCTGACCTGACTTTTTGGGAGCCGTGCTCCTGCCCTCAGCGGTCTTCACTCTGCCTGGACTCTGCATGGACGACAGGGCCAGGCCCATCGTGCTGCCGGCTCTATTTTACTTACACTGCTTGTAACAGGAGTGTTGGAGCCTTCCTCTGGCTTACATTGTAAGTCCTTCTCCAGGCCTGGGAAACTTCTGAATTAAAAAACAAAAAAACGGGCACCTGGGTGGCTCAGTCAGTTAAGCATCTGCCTTCAGCTCAGGTCATGATCCCAGGGTCCTGGGACTGAGCCCTGCATCGGGATCCCTGCTCGGCGGGGAGCCTGCTTCTCCCTCTCCCTCTGCCACTCCTCCTGCTTCTGCTTGCTTGCTCTCTCTCTCTCTGTCAAATAAATAAATAAAATCTTAAAAAAATGAAAAACCCAGGATCTACTCCACTATAGCCATTGAAGGCGGTAGAGAAACCGGTAAAATGACTCTCCGCTGAACCCTGCTGCAAAGTGAGGATTTGCCGCCAGGAACTCTCTGGGCACTCACAGCTTTCTATGCGTCTCAGGCGTCCAAAGACAGGCTGGTTTACATCCAGTAGCTTCTCCACTGTTTATTCTTCTTTTTTAAAAAGATTTTATTTATTTATTTATTTGACAGAGAGAGAGAGACAGCGAGAGAGGGAACCCCAGCAGGGGGAGTGGGAGAGGGAGAAGCAGGCTTCCCACTGAGCAGGGAGCCCGATGCGGGGCTCCATCCCAGGACCCTGAGATCATGACCTGAGCCGAAGGCAGATGCTTAACCATCTGAGCCACCCAGCTTCCCCTCCACTGTTTATTCTTAACCCCTTCGCTTAGAGGTGCCATATTTAGTATATAAAAATATAGGACAATCCTACCCCTGAGGTTGGGGGGGTGGGCAGTGGTGAGGCCGGGAGACGAATTCATGCATTATTGGTGCCTGATCCTCAGAGTGGCATCTGGAATGACAACACCAACCATGTTCAGGTTGGTGGGGCGGTCCTAGGTTTGTGGACGACAGGGCCCAACCCCCCAGCTTTCCCCATCCCCCTCTCCCCTGAGCCCTCCCTTCCCAAATAGCACCCATGGAGTCGGCAGTTTGTCATACCCTCACCAGACTTGCTGGGCATTTGTGAGCTCCGGGCACTGAGCTGTGCATCTTCTGAGTGCTGTCTTCAGTCCTCATGAGCTGGTGTTGGGGGGCAGGGGACTGTCTCTCCAGGGTCTTCACGGTGCTTGATTCCCACAGCACTCAGGCAACAGGCAGGACTCGTCTTCATGCCCCACCTCGCACATAGGGTCGGGGAGGTCATGAGGCTCGCCTGAGTGGGGACTAAGCTCAGCCTTCTCTCCCGTGGGTGTAAAACCTCTGTCAAGGACATGAGACTTGGGGGAGAGAGCTGGTGGGCCCTTCAGCAGCCAGGACAGGATAAGAAGCACATAACCACAGTCACAGCAAGCACAGGCTCTGAGCCAGACGCTGTGACAGGACTTTGTGTTGCATTTTATCCTCAGGACACCTTGATCTGGTGTGACTGACATACTATTCAAATCCCCACTTCTGAGAGGAAGAAAAGCAAGGCCCAGAGGGAAAACCTGACTTACCCGCAGCCTCCCAGCTAGGCGGGAGACCCGCTGCTGTGCCCGGAGGCAGCGCCCCTGCTCAGAGCTCCACATTTCAGACGCTCCGGCCCCCAGCACAGACCCAGCATGGCTGGGACAGGAGGGATCCAAACACCCTGCCTTTGCCATGAGCAATGTCTTGCTTGCAGATGCTTCCCCCCTCCTGAGGGCTTGATGTCCAGGCCACGGCCTTCAGCCCTCCCCCACTGCACCCTTCCCCTCTGCCAGCATCTCAGACTTCAGGAGCCTCCAGAGACCCTGCCTGCCTGAGCCCAGGACTTCATTTCTCAGGAAAGTCATTCCCTGCTGGGACCAAAATGAACCCTCTAGGGATTTTTTCAAACAAAATGGTGAAACACAAAGGATCTTTAGAGCAGCACAGGAATCTGCACTGAGTAATTGAGGATGAAAGGCGACTGCAGACCAACTGTAAAATGCAGTGCCTGCTGGAATCCCCCCCCCAAAGCCTGCCGGGAGGACCACTAAAGACCGGTCAGCATTGTTACTGAGGGCCCCTCCCCCTCCAGGCCCCCTCCCACCATCTACCTACTGGCAAGGAGGTGGGGGCTTTGTGAGACCGGACACAAGTCTGCCTAAGCAGAGCCCTTCGGTGAGCACGCCATCATAGGGGCCACGGCAGACCCTTCTAAAATGAAGTCCAATAATACAACTGTATCAACTCTTCTAATGCTTCATAACCTCCCCTCTGCCTCTGGGCAGGTCCATCCAGAATTTCTTCATGGCAAAAGCAGAAAACTGGAAGATTCGATTGTTGTCACTGAGAGTTGCGAAAACGCTCCCACTACGTTGCAAAAGGTGTTTGTCGTTTTACGAATACGTTTCCCATTTTTGGTTTGTGAGCTGTTATTATCCAACTAGCAGCAGACATACCCAGGGGGTGCTGGGAATGGGTCCTTGCCCGCCCGGAGTTCTCAACCCAGGGGAGACAAAGCCACGTTTGAGCTCTTTATGTGCAAAATGTACCAGGTGCTGTCTAGGCAGAGCGGAGAAATCGAACACAGCCTCTTCCTGAGGACAGGCCAGACACGCTGAATGCCTGCATCCTGGTCCGGAGTGACTCATTCAGCAATGAACTGATCAAATCAGAGCTTATTCCAGGTTTCACCCAGATCTTAGTGGGCGTGTCTGTCATTCTTGCCCAAGCTTTGCCTCTCACAAAAAAATGTCAAAATCCATCTTTCCCTTCTAAATGTTTAAAAAATATCCCATTTCCCCAAAAGTTTCCTCTGCCTCTCTTGCTTTTTTTATAAATTCATGACTGATTAGTCAAGAATTGACATAGTTGGTCCATTTCAGTAGTCGAACCTACGTCATTGATTATGTTGCCCTTCTGACCTTGGATTCCAGGAAGCTCAGAGCCAAAAGTAGACCTTGGTCACAGAAGTGAGGATAGCCATTACAGTTAACAAAACTTGTATTCTCTTTTCTTATTGAGTTCTGATTTCCCATTTCAATTTTAATAACCCCACTGTCGTATCTTTTGTTAAAAACCTCTACAAATCCTTTTTTGATAAGAGGAAAGAATAAATGAAGTCAATTTTTAGAAAGGAATCCTCTCAAATATTCTTGCAAGAGAAGTTATTGATCATTTAAACTATCCTTTTCCAAGGAAGATAGCCTTAATTTACGCCTATGAGCAAGGTTCTCTGCACTGCCACGATGCTCAGACATGAATTTGGTAAATTGATGGGGACAGTTCTCATTGCCTATGGTCTGTTTTCCCTTAAGTGCCCTTAGCAACCTATGTGCAAATCAATGTATCTTGCCAAGATACATTTACGGTTAAGCAATAATTATAATGTGCCTGGACCTGCACCTCAAACCTTTCACCTCAAGCAGGATCCATGTCCCTTTGATCTCCTCCTGATCAAGCTTCTGCCCCAGGACAGGCCCTCACACTCCCAATTTCTCTGAGAAGTAATTTGAAGACCACATTAATGAGCAAACAGCCTGGAACACCCATCTGATTTTAGAAGATTCTCTCAGGCGAGCATTAAATCCTCAGTCTCCGCCACCCACCCCCCTGCCCTCATGTGCGGCTGCGACCGACTAGCTGATTGTGTTCTGCAAATGTTTGTAAATTTCAGAGGCCGTGTCTCCTCCTCCGCGCTAGGGTGAGCTTCCACCCGCCCTGAAACTGTGTTTTCTGAGTCTTTTGTGTCTCCTAATGGTGCCTGGAACATTTTGCACATGATAAGGAACTCAAATAAAATGAACAATAAGCGTCCCCAACCAGCTAGAGCTTTTTATGAGGCTCTCAATGAAAACACTGAACCGCATCAACGTCTGATCAAGGCAAACATCTGGAGATGCCAGTGGCAGGCGCCCAATTATGCTGAGGCTGATGAATGGGCATGGAGTTCTTTGGGGCTCGGCAGCATCACTCAGCTGGGCCCGCTGCTACTTAGGCAACAGGCTTCCCCCTCCCGGCATCCCATGCTGGTCTGCAGGGGCTGGGAATGCTTGCAATCCACCGACCAGCCCAAGCGCCCCCAGCCACCCACCACCACGGGTCTGTTGCCCTGTCCCTGAGGAAGAGGAGGGCCAGGTTAAATGCACTTTCCCATTCACTTTTCCATTTCACAGAGAATATCTTATTTTCTCTACAAAAGTCTTAATTATACCATAGGTACCATCAAATGGCACTAAGTGATAACTAGATGTTCAAGAGGTTGACATGTATATTTTTCAAGTAGCTCCGTGATTTATTATCTAATTTAGGTAAATGGCAAATAGTGCTATCATAATAGCCCCCTTTTCTTCTGGTTTCCGCCTCATTGTCTCTGGGTATAGAATAAGAGATGAATCATCAAACGAGCCCCCTGGGAAGAATGACAGGCTGGCTAAGAGCATAGACCCTCACAACACAGCCATGGGGCTGCAGATCCCAGCCTTGCGGCTGACCAAGGGCAAAAGCGGTGACCTCTGAGGCCTTCTCAGACTAGGACTGGGTTGAGAATTGAGTGAGATAAGGCTCGTGGCACTGCGTGTGGCGCTTCGTTGTACCCCAAGCTGCCACGTTCATCTGAGTGTAGCTGGGTTCGCGATGGGAACGGACCATAAGACCTCCCAGACAGAATGATTCCGTTCGTCTCCTTTAATGAAGCCTGGCCAGGTAGCCGGGGCCAGGCAGCTGGCAGGTGTGGGAACCGTGCCGGCCAGGCCAGCAGGACAAGAAGATGCAGGGCAGCCATTGAGTCCTAAGGCTGTGACCCCAAACCCTCATCATAGCGCCTGTCTTGGGGGAAGAAACCTTCCTGCCTGCTCCCAAAAGCTAGAGATTAAACAAATGATAAATCCCCAAAGTTAAAAACCAAACCAGAAGAAGAGGGAAATCCCATTTTCTGAAAGTTACCACATATCTGGCTAAAAGCCAGGTCTACCCCAGCTTGGCCCATAGGGCCCAGCAAGTCTGCACTCGTGTGACTGGGGTGACAGAGAGGAAACTCACAGTTTCCCCGCTTCTAGTGTTGCCAAGAACAGGGTCTCCCACAAGGTTCCAGGTCCCAATCAAGTGCCAGTGACTTTTTGTTTCCAATTTGGGTGGAGAGCTTTCTTTTCTACGTTGTATTCTTGGAAACATCGTTTCTCGCCGTCATGATACCCCCAGGTTCTGTACTGGGCTGAGCTGCAGACACACCAGCTTCCGGGAGCTCGTGCCTCAGTGGCGGGTGGGCCAGGGACACAGGGGACTCCTCTCTTCCTCCTCCTTGAGAGATCCTGACCTGACCCTGCAGTCCTGCTACCAAAAGCCCTTTGCCAGACCCTCCTCGTGCACCACCCCCTGCACACCCATCCTTGCGTTTCCCAAGCTGTGGTCATGAGGATTCCAAGAGAAAACAGAGAAACCAGGCCAGGGCGGGTAACGTGCCCGCCACCCCAGCCATGCTGACTCCTGCCAGCCAGGACTGGTGCTCCCTGCGAAATCAAGTGCATGGGCTTTCCAACAGCTCTGCTCCTCAAAGCCCATGGCCCCTCTGACTCCCGTATAACTCTTCTCTTCTAAGGACGGAGTCTTCCCTCCTCCCTTACAGGAAGATCCAGTGGAGTATTCTCCAGGACGTGATGCCCAGCCCTGGTTTTGAAATGAGCCTGGGGTGAATTACCACACAAGTGATCAGACATCAGCAAATCCGTTCTAATTCACTCCCTTTAAAACTTTTGTTTTCTATACAGGATTAGGTTAAAAAAGAATTTAATCACACCAAATCCACTTCCAAAATGGTTACAAAGCCTAAGATCAAGAGGGATGATCAGAAGAAAAGACTAAACCCCTGGTGTTGAGAATTCAGGTTTGGTACTTAACTGATCAAACCAGCCTTCCTGACCCCGAGGAGCAGCCTTCCTCCAGGCTGGGGGTGCTGTCTTCGGTGTTCTCGAGCACAAATGAAGACAGGCAGAGGTGAGAGGGGGGGAGACCAGTTCTGAGGTGCAGCAAATTGGCCCTGGTGTCTACTGCGAGCCAGGTGCTGTTCTGGGTGTCGCGGATCCAGTAGTGAACAAAACAGACAGGAGCAGTGCCTTCGTGGAGCTTTACCTTCTAGTGGAGGAAGAAAGACAACATGGAAATGCATCCTGGGTTAGATGGTGATACTTTGGAAAGAAACGTGGAGCAGGGTAAGAGCATAGAGGGTGATGGGACGGGGCATTAGTTTGCACATGGTGGTACTGGCTATTCCGAGGGGGTGGCATCTGAGCAGGGACCTGAAGACAGTGAAGAAGGGGGACATCTGCAGGCAGGGTGTGACAGTGGGAGCCATGACCTGGGGCCAGAGGTAGGCGGGCACTGTGTGTGCAGCACCCTGATCCAGCATCTACAAATCCACTCTCCAGCTCATCATCGTACGGGAGCCAAGCCTCCTCACCAGCAAGTCAGCAGAGTGCGTCTCTGCCCGAAGAGCCATTCTTGCCCTTCTCAGCAGCTTCTTGGAAGCCTCCTAACTCAGCACTCATTGGCTTCCCAGGAGAATGATGTTCCAATTTAGGGTTGCCCAATCAGGAAAGGTTCTAGCCAGCCATTGCCTTAAACACTCCGTCGTGGCACCCACGGTGCTACATAACCAATCAGACCATTAGAAGGACCCCCCATATCTGCCACCAGCATAAACCTGTCCACTGACCTCATGAGGGCCCTGCTCTGCAGGGCTCCTACAGCTGGTGTCTAGATGAAAAGCCCGACCGAGTCATGATTCTGGCCTAAAGCTTGTCCACAGACTATGACAAATGTACTCTCCAGAGTCAATCCCAGGCTCAGACCTAGCACCTGCATTCAGCCCCCTTTCTGGAACTGGTACGTCTCACACCATCCCCATTTTCCAGGAGAGAGAAATGAGGTCTACCTGGAGAGGTGGGCTGCCTTATCACTCAGGGTTCAATCAAGGAGGCAGAACCACTGTAAGTGTGATGGAATAAGGAATTTATTATAAGAGTTAGACCTTAGGGACGCCTGGGTGGCTCAGTCGGTTAAGCGTCTGTCTTCAGCTCAGGTCATGATCCCAGCGTCCTGGGATCGGGTCCCACATCAGGCTCCTTGCTTGTCAGAGAGCCTGCTTCTCCCTCTACCTGCTCTGCCTGTGCTCCCCCTGCTTGTGCTCTCTCTTTCTGACAAAAAAATAAATAAAATCTCTTTAGAAAAATAAATAAATAAATAAGAGTTAGACCTTAACAATTGTGAGAGGAGCTAGGGGAGCAAGAGCCCAAGAGGGGACGTGGTGGATCTGAGGACGGTCATTAGCCAGCCCTAGTGTGGGTGAAGGGGTGTGGAGGCTTGCACAGAGGTCTGGAAGGCAGGCCCATATAGCGAAGGGAGGCTGGGGTAGGAGCCTATGGAACATCACTGGCTCTCGGTGCCACTGCCTCTAAGTTTGTGGAAAAGGGTCTGGTGTGGGCCTGGGATTGCTGTTGGTCAACTCAGCTGGCATGTGGGAAGGAGGCCGGGACAGAATGTTCCATCGAATGCAAAAGTGACACATGCAGTCACAATCACCCAAAATTCTGATTATTATTTTAGCCCTATGTGATTCCCAAACCACCAGTCAGAAGAGAGTCTGTCCCACTCAGAGCTGGCCAGAAGTTTGCCATGTACTTGAGCTATGTAGCTGAGAGTTTTCGGATTCTCAGGCACAGAAGGGGCAGGAATAGCCAGCCCCACACACTGGCTATTTGCCCAGGTTCAGTTTTGGACAAGGAGGTATTCCGGGTGTCTGGGCACCTTTGTCAGGACTTGAAGGATGAAGCATAGTGGGATGAGGCTGAGGCATGCATGTGGCCAGTCTGAAAGATGCCCCTGTCTGTGTCTGGAACACATGAGTGAATGTACCTAATAATGGACAGTACTAGAAAAGTTCGTCTCTCCCACTTAACCTTTTTAAAACTATCAGCAAAAGGGTTCCTCTTGTCTGAGTCTAATCCAACCACCACTGTTGTCTAACTCACTGGACCAGCTTCTGTATCTTGACAAATGTTACTTTAGAGCCACCCTATTGAATTAGGAGCTGCTTATATCTGATTTACCCTGTAACAGGGTTAGGTCCATTTCCTAGGATGTAGCAGAAGGGCCTGATGGTCACCAAGCTGATCCATAATTACCTCTTAAAATTATAGTCCAAATGGGTCATGTCAACAAGGTCCCCCAACTAAGGGGGCACCCCAATCGAGCTGGGCAAGATTTGACAAGCAGCACCACAGCAGAACCCACGACACCCTCCCCCAGGGCCACACTGCATGTATTTGAGGGTCCCCCTTCCAGAGGCCACTTGCCAAAGGTGAGAAGTGGGACCAGAAGGCTCTGTGGCAGGGTGGACTGAGAAGAGCTCTGGTTTCAGAGTCCGACGGAGCCGGGTTCCAATCCCACCTCCTCCGTGGTGGTCTTGGGGAGCGCACTTCCCCTCTCTGAGCCTCAGTCGCCTCATCTGTAAAATAGGAACAATAGTAGCTACTCTGTATGCTGTAGTGTGGAGAAGAGTGATGACATCAGGAACTTGGCCTCAGCCCCACAGAGTCAGGAGCTTTGGGCTATCATGGGCATCGCTGACATACCCCATTTGTAATGAGGTGCTTTTCTCTAGACAAGGTTACTACAGAAGCCAGGTCAGTGCCTGGCTGCTGGCTGAGTCCTCAATCAATGAGGTCAGGCGATGAAAAGCTGAGAGTATGGGCAAGAAGCAGCTGATTGGGTGCCAAGGCCTCCAGGAGAATAGGGACCACCACCCATCCCCACATTGTAGTCAGTTGCCTCTGGGGGAGCCTGGGCCTGCAAGGTCCTTCTGTGTGAGTGTCCCCAAGATGGGATGGGTGGCACTTAGCTCTTCCACCCTATGGGACTGGAAGTGATCCCCTCAGTCCCACTCCCCTCCATCCCAGGGACGGGTGACCAGACGTGCAGTGGGGCATCAGGCCAGGGGACAGTGGGAGGAGGATGGCGGCCCCTCCTGCCTAATCCCGCACCTCCACCCTGAACCCTGGGTAGGAGTAGCAGAGGGCCCAAGTCCCCATCTGGGGAAAGCAGGGCCTCCCCCTGCAGCCTAGCCAGGCCTGAGTCTGAATCCTAAAGTGACCTCCCCCACCCCCACCCAGAGGGGCAGTTTTCTTCCTTCACTGTTTGAAAGAGAGTCCCAGAGCCTCAAGGTGTGGGGAGAGGCTCTGTGGCCTGAGGAGGTCTGGAGAGTCTGCTCTCCTCGAGCAGAGCCAACCGCTACAGCCTCCGTGTTTAAAAACGAGTGAATCAACAGAGGCACTGTTCATCAATATTTTAAAAGAGAACTGTAATTAGAGGTTGGTGAACCCCCACAGCCCCTGGCCACGATGTCAAAGGCTTCCTTGACCTGGAGCCGGGAACAGAATGAAAAGCCACCACAGACACGGTCGGCCATGGCGTGTCTGGCCGCAAATCCCGCTTGCCAGGAGCTGCCCACCGAGGCTCATCAAAGATTCTGTGGCCAATAGAAGTAGCATTTCACATGCGTCCACATTCTTTCATTCCTAGGTGGTTTTTCTTTCTAAACTTGGGACTATGGGCGTTCTATTTTAAGAACATTAATTACTGCCCAACTTTCATGTACTAATGTGAACAAAAAAAACCCCAACTTTGAACGGAGGAAAGGAAACAAAAGTAATTTATGGGATAATTTTGTGTTCACATCCCTCAAGGTTGCCTGAGTACATTTGTCTAATGCATTTATTTCTGGTCAAGAGAAGTGAATGGCTAGCTTTTTGGTGGTTTCTGGAGAATGAAGGGAGGGCTGGCCACCTCAGGCCAGGAGCCCTCCTCAGGGCTCAAAGAGATAGTGTCAGGAAGGTAAAAATAGAGTGAGGGATCCAGCACCAGCTTTGACACAGGGTTTTCTCATCCAGGCACTGCCACGTAGGGCCCTCCTTTTCCAGCTATTCTAAGTGAAAAAGGAAAAAAGATTATCTGAGAATTAAATAAAAACAGTGCTATATTTTAGCCACCTTTTCTGCATTCTCCCGCCTTCTCCCAAGTGTTCACTTTGGCTCCTCTTTCCTCACCCAGTCAAAAATGGGATGAGTCCCATGGTTCTGTCCTTGACCCCCCGTTGTCCTCCCCCGTTGTCCTCCCCCCCTGCCCTCATTCACAGCCGTGGCTTCGGCACGGCGTCCACGTGGCCAAAGCTCAGGCATGTTCCAAGCAACTACCTGCCTCTTGGACAGTCCCTCTCCTCTGGCCCCCAACTTCCCAGAATAGGATCTGACATCTCCCTTTGGAGGGGTGCATTTGGGGCACATTCCTCCCTGCAGCTGTCATTCCTCACAGCCTTGTCTATATGCTGGTGGCCAGGACTGTCGGACACGTGACCTGGTCCCAGCCCCCTCAGAGGCAGGGAGGGGAGCAATGGGCGCTCCCTATGGGATTCTCTAATAGTAAACAGGAGGGGAGATTGGGAAGGCTTCCCTCAGGCCAGGGGGCAAGCGGTGGGGGGTTCCAGCGTGAGGGGACAGTGTGAGGAAAGGCCTGCCTTGAAAGAGACCAGGACCGCAGGAGGAGAAAGGAGAGCTCTGGAGACACGAGCCGGGTGGATAAGATTGGCGAGGCATGACACAGGAGAGGAGGATGGACCCAGGGCACGGGTTTTATCTGGGGGGTGTTTTCAGCTGAGAGGGTACTCGGGTTTGCAAATAGAAAGCAGACTCTGGCTTCTGTGTGGAGAATGAATGGTGGAGGCAAGGCTGAAGGACCCAATGAGAGATGATGGCGCTCGGCCAGAGTGTCCCCCTGACACCCGGAGACCCCCAACGAAAGCTCTGCCTGGCTCCTGCTGGCTTACCCCCTCCCAGCACCCCCAGCTCTCTGCCCAGACAGATGTCCGAGAGAACAACCCTCACGCTCAGGTGTAAGGACAAATAGTGGCACCATCCACCTCAAATCCCTCTGGGACACAGGAGGGTGGCAGCAAAGAGGGGAGGGTGATGGCTATCAGCCTTCCCAGACCTCTGGGGGGGTTCCTCCCCTGCCTGTGGGTGCCTTCTGAGCATTAGGGAGCCCTGTGGGGTCAAAACTCAAGCCAGGATGGGGCCGTGGATGAGTCCTACTCCGAGTCTAGGCTCTGCCACTCTAGCTATGTGATTTCAGAGTCTCCCTTTATACAAGGCAGCCTAACTGATGCACTAGTTCAAACGATTGGGAAGTTTTCTCAAAGCTCCTGCTGTACCACCTGGTACATACAGAGGGAATTGGACGCTTTGGTGACCGACACTCTGGCCTGGCTAGAAACCACTGTATTAATCCAACCTCGGCTCCCTGAGGGCCTTTCAGGGTCTGGACTCTGTGCTCAGTGCTCAGGAGGCTCTAGGCTACCAGTCCGATGCCCAGTGGGTGTGCGATTGAAGGATGGGGGCCGGCAGCTGCAGACTTGAGCCGTAGAGGATGGGTGCCAGGTGCACCAACAGGGGGTATTCCAGACACTGGGGACAGCATGTACAAAGGCACGCAGGCGTGAAAGAACATGCAGTGTTCCAGGAAAGATGAAAGCTAGAGGTCGGGGCCATCAGAACCAATCACTGGGAGGGACGGGGAGCACAAATGAGGCAGAGGAAGGCTGGGCCCCATCACCAAAGGTCCCCACACCAGGCTAGGTAGAGGGATTTGTTCTTTGTGCAGAGGGAGATCTGGACGTTTTGGACAGAAGGGGCAGAGTGAACTCAGAGTGGCTCGTGCTGGGGACCTGAGCTGGGATCTGGGCTGGGACCCGAGCATGGTGGACGGCCCACAGGCAGGCAAAGAGTGAGGAGGCCTGAGGAGGGAAGGAAGAGGAGGAGCAGGGACCGGAAATGGACTGCAGAGCTGGGAGTGACTGGCCTTGACTCTGGATGGGACAGGTTGAGGGCTGATGGAAGGGCCAAGGACAGAGCCTCTGCCCACTGACCAACTGATGGGGGCTGGGCCCACTGAGGCTTCCTGGGGACCGAACTCCACCCTCTGCCTTCCCTCCATGGGTTTTAGTCCCCCTCTGTCTTCCTCTCTTCTTTAACTGCAACCAATAGAAAACCAAATGCTTTTTATGTTTCATATAGTTCCTAGTTTTTCATCTAAAAAAAATGAGTAAGTGGAATGTTTTCTATTTTCTTCTCAAATAGAAAAGCAAGGTTACCTGTACATGGTCTCTCATGTGTATGAACGTCTAGATTCTCATTTTCCCTTGGTACATTAAAAAAAAAAAAGAAGAAAGAAAGCCATTTCAGGCATCAGGATGAGATTTGGCAATACCCCTTTGGTGCCCAGCGAGCCCCTCATGCCCTTCCCCCCTCACTGCCCCGCCCCCCCCGAGAGCTTCAGCCTGGGCAGCACATCCCAGGCTCATCATCCAGGGGCTCGAGTAAGACCCAGACATGGCAGCTCATCATCTGTGGGGTCTGCAGATCTTCTCTCCAAGCCAGGGGCAAAACCCCAGGACGATGACATTCTGATAAAGTTTTAAAAAACGATTTCACTTTGCAAGACAAATAGCTAATAAAATAGATTCTTTTTTGGTAACCACCCATACACCAATCAATCTGTCACTCGGAAAACTGTTTCCTGAGAGGTGTGAAATGAGGCCACTGTGGAGTTCTGTGGGAACAGAGAGACCCTGAGAAGCCTTCCACTCCCAGATTACACTTGCCACCCCAAAACAGGGAAGCTATCTGATTCAGAGCACAGGAAATACACATCCGATTAGTTGCTCAATCAATACCAACTTTTGAAAGACCAGCAGGAGGTGGCTGTCCCACTGTTTACATGCAGCCTGCCCACACTGTCACGTGTCTCTTGCCTCTGTCTCTTTCCAATTCCATCCCTATTGGGAAATAATTTTAAGTAGGTGTTCCCCACCTGAGGGGCTTGTAGAGTGAGTCACACCAAGGGGGCCTCTTCTGTGCCACAGACTTTCAAGTAAGAACTTAAAACAAAGGGTCATTTCAACACCACCAACAGAAGTCAAAAGGAGAAGCCTTGGTCATAAGACACGACCCCTCTGTGCACTGAGGGCACCATCAGAATATGGAGACCCTCACCCCCTGCATGTTCTCTTTGTGTCTCTGCTTGGCTGCTACTTGCTTTTTCTACCTTTTTTCCCCTTAGCTCTAATTCTCTCAGTGCTTTAAAAAAAAAAAAAAAAGTCTATTATATTGTACATAGAACACAGTTTAAACCTTTTTTGGAACAAGATGGAATAAATCTTAGTTAACCAGAACCTCCCTCAAAGCAGCTCTAAGTGCAGAATTCTGCTGTACCAGACCTATAGGAGCAGTGGGCTCCCACAGAACTGCAGCATCTGCACACAGGGGGCCTTCAATACATGTCACCTTGTTTGCTTTTTAAATGATGGAATCTGAAAGGCCCCAGGAAGATGAACTGGGTAATAACTACTATGAAAGAAATGTGACAAAAACCAATATTAACAGGAACAGATCAGAACCCCCACTCACCCTACCCCCCGCCAAAAAACCTGTAATTCCATGGTGGAAACTATAAAAGAATTGAAACACGTCCAGAAGTAGAAGTCGGGATAACTGAAACAATAGAGCAAAAAAAGAGGTGCTGTTGAGGGTAAAGTAAGACATCAAACCAGAAATGCAGACAAAGAAGACAATCAGAGGTACAAATAAACCCTTTTGGAAATGAGAGACAGTGTCACAGCCCTAGAGTAGGTGAGAGAAAGATAAACAGGGTGAGGCACACGATGAGGGAAATGTCAGCAAAGAAACAATACAAGAAAAATTTCGAGAGATGAAAAAAACAGCTCAGCCTAGAAATAAAGAACGCACACTGTGCCTTTCAAGTTTAACTCCGAGAGAACGAAATCAGCATTTGCTAGTTACAATTTGGAATGATAAATGATCTGGCAAGCTGAAGGGAAATATGTTCTTTTTTTTTTTTTTTTCCTTAAGATTTTTATTTATTTATTTGACAGAGATAGAGAGCACAAGTAGGCAGAGAGGCAGGCAGAGGGAGAGGGAGAAGCAGACTCTCCAGTGAGCAGGGAGCCTGACGCGGGGCTCGATCCCAGGACCCTGGGTTCATGACCTGAGCCGAAGGCAGACGCTTAACCGACTGAGCCACCCAGGCGCCCCGGGAAATATGTTCTTTTGAAATTAGATAAGAATGACAAGAGGACTGGCATCACAAATAGTGAAGACAAGATGAATCTCAGGAAGAAATGTGCCATTCGAACCACACCTGAGTGCCCTAACCACATGGCAGTTATGCTCCTAAGTAAGACTCGCTCTAAGTAGTAGAAAACAGACTCATTAAAAAAATGGGGGGGAATTTGTACACAATTGTACTTAAAAAGAGAGAGGGAATGTCTGACTTTTTACAAAAATATGAAAGACAAAATCTGATATAACAAGACACTGGAATTAGAATGGATTAGTTGAAAAAGAAAGAGTAAGTGATCTGACAAAATTCAGCCACTCCTAAGATTTAACCTACACTCTAATAATTCCCAAATCCTGCTCCAGCCGAGACTTCTCTGCTGAGTTGTGGGTCGGAATATCCCACTGCCACCTGGACACATCCATGCAAATGTCCCTCCACACCACAACCCTCCCTTAACCCACCCCACCCCTGGCCAGTGAGCGACTTTAGGCCCCATTCAGTTGCCTAAACTGGAGGTCCTTTTCCACACTCCCCATGCTCAATCCCATCCACTTGTGTTAGTCTGCTGGGCCTGCCATAACAAAAGATCAGACCGGGTGGCTTAACCAACAGAAATGCATTTTCTCCCAATTCTGGAGGCCAGAAGCCCAAGATCAAGGTTCTGGCTGATTGGGTCTCTGGTAAGAGCTCTCTTCCTGGCTTTGCAGTCCTCACATGGCCTTTCCTGATGCATGTATAAAGCCATGGGAGTCTCAGATGTCTTTTTTAAAAGGACACTAATCCAATTGGATCATGGTCTCACCCTTACGACTTCATTTCACCTTAATTACTTCCTTAGAGGCCCCATCTCAAATACAGCCACATTGGGGGTTAAGGCTATAATATATGCATTTAGTGGGGGGAAGGTCCTTTCACCAGCCATCCCTAGCAGTGACTTTGAGATACTTCTGTACCCCGCCAATAAGGTCTCAACCAAATGCACACACAGGCCTCTGAGTATGCCTGTCCAGCCATGCCTCCCCCTTTGCCTTGGTATTGGAGATTTAGGGGTAACTCCTTCCCCAGAGTTCAGTCAAGACCTTTCCCCAAGGCCAGCAACTGCTTCTCACCCTCACCCCAAGGGGCTTCCAGCAACCCAACCTAGTCTCAGGTCTGCATGACGTCTGACCCTGACACTCAGCTACAGGGCTCTGTGACTTTACGTACGTTTCTAAACATCTCTGGCCTTGAACCTTGTTGACGGTACCTGGCCCCTGCATTCCAATGTGGATAAATAAATCAACCTTCTAGGTGCCAGGCCCTTTGCACACATTATTTCTGGACCTATGAAGTCAGAAAGAAAGTAGAAACTGGGGCGTCTGGGTGGCTCAGTCGTTAAGCATCTGCCTTCGGCTCAGTTCATGATCCCAGGGTCCTGGGATCGAGCCCTGCATCGGACTCTCTGCTAGGCAGGAAGCCTGCTTCTCCCTCTCCCACTCCCCCCTGCTTGTGTTCCCTCTCTTGCTGTCTCTCTGTCAAATAAATAAATAAAATCTTTTAAAAAGAAAAGAAAAGAAAGTAGAAACTGAGGCTTGGGGAGATGCCCTGCCTGAGGCCACTACTTACTGGTTTAGGGAGCAGGTCCATCTAGCTCCACAGCTGGTTCTGCTGACTGGGCTGTGTCTCTGGGGAAGTAGAGGCATCCAGGAACCTGGACCAAGCATCCAGGGACATGGTGTCACTTAGAGCTGCACGTCCATCAGAGGTCACCCCAGGTGCTGGTCTGCGGTCTCTGGGCCTGTGGGCTTGAGGCTCCTGGTGGACAAGCAGGCAGGCGTGCTCAGGACCACTGCTGGATCTGTAGACACTGCTTTGCTGTGCTGGGTAAACAGCCCACTTTCCATGCCCGCCCCCCAGGCCCGCCCTGCCCTACTGCCTATTTAAGCAAGAGGCCCTGACTCCACTTGGCCCAGGCACCACCAGCTTCCGGAGCTAGGAGAGCAGCCCTGCAGGCCTCGCTCACTTGGGGATGAAAGGTCCTTCTGTTTCACCATTTCCTACCGGTGCGTTTTGAATGATGATGCTGAGCTGGGTTGTAGCGGGAGCTGATTCTGCTGGCCTATGAGTGTATTGAGATGTGTAGCAGGCCCGAGGGAGGCTCTGATTGAATTTTTCCCATTTCTAATCCCTGACTTGATGTGATCTTATTTTCAAAGAGGGAGAAAGCCTGTAGTTTGTGAAAGGACAGAGGAGAGCATATTTCAAAACAATGTCTGGCTGAGAATATCAATGATCTAATGAGTTTTTCTTTTGAGGAAAAAAAAAAGTCCTGTAATTTCAAGGTTGTAGAGATCCCATTTCCTCTCAGGAACCCCTCCCTAAATAGTCAGTTCCTGTCATTTAATTCTATCTTGAAAAAAATGTGCAGAGAATTTTTTAGAAGAGTTTGGTGGGGGAGAGAGGTTGTGAAGCTGGAGGGGGACAGTTTGGGGAAGGTCTGAGGACAAAGGGCCTCCTTGAGAAAGTTCTCATTGAGAGATGAGGAGTGAGCTCCTCCCCACTCCAGGGTGGTGGGGCCTGAGAGTCACATAGGCTGGGATGGCTCAGGAGAGGCCTGCCTCCTTCATATCCACTTCTAGATGTTTGTCAGCCTGTGGCCTAGGGTCAGGTCGGCCCATGAAGACGGTGAAGGACAGAGGTGCATGCAGGTCATCAGCCAACGAGGGTGAAGAGGCAGACATCCCAGGTACAGGGGACAGGACCTCCCCTGGAGGCCAGAACAGCAGGCCCCCTCTGACCTCCTGGCAGGTTGGACTCCCCAGGCTATGGGTGGGGAAGGATGCCTATCCAGTGGTTAACTCAGAGGAAACAAGTTAGGGTGTCCACGTGGAAAAAGGGTCCCCAGGGGAACACAGATCCTAGGGACTGTGGCTTCCTTCTTCCCACCCTAATGTGGCAACATCAAATACCCATGCTAATTTGGTCCTGGTCACAGCTGCGCAAGACACTGGAGTGACCCCCTGCGTGACGGGGAAGGGGGCAACTGAGGCTCAGATGGATAGCAGACCTAGGCGTCGAGCACGGGTCTCCCTGGTGCTTCTCTATGGGGATTCCTAAGCAAGAGAGAGCCAGTTATTTGCCAAGTGAAGAAACAACATCTTTGGCTTGTGGACCGAGGGCCTGGGACTTAAATTTCAGATTCCTCTGAAACACAGTTTAAGTGATTTGCAAAGTAAGTGTATATAAATGATGGGAGCTGGTCCAGGGGAGAGCACTGGGGAGTAACCGTTGCCTCGACATGTGATGGTAGTGAAGAGGGTCCTGGCAGTAGGACTGGCTTGAAAAGGTGGAGGGCCAAGGAGCACTGCACAGAGCCCGGCGGGTGTTGAATTTCCCGGGCCTGAGGCCAAGAGGCTGGGCCTCGAGCCAAGGATAAGGCGCCTGGGTGGCTCAGTCGTTAAGCGTCTGCCTTCAGCTCAGGTCATGATCCCAGGGTCCTGGGATCGAGTCCCACATCGGGCTCCCTGCTCAGCGGGAAGCCTGCCTCTCCCACTCCCCCTGCTTGTGTTCCCTCTCTCGCTGTGTCTCTGTCAAATAAATAAATAAAATCTTTAAAAAAAAAAAAAAGGATAGGGTGGGAAAGTCGAGAGCGGGACTTGAGGCTGGAAGGCTGGACTAAAGAGCTGAAGGAGCCCCTGAAGCCAGGGGGCACGGCCAGAGAGCCCCACGGGTCCTGTCCCGGGAGAGGTCAATACTCGAGGCCAGGGGCCGGGTTAGAAGGGGAAGGCAGGGCCAGAGAGCGAGACTCAGCCTACCAACCCCAGTGTGGGGGTGTGTCTGGCGCTGCTGAGGTTCGGACTGAGTCAGCAAGGGATGCAGGGAGCTGGTAGCATTGTGTCCAAGGCGTCTGCTCACACCAGTGTCCTCCCTACCATCCCCTAAGTAGACCCCATTGAGGTCACGAAGTGTCTCTGCTGAGTGTCCCCTAGGCAGCCTACCTTCACTTTTATCTGTTGTGAAAGCCCCCTATTTCTTTCTCTCAATGCGGCTTCCTCCTCCCCACCCTTCCCTGACCCCAGTCGGGGTGGCAGTGGTCCATCTTCTATGGCCTGGGTTCAGCTCTCTCCCACCCCCACGTATCTTGGCGAGGCTGAGATTACACAAAGCTCCTGGGGGAAAGCTCTAATTGTTCTAGCTTCGCCTATCAGATCAAACCCAGGCAGGCCCCGAGGCTGGAGCTCTGAATTCGCCTCTCTCCGCTCCCCACCTCACACAACCTCAGCCTGGCCCGGGTCCAGCTGTCCATGTGGAGCTCTCATCCCTCCCACCCGTCAGGCAGAGACCTCCCCACCTGTCAACCCTCCTAGCCCCCCAGGCCTGTGCAGGTTTGTTGCACAAACCTCTGCCCCCACCCCCTCTGGCTGCACTTCCCCGTCCACAGGGACAGCAGGTTCCACACCCTCTCCTTGGCAACGTGGAGGGTGTGGCGCTGCCCCTGGTGCAGGTGGGGCCCCTTGGTCTTTGAACCTGGCTCACCTGTTCTGGGCGGCTGGGCGGCTGTAGGTTGGGTTCTGGACACCTCTGTGAACCGCTCATGTCCTTTCAGGTCCTGACTGCGGTGGTGCCCCCTCTTCAGACGAAGATCAAGAGGGTCCCAGCGGCCCCTCCTCAGGTAAGACAGCGGCTTCTGGAGGGGGAGTGGCGCTGAAGGCCTCCCCTCATAGGCGAATTATTCATGTTTTATATGTAGAGGGGCTCTGTGAAATTGTTTAAGAAAAGGTTCTGCTGTTTGGTTAAAAAGCTTGGAAACACAGCTCTGGGGGGCGTCTGTGCCTACCCAGAACTCCCTCTGGTGGAGAGCAAGGCCCGGGGAGGGGTTGTGTCTCCCCGACCCAAATCTTTGGAGAAAATACAAATTCTTCAATACATAGGGGAGACTTGAGGCAGCACTTCATGAAGTGAAGGAATACAATTTAAGTACCTTGGGAAATGTAACCAGATATCATTACCCACTAAACTGTTAAAAAAATTTTTTTTAATCACTTAAAACCCAGAGCTGGTAAGGATGCTATGAAACAAGCACTGTCAAACAACTGGTGGAAAGCAATTTGGGCAGGGGGGTTGCTGACACTTGTCGGTCATCAGAGGTTCCTCTTATCTGCCTACTATGTGCCCGACATGGCTAGAGTCAGGTGATAGGATAAAACCCTGAGTGCTTGCAGGGGGATGCGGGCCTCGGAGTTGGAACACGAAACCTGCATTCTCTGGGACTGGAGGCGGGCGGGGGGGGGGGGGGGCGGAGGGCGGGTGTGAGGAGCTCCGAGGCTGCTGGGGCCAACGACAAGAGCAGGGCCCAGGTCTGCAAAGACAATCCATAAGGCCACCTATGACCCTTGCTTCCTTTGCTTTGAGGAATGGAATTTGTCACCATTGCTCAGCCTCCTGTCTCAGTTCTGCTTCTAGCTTAGTAAATCTGAAGCTGTGGGGGGGCTGGTCTCCCTTCTGGTGTGCAGACTGCAACCATGGGCAATAAATGTACAGAAACCACCAGCTGTTGAGAGAAATGACCTGTTTCAGCCAGGTCAAAAGTCCTCCCGTTATCTCTGGGGCCATAGACTAGGCGACTGGCTGGGGCTTGGTGAAGAGATGTCACTGTGACTTTTGAACCCTGAGCCCCCTGCTGAGGCCTCATCCCAGCACACAGATGAGGGCTACGAGGGAACAGCCCCAGCAAAGGCAGGGAGGCCTGGAAGGGTATGGTGGGGAACTGCACAAGGGGCCCTGGGACTTCAGAAGTAGGAGATGATGCAGAGCCATCCTGGAGATCAGGATGCTGGGCCTAGTGTGCCCTTCCCTGCCAGGTGCTTGGGCATCCTCCTGGGGTCAGCAGGGGCCACTGAAGAGTTTAACATGGGAGTAGTATGGTCTACTATGTAGCTTAAAAAGATTCCAGTAGCTGCCATGTGGACCATGCCAGGAGGGGAGGCCAGGTGCTGGGAGACAGGTGGTGGCTGGGCAGTATCTAGCTGGGACAGTGTGATGCCTGAGCTGGCTGTAACCGTGGGAATGGATAGGAGGCGTTAAGGAGGCAGAACCGAGGGCTTGTGGGAAGAGGCAGGGTACGGAGGATGTCCAGAGCCTCGGGAACTACTCAGGAGACAGAGCTGGGGGCAGTGGACAAAGAAGTCAGCTATCAGGAGAGACACCTGAGAACAGATGACCCTGAGGGATCAACCAAGGGAGGAGAGAAGAGGCAGAGGAAGGTCAGGGTGGGCAGGGGAGGAGGGGACAACCAAGGACTCAGAGAAGCAGCAGCCCCAGGGGCAGAAAGGGAACCAGAAGGATGGTGGCCCAGGACCAAGGGTAGAGGGCGGCAGGATAGATGAGGATCACGCAGCCGAAGCCTCCTGTTGGGCCTATTTTTAAAGCAAAATCAGGTTGAAACTGCATAGACTCTTTTCTCATTGGTGCTGAACTCTGTTCTGGCAATTTTCTCTCCAAAACTTTACCAGAAAGCCTGGTGATACCCCCTGTCCACATTCTGTCTAGCAGTGAGGGGGTGCAGGAAGCCTCAAGCTGGGGGGCGCTGCTTGGACCCTCAGCCAGCCAGAGGGTCCCTCAGCCCTCCCAGGGTGCAGGACACAGGCCCGGCCATCGAGGCGGGGCTCCCCCTGCTCTGAGCAGAAGGATTACTTGAGGCTAGGCTGATGTGCGTGGTGTAGGTGGGAAGCTACTCAGACATTCTAAGCATTTAAGTTAAACAAGCCCAGCTCAAGACAAACTGTCAGTGAATGTGTTGGATCCTCCTTTCAGGCCCATTTTCCACAGCTGCTCCTCCCTGGCGTCTCCTCGCTGGCCTCCTGGGACCCGGTGGGTCATTGTGGTCAGGGCGTGGCCTGCCAGGCAGGACTTCCTGAGTGGCTCTGCCTCCCTCAGGCCTGCTCTCAGCCCTCCCGGACTCTCTACTTCATCTCCCTCCCTTGCTCACTGCTCGCTCCACCCACCACCTACCCCCTTCCTGTCTCCTTGCCCTCCAGGAGGACACCCGCACACTAAAATATACACACCTAGAAAGCAAAGGCTCTGCCCCCAGAAATTCCTGGGACCTTGCTGCAAAATACCCCAAACAGTCACAGTGCTGCATCTGACTCATAGGAGCTGGATGCCAGCCGCCCCCAGCCTCCTAGCCTTCCCCCCTCGCCAGCCTGAGCATGCACCCCTCAGCCAGCACAACCTGGCAGTGTCTGACACCCAGCCATTAAGCACAGGCTGTTGCGTCCATCTCGATCTGCACCACCTCAGTGCACTCTTGACACTCCCTCCTGCCTTGTCCTCTATGGGCCTGGCTTGGTCCCTGGAACCAACCCTGTATACCGATCCTTGGCCGAAATTTCCAGTGCACTCACTTCCCCATGTCTGTGGATTTACTTTGCTACTTCTATCACTAGCAGTGGCCCCTTCTCTGAGCAGAAATGGCTTCCACTAAAAACGAAAAGATTCAGGCTCAGCTCCCCGGATGCGTCGTGGTCCTGTGTGGGAATCAGCTGTTCAGTACATACACTGAGGAGATGGAAAGGAGTGAGCCCCTGACCTAGTCTGGATTTAGGGCAGAGGAACATCATCATTGACATGTAAAATGAAGATCTTTCTTGAAGAGAGTCAGGTCTGGGGAGTCAATCAAGCTATACACCTGGGAAACTGAGGGCTGTTGATCAGTAAGGCTTGTTTTTGGTAAATGGATTAAAGAAATCAGAAGCCTGGGGTCCCTGGGTGGTGTAGTTGGTTAAGCATCCTACTCTTGATTTCGATCTCACAGTTGTGAGATCGAGCGCTGCATCAGCCTCTGTGCTCAGCTTGGAGTCTGCTTGGGATTCTCTCTCCCTCTGCCCCTCCCACTCATGCTCTCTCTCTCAAGTAAATGAAAGAAAGAAAGAAAGAGAAAGAAAAGAAAGAAAGAAATCCGAAGCCTTCCTCTATTGGTCAGGCTGGGATGGGTTATGCTGTGGCTTACAATCAGTTTTTTTCTTGCTCATATGACATGTGGGGAGCAGGGTTAGCTGGGGCCCTGCTCCTTGCGTCCTCACCTTGGGACCCAGGCTGATGGAGCAACCACCATCATGAATACTACAGGTAGATGTGCCAAAGGGAGAGAACTCTAGAAGGTCTCACACCTGCTGTTAAGGACTCTGGCCCAGCAGTGACACATACCACTTACACTCACAGCTAGTGGTCAGACCAAGCTGGTCACATGATTCTACCCGGCCACAAGGGGACCTGGAAGTGCAATCCTGCCTCGTGCCTGGGGGGCCAGAGGAAGTAAGGCGAGGGTCCTATCCTAGGCTTGGAGGCAGAGGTAGAGACAAAAAGGGAAATGTCTACCCAGATGTTCACAAAGATGAAGTGTGCTTAGCTTTTATCCCTGGATGGAGACGAGTCCCTGTCTATACCGGCATGTCTATACCAGCAATCTGGGGGGACACAGCCTCCCTGACCAGCGCCAAGGGTTCTTGTTTCCCTTTTCAGAAGTGCAGGATTTGACAGCCAAGAACAGGTGTAGTGACAGCTACCACTACCGGAGGGGCAGGGGTGAGTGGGAGCCCAGAACCACAGAAGACCCTAGGAAGGCAAGTTTGGTGGCAGCAATGGGCAGGAACTTGAGGAACTATAGATCCCCATGATCTCTCCCCCACTGGCCTTTGCTGGGGACAAATGACTCATTCACCATCTTATGCAAATGAAGCTCCCCATCTCACTCCCAGGGGAAGCAGGCTCCAGCAGTCCCCTCTAAGTTATACACTCTGGAGCAGGCTCTGAAATCCCATGGGCAGGTCAGAGGCCTCCGGAAGCAAGCAGTCCTTGGTTTAGCCTGAGGCGGGGGGGGGGGGTCTCTTCTTTCAGGGGGGAGTGAGTTCTTGCTGGTTCTCTCAGAGCCAAGGGCTCATGCGGTACGGTGTGCAAGGGAGGACCCGAGGAGAGCCTCCGAGAGGGCCCGGGACAAGGGTGAATGAGATCCAGCCCCTGTCCAGAAGGCCCCGCCCTCAGGTCCAGCTGCCCAGGGCCGCGGGGAGGCTTAGTGAGATGCTGAGGCCTGATCTTATTTACTCACTCACACCGATCTGCTTTTTAATCTCTGCATAAATTCTCCTCCAGGACTCGGTTTGTTAAATGTTCTTTGCACAGAAAACTTGAGGCTGAAATGTGAAATGATTCCCTCCAGAAGAATTTTAGCAAGTCTGTTCTGTTTTAGGAAGGTTTGTTGTCTTCATCTGTGTTCTCTGGGGCCTTGAAATGCCTACACACCACTCAGTCGGCCAATCCATTCCGGGAGGAAATGCTGTACTTGAAATGCAGCTGAACACTGGGTCTGCAGAAATCCTACCATTTGTGTGGACTTGTATTTAAAGTTCTACTCCCACAGAAAGTATGTTGTCATTTCTTCTTAAGCAAAGGATGTTCTGAGCCTTGTTCAGCTCATGAACCATTAACATCAGCCGGGAAGCAGGGACTTTGCAGGGACAGCAGCCTCTGCAGCAGAGCCCGAGAAAAGTGAGATCCCTCCTGGTCTCCATCCCCGGGGAGGGCAGGCACCACAGAGCTTGCCTGAGGCAGGTGATGTGACCTGCTGGGGAGTGCCAGGACCCCCTGCTCAAACGCGTGTGTGAGGACCAGCTCAGGCACAGACCTCAGCACGTGGGCAGGCTCAGAGCACTTGGGGCGGGAGGCCTATGCCGGGCTAGCTGCTTGGTGGTGGGCCCGTGGCCTCCTGATTTGGACCTTGCTTAAGGACGTCAAAGCCGCCTCTTTGGTAGTTCCGACTGCCTGCTCCAGTCCTGCCTGGGAGCTGCCCTCAGTGCCCAAAAGGAGGGGACACTGGAACAGAGTGATCTTAGATCCGATTTGCATCATGGAGGCAGCCCTCTCCCCAGTATCCCCCTACCCTGGGCTCAGCGTCCATGAGAGCACAGGACTGGCAGGAGCCCTGTGGGCTTCAGCTTCCAGCGGACCCAGGCAAACAGATATGGCTGCAGGAGGGTTCTTGAGTGTAATACAGGGCACGTGGGAATGAGAGACGCCGCCACTCAGGATGGCTCAGGTGGGGATTTAGGTTCCAGACGCCATCCAGCCTTCTCCTCAGTGGGCCCCTTTCTGGTCACCATGGATGATTCTGGAATGGCAGACGGGAGAGGGGAGGGTGGCCAGATCTTCAAACTCAGCCCCATCCTGTGATGGAGCCCATGGTCTCAGGGCGACTGTCCCCCTGTCACCGCAGCACAAGGTCTTACGCCCAGGAGGACTGTTGTTTGAACTATTAAATTGATTCGAGCACTCCTGGCACATATACCTCTAATGTGGCTTGAGGTTTGCTTTCCAGTCATGCAAGAATCCGCTTCATCTGGGCTTTCTGAGTTCTGACATGGAAATGCCTAGGCTGGCTGATTGAAGGAGCGCTACGGAGCTACTTGCAGCCTGTTCCTATTCTCAGAAACCACATGACACATTAATAGCTCCCATGGAAAGTGTCTCTTTGAAAATTTTATGGCCCCTTTGCCTGCATCTGGTTTCTGCAGAAGCCTATGACTTGGGCTCACAAGCAGCCCCCAGCAGACAGTCCTGCCCGGAGATGGAGGCCCCTGCCCCCCCTGCACCATCCTCACCCCTTGTTTGGGAGAGCGGGGCACCCTCCTTGTCAAGCAACCAACCACACAAGGAGCAAACTTTGAGGGCTCCAGCTGTGTCTCGAGGGTCCTCTGCAGCAAGGAAATTAACAGTCATAATAGTGACAAAGATATTACTAGAGATGTGGCGGGTGCCCTGCTAAGTGTTGCGCATACCCTGAGATTGTGTGTGTGTGTGTGTGTGTGTGTGTGTGTGTGTGTGTGTGAGAGAGAGAGAGAGAGAGAGAGAGAGAGAGACGGAGATTTGTATGCATAACAGATGAGCAAACTACAGCGCATTGAAGCAGCTTGTCCAATATCCAGCAGGAGCACCCAGACCTGGCACGTCTGACACCAAGTTTGTGCTAGCTCCTGAGGGACGCTCAAATCATGTGGGCACACACCTCAGGCACAGGGCCTTCAGGGACTCAGGAGAAAGGCCCCCTGTGCCCAGTGGGCAGGCCAGGGGCGAAGTTCGCCCAGGAGACAAACTGTTAAGAATGGAGTTTTAGGAAGATCGGGTCACTGGTATATATTAGATAGGATCCCTTTGGTGGCAAGTGACAGAAATGCAACTTTGACCAGAGCAAAGAAAAGGGTAATTTGCTAACTCACGAATGAGAAAGTCTGGGGGTTGTGCTGTCTTCAGGCACGGGGAAACTGGAGCTCAAAGTGCCACCAGGACTCTCTCCTTCTAGCCCTAAGGTCTGTTTTCCTCTGAATTCGATTCACTCTCAAGGAAGGCTCCAGAAGCTTCAGGCTCTTAATGCTTCCAGCTCAGAGAAAATGCAGGCCTCTTTCCTGAGGGGTCCAGTAAGAGCACCAGTGAGAGCTAGCTTGGGTCTTATGACCACTCACCTTGGGGTCAGGGGGCTGTGGTGTCAGTTGACCTAGTGTGGCTCCCTGCTCTCCCCTTGGAGGAGGGGTGCAGCGGGCTAGGACTTGGGCCTGTGCTGGTGCCAGAGACTTCATCAGGCGCTCCCAGGCTGCTGGTGGGGGCCCGACGTGCAGAGAGCCAGGCACCTGATTAGAGGGACGGCTGGGGGGCATGCAGAGCAGGGAGGGTATGGGAGGGATGGCGGAGCTGGGGAGGGCCTCAGAGAGAAGGGGGCAGGTGCTCTGGATGTGGAAGGGTCAGTGGGCATTCACCTGGCACGCCTAGGTCACTGGGAGTTGCTGCTGCACACGTGTTCATGCCAGACCCCAGACCCCATTTCTGTGGCTTTCAGGGATTAGCCTGGGTTTGTCTGACCTGCAGCACTTAGAAAGGCATCCTCTTCAGTCTTTCTTTTTGTCCTCCCAGTGATGAGTTGACTCCAAGTTTCAGCAGCTCAGAGCTCCCCGTTGCTATGCCAACCCCCGGGGCAGCAGGCATCCAGGCAGAAATGGGCCGGCCCAATCTCGGCGCCGCCGGTGGATGCGAGCACATTCCGGTAATTGGATTGGAGCAATCCTTTCAGTCTTTCCTGCAGAAACCTGGGGTTTGGACCAGTGCCTGTTTAGACATGAGCCTGTGGACACAAAGAGGATGGGAGAAGGTCCCTCTGTTCCAGGATTCCCAGCCCTGCTGCTGGGATGAGAGAGGGTTCAGCAGGCATGAGGACCAGAGGGAAGGGCTATGATGGAGGGACAGGTCCCATCCTGCCCCCAACCTGGGGCAACTCCCAACCCTCCTCAACTTCCTCAAAGTTCTCCAAAGCTCAGAGATCCCTCCAGATGGTTCAAGCTTCCTTGGGGCCAGCGCTTGCCTTGGCCAGCAGAACTAGGCTGGCTTGCTTGCTTTCCTACTGCAGGAGAAATTCAAATTCAAAGTCAGCATTCACCCAGAACCGTTTGTGATTCTCTGTGCAGCAGGTCTGGTGTAGCAGTGTGCCTGCCAGGTCCGTTTCCCGGGGAGATGGGACATGGGATGGCTGTCCTGGGGCCAGGGTCACTTGGTATCCAGTAGTAGAGAGCCTGTCCATTGCAGCTTACCCAAGGAGGCTGCTGGGGACCTCCCCGCCATCTTCAACACCAAATAGGACAGGCCTGGACAGGCTCTATTCCTGCGACGCCCTCCCCAAGGGATAGCAGATCAGCCAGTCCCCCAGCCCTCAGGGAGGTGTATGGGGAGGAGGTTTGGCTTAGCTCAGGCCTTGGAGTCGTCCAAGTCTCCCCTTCCGGTGCTGTGGTGGCTGCAGGTCAGGTCCCCACAGATACCAGTAACCCACAGGAGCAACTCTGGTGTGGAGCTTCTCTCTGTCAACACCCCATACCTGCCCAGGAGTCACCGGCCTATGACCTCCCAGGCCAGCCTGTGACCACCTCTTCCTCTCCCATCTGGACTTACGGTTGTCTGGCCCCCAAGCCTCCCGGGCAAGTTCCCCTCCTGGCCGGACCAGCCTGCGAACCGATCTGCTCCCTCTGTCTGTCATGGCTTTGCAGCCCAGGCTCCTTGTCACGGTCGGGCCCAGTCCAGTCCTCGCTGTAGGGGAAGGAACACGTTAGTGAAGGCCGGCACTTCCAGCCTGAATGGTGTGGATGGGTCTCTGAGGATCTGAAGGTACTGCAGGTCAGTGAGGAGCCTAGAGGGCTGGTGGGTGGGCTCCGGCTGCCCCCAGCACCGTGCACAGAACCAGCCTGTCCCCTCTTTAAAATCCACCGAATCCACAGGTCAGGGTGTGAGCAGCCAGGACACACAGGAGTCAACCTCAGCTGAGGCGTGGTCAGGGAGGTCCTACAAGGAAGAGGAGGGGAGGTAGGGAAGGATAAAGCCTCACAATTAGCCCTGGGAGGCTGGTATTGCTACCCCCATGTCAGAGATAACGAGATAGGCTCAGCGAGCCTGTCCCCGAGCCCAAGCTGAGCAGTGAGCAGTGCAGCTGGGAGTGAGGCAGCAAGCCTGAGGTTGACTCCCAGGAGCCTTCCCTTGGGGCACTGGGTAGCCCCCCATACTGATCCTAGGGCTCAGGAGTGACCACGAGGACCTGAGGGTGTCTGGGACGCAAGCTCAGCTCTGGAGACCATGACCTTGGGGCAGGGGAGGAGGATCGGGCATCCCGAGCAACCGGGAAGCCCCACACCAGGACTTACAATGGGGAGAAACCCAGGAGTGATTGTTACTTTAAAATAGGAAACTGAAAGCGCAATCCAGCGTATGGGCTTGAGTGACTACCGCTCAGCACGTATGTCACCCTCATCAGAGATGCCATGGTGGGCTTGGCTTGGTAAAGAAGCCAGCTCCGGGACAGGAAAGCGGAGAGCTGGGGCATGGAGGGGTGGGGGAAGGCATTCCTTGGCGGAAGCAGAGCCTGGACCCCGCCACCCACTATGTCCTGCCCCGCGAGGGGTCGGGGGCGAGACAAAGGCTGAGGGGTGCAGACTGGGTGCCTGTGCTGCATCCCGCTCAGCCACCGCCTTCCCCCCGCTCCCCCAGGACTCTAAGGCTTGCCGAGAAGTTCCCAGCATCTGGTGTTCAGCTCCCACTCCCCTCTTTCATGGGGAAAGTGTAGATCAGACTAATTAATGTGTTGTTGTTTGTTTACCCTCCTTTCATTTCACTGAGACAAAATAATTAACCACAGAGCTTTAGAAACTGGCTCCATCGGTAGCAAACCCTTTTGTGTCAACTGTGTTAGCAGCCCCTGGGCACAGATGCAGGGACTGCCTGCAGAGCAGGTGGGCGGCACCCAGAGGCCCCTTCTGCCCCGGGTGCTGAGGGGTGGTGAGCGGGGGAGGGGGCTGGACGGGGGACCCAGGTAGCCATGAAGAGCTGGGAGGCTCAGAGCTGCCCCATCTCAGAGGAATGTGGTGGGCCCCCTGGGCTGCCAGCCACCTCAAGCCCACTGATGCCTGAATGGAGACCAAATACATTCCTGTGACCAGCCCCAGGGGAGGCAGAAAGAACAAGGCCTGGCCGCTCACTGCTGCTGCAGGCGGGGCTGGGGGGAACTTGCCCAGAAGGGTTTCTGGGGCCCCAACATAAGTGAGGTGGACACAGGGCAGCTGAAGAGGGGACCGGGCCCTACTAAGAGCTCTGTCCCAGCTGGTGGCAGATCCCCACCCTGCCTGGCCAGTGCTAGGGATGAGCCACAGGGGAGAACAGAAGGTTTGGGAATTTTTCTCAGGAGCCCTTGGATGAAGCGAGGCTGCATCCACCTCTGAGGTGCTAGGGGCCCTTCCGGGGTGGGGCTGGGGAAGGAAAGGGGGGCAGGAGCACAGAGGGCCCTTAGACAGAGACTGGGAGACTGGACTTTCTCCTCCAAGACAACAGGACCACCAAAGGGAGGATGTAATCAGATTGTTTAGGAGGCTCTTCTGATCTCCGTGCACACTGTGGCCTGAGACGGAAGACAGGGGGACAGTGACGGGGTGGGGTGGGCACTCAGGTGAAGATGGTGTTGGCTGGGCTGGTGACCTTGGGCCACAAAGAAGAGGAGGAAAGAGCTAAGAAGACCTGGGAGCGGGCCCCTCTCCATGCACTTGGGGGTGGCATCTGGGTGTCCCCAGAAGTCTGGCCTAGACCCCTACCCCCAGCACCTTGGTGCCCACTGCAGTGGCTGCTGGAGGCTTGGGAAACGCCATCCCAGCCTCCCCACCTGCAGGGACGGGACCTGCCTCCTCCTGTAGGTCCAGTTGGTGCAGGCAGCTCTGTGCCCTCTCCTGCAGCTCTCACTCCAGCCAGGCTGCCGTGTGCATGCACGCTAGGCCGAAGGCAGCCAAACCCACCAGCTCAGAGTGGGGGCAGCCAACTTCGGGTTACCCTCAAATAAAACTGCTGGGATTTTAAAGAAAGAATAAGTACGTCTGGCAGACGGCAGGCATGGGAGGGCTGGACAGCCACAGCCCCTCTAAGTACTGAGTCATGAGCTCTGGGCCACAGAGGTGATAGAGCTCTGCTGGGGGGTTAAAAATCACGTGCGCAGAGGGTCAGCAGGCCTGCAACAAACCCTCCAATTTCAGCCACTGTCATTATAAAATTGGTCTCAGGGCCTCAGTTCACAGGACCTCTGAATCAGCAGACCCCAAAGTAAAGGCCATGGAGGTTAGGGCATCTGGGGGGAACCTGGCCTTCGGAGACCAGGACTCGGGCTGGGTTGGGAGAAGGTGGTGAAGGCCACTGTCTGGTCTGGGACTCCAGAGCAGGATGTCAGCAGTCTCCTCCCATCCTCTGAAACAGCTTCCCCACCACCCCCTACCCCAGAGGGAAGGCTGGCCCTCTGCCCTCACCAACATCCTTGACGGTGAGCCCATTGCCCGCACCTGAGTGAGAAGCCTTGCAACTACAGCACCAGACAAAGCCACGTGGTCCCCCTGCCCACAGGCGGGTGGCATGCTTTTCCCAAATTAAACCAAGGTGCAGTGCAGAGCTGTCTGCAAAGGAACTGTTTCCCATGGCTCCTGGCCAGACAGCTGTGGTCTGAGTAGACACACCTGCTTCCCCAAACTGTAACCTTCCGGTGTTTCCTTCAAAGCGATTTCCCCTGAAGAAGGTAAAATCCTTGTGAAATGTATTCTCCAGAACCCCAGAACCAGACACAGACACCAGCTAAAGTTCATCTTTAGACATTAAGCTCTGGTCTGGGACAAGTACCTCGTCCCCACTAAATCAGCCCTGGAGACGTGGCCATGGGAGTGCACTTAGGTGACAGGTGCATCCGGGAAATCCTCCCCTCCGCCCCCCCCCACCCCCCCGCCGGCACCTCAGGCTTAGAGGCAGTGCAGACTGACTTCCATTCACCCACCTATTTCCTGAGCTCCTGCTGGTGCGGCCCTAGGACCCACCATGTCCTCGATGCAGCCCTTTCTTCCAGGAAGCTCCCAGTCTGCTGGGGAAGTGGCCATGTTCCATGAGCTTTTATGACCTAGAATTGCAGAGTGCAGGCCATGCACAATGGGGACAGGAGCCCCCAGTGGAAGTACCTACGCCAGCTGACAAAAGGCAGCAAAAAGGCCTCTCTGAGGAGGTGATTTCTGAGCTAGGTCTAGAAGAAAAGGGGTGAGCTAGGTGACGGGCAGGGCACGGACAGGAAACATCCCACCGAGTGGGAACTGGGCACAAGGGAGATGGGGCTGCAGACACGGCAGACCTGGCTAGGAGACAAGACGCCTAAAAAGGGCCCAAAAAGGCTTCCGAGGGTTTGGGGTATCTGAGGGACGGTCAGACCAGACAGAATCCCTCGAGCCACTGAATGGAAGATGGCCTGATGGAGACACAGCCAAGAAAGTGGGTGAAGCATGATGCAGTCATGGACCAGCCCAGGGGCTCCAGGAGTGGGGCGGATGTGATGTGGGGACTGGGGGAGGCAGAACCCGGATGGCACCCACGTCCTGGCTGCAGTGACCAGGGAGGCAGGAGGAAGAAAGGCGGTGGGGCCAGGATGGATGGAACATGGGCACAAACCCCCATGGCACCAGGGCAGAGGCTAGACTGGGTCGGGGAGACGGTGACCAGGAAGTGAACCCCCCAACAGTTCAGGTAATGAAGACCTGAGATGATGCTTATATGAGCTTCACCACAGAATGATCTCCCACGGGTCCCTGAAGGCTGGGCCAACACCCCAGACTCTTGTCTTTATTGATTCTACATTCAGTGCAGTAACTGCAGCTAGAGGCCTCTGCTACGCAGGGCCCTAAGGCCTGGTCTGAGGCTCATGCCTTGGGGGGGGTGGGGGGACTCATTCCTCCAGCTGTGGGCCTCAGCTGGAACCCGGGGCTGCATCACAGGCTTAGGGGAGAAGCTTGGGCCAGATCCTCACAGCCCCAGGATGCTTCTCCAAAAGTCACAGGGACCAACATTCCGGAAGTTGGTAAGGTCCAGGCAGTGCCAGGATCCTGGCTGGTCAGGGATTTCTGGTGGGAGTCAGCTGGGGTGGGAGTACAAGGGTGGGCTGATGCTGCAGGATCAGCACAGTGAGAGCCCGGTTGTGGGTAGGGCGCTCCTGTAAGGGGTCCTCCTGCCAGCCACACTGCCCTGCACCCTAGGACTCTTTGACCCCGTTTCTCTGCTGTTTGCTCCCTCTCTGTTCTGACCTGAAGGACACTCAGTGACAAGTGGGTATGTTTGAGGCTCCTCTGAATCAGGGTCACCCCGTGCCCATTCCAGGCACACCCCTGGCTCCTGATGAGCTGTTGGCTGCTCCAGGCCAGTGTCAGGCCCAGGCATCCTCCAGGATCCCCAGCCTGCCTCCCAAATGCCCACAAAGCTAGGACCCTCCAAAATCCGGGGTCCGTTTTTGAGCAGTTAGGTTACAAGATCAAGATGGACAGCTAGACGTGGTCATGTCACCAAGCTGTTTACTTCAAGAAAACCAAACACACACAGGCAAACAGAATACTCCTGCTTCTGATGGAGGAAGCAGGAACAGGGTGAGGGGGAGAGTGGCCTCAGCATCCAACCAGCTCCCCTAAGGATGAGTAAAGCCCCCTTATCTTCTGTCTTACAGGTTCCCCTGCAGGCCCCAGTGGCCCAGTATGGCCCCCTGAGGTGAACCATGACTGGCTGGCCAACACTCACCACTGACCGCCCAGAGACGCAGCTCACCAGGAGGTGACCCCTCCTGCACCTGCTCCCGCCCCCCTCTGCCCACCCCTCGCAGGAAAGTGCCCGCGCTGCCACGGACACCATGTAGTAGGGCCGGCCGCGGCGCCCAGTGAGCTGCGATGGTTTTGTACACGGCCCCCTTTCCCAATAGCTGTCTGTCCGCCCTGCACGCCGTGTCCTGGGCTCTCCTCTTCCCATGCTACTGGCTGGTGGACCGGCTCGTGGCCTCCTTCATTCCCACCACCTGCAAGAAGCGCCAGCGGGCGGACGACCCGTGCTACCTCCAGCTGCTCTGCACCGTGCTCTTCACGCCCGTCTACCTGGCCCTCCTGGTTGCCTCGCTGCCCTTCGCCTTTGTCGGGTTCCTCCTCTGGTCCCCACTGCAGTCCGCCCGCCGACCCTACATCTACTCCCGGCTGGAGGACAAGGGCCCGGCCGGTGGGGCGACCCTACTCAGTGAATGGAAGGGTACGGGTCCTGGCAAAAGCTTCTGCTTCGCCACTGCCAACCTCTGCCTCCTCCCTGACTCGCTGGCCAGGCTCAACAATGTTTTCAACACCCAAGCGCGGGCCAAAGAGATCGGGCAGAGAATCCGCAACGGCGCCAGTCGGCCCCAGATCAAAATCTACATTGATTCGCCCACCAATACCTCCATCAGCGCGGCCAGCTTCAGCAGCCTGGTGTCACCACAGGGCAGCGATGGCGTGGCCCGGGCCGTCCCTGGGAGCATTAAGAGGACGGCCTCTGTGGAATACAAGGGTGACGAGGCTGCCAACGGCCCGGCCTCCGGGGAGCCGGCCGAGGGCAGTAACCTGGAGGACGCCTGCATCGTGCGCATCGGAGGCGGAGGCGAGGAGGGGGGCCGGCCCCCCGAAGCCGAGGACGCCGCCACTGGGGGCCAAGCCAGGAATGGGGCTGGTGGAGCCCCACAGGGTCAGATGCCCAACCACAGCCAACGGGACGGGGACTCGGGGAGCCTGGGCAGCCCCTCGGCCTCCAGGGAGTCCCTGGTGAAGGTGCGGGCCGCGGCAGACAGCGGCGGCAGCGGGGAGCCGGGCGCCACCAACAGCAAGCTCCCCTACAAGGCCTCCGGGGTGAAGAAGGCGGCCGCGCGCAAGAGGCGGCACCCGGACGAGGCCTTTGACCACGAGGTGTCCGCTTTCTTCCCCGCCAACCTGGACTTCCTGTGTCTGCAGGAGGTGTTTGACAAGCGGGCAGCCGCCAAGTTGAAAGACCAGCTGCACGGCTACTTTGAGTACATTCTGTACGATGTCGGGGTCTACGGCTGCCAAGGCTGCTGCAGCTTCAAGTGTCTCAACAGCGGCCTCTTCTTTGCCAGCCGCTACCCCATCATGGACGTGGCCTATCACTGTTACCCCAACGGGCGGCGCTCCGACGGCCTGGCCTCCAAAGGAGCGCTGTTTCTCAAGGTAGGAGGCCATGGCCCTGCCCTGGGGCACAGGTCAGCCTGTGGTAGAGCCACAGGGCGGAGGTGCGGGTGGGGCTGCAGCCAGGAGGTCCTTCCACTCTGGGAGGACTGGGGGCAGGCGAGGCCTTTCATGGAGCTGAACCGGTGGGCACCCAGCTCAGGGACAAGGGCCGAGGGTCCAGGCTCAGACAGGCCTGGCCGGGTGCTATCGGGCAAGTTCCTCAGATCTCTGAGCCATTATCTCCTCATTTGTAAAGTGGGGGCAGCCTGGTGCCCACTCATAAGGCGGGGAATGAGCTTGAGGCCTGGGGGGTCCTTGCGGTGCCGGTGGTGAGGGTGGCAGTGATAAAGGGAGGAGGAGGAGGCAGGGGGCCCCTGTCCACGAAGGGGCCAACGCCCGCTCCCTTAGGCCTGCAGCCTCACTGGCCGGATGTGCCCTCCCTCCCGGCGGTCACGCAGCTGCCGTGCCAGGCACTCTGCCCACCAGCCCAAGGCTTCGCTCCCGTAGCCACTAATTAAAGGGAATCATAATTATTTCTGCTAATTTGGATGCAATTGCAGGAGTTTTTAGACCGTGGTAATTTGGTCATTACCCGTTATCTTCTACTGAGCCTGACAACGCACCGAGTGTTGACTTTTTGTTCCCTACGCAAAAGCCACTCTCAGCGTTTCCAGAGTTTGGGGAAGCAACATTTGGCCAGTTGATGCAGGACCCAGACCCCACTCCAGAGTACTCAGTGGTTCCTGTGTGGCTTTGCAGGCCCAGAGTTGGGGATCCTTGACTCTCCTCTCACAGTCTGAGATGCTGAAACTGAGTGAACTCCTCTTACCTCCCCATTTTGGCATATGGTTCATCAATGTTCTGTTCCTCGGATATATTTTTGTCTCAGCAGCTGGAGTGACTTTCTGGGGGAAGGAGGGGATGTGTTGTCAAGCTCAGGAGAAGAGTGTACCCTCTCCCTCCCACCCACTCTACCACAGATGGTTCAGAGGCTGGGGACCCCCTTGGCCCTGCCCCCAGCCCACACCCTCATCTCCCTCCTTGGTCTGGCACCCCAACCACCATGCCCACCAGGGTCACAACAGTCTCTTGGGACAGTCTCTCTGCTGCGGACATTCTTCTCACCTCTCTGGCCATTCCTTCCAGGCCCCTGGTCCCCTGCCCAGCCTTTAACTGCTAATGCTCCCTCTGCTCCTTAGCCTAAAACTGCTCTGCAGATATGCTTAATCTGGTCCACACCAACAAGTTTCCTGTGTTGGCCAACACTTTTTTTTTTAAAGATTTTATTTGTTTGACAGAGAGAGACACAGCGAGAGAGGAAACACAAGCAGGGGGAGTGCGAGAGGGAGAAGCAGGCTTCTCGCCGAGCAGGGAGCCCGATGCGGAGCTCGATCCCAGGACCCTGGGATCATGACCTGAGCTGAAGGCAGACGGTTAACGACTGAGCCACCCAGGCGCCCCAGTGTTGGCCAACATTTAAAAATCAAGATATTGCACATAAAATCCTGTCTGCAACTTCCCTCCCACCTCACAGATCTGACAGCACCTGGCGGGCCTCCTGCCTCCTGCCCAGCTCTCAGCCCTACCTGAGGGTTGGCAGCCCCCACAGCAGGGCGACCCAACCCCACGTGGGTAGGCCTCTTCATTTCCATGTGGTCACCATGCCAGCCCCACGCACCCACCTGGGGAAGTCGCTGCCCAGACTCCAGGTGCACACCTGCTTGAGGGCTCTCGAGTTTGTCCCAGCTCCCATCTCTTCCCCCGGGCCCCCAAGTCTGTGTCCGGCTGCCTCCTGGACACAGTTCCCTTTCACTGATCATCTGCCCATCTCCATCAGCCAGTTTCCACCATGCCCACCTTGACTCCTCCCTGTGCCCTGAACCTCTGCATCCAGGCTCCTCATTTCACTTTCCAAATACGTCTGGGTCCACCCCACCCCCCAAGCCCCAGCTGCACTATCATGGCCCAGGCCGTTATTCCTCCGCATCTGCCTGTGTTTGGGGCTGTCCTTCCCCTCCCAACCCCATCCCCTCCCCGCCCAGGTCTGACTCCTGTTGCTCTCTTCCTGCTGCCTCAGGGAGAAGCCCAGCCTTCAGCTGGGCCCCTCCACCTGCCCTGGGCTCTGCTCCAGCACCCCACTCGCCCGGGGGGCCTCCATACCCAGCCCCCCTTATCCTGGCCCCGCCCTGGCTTGGCCACACTCCCTCTGTGGAGCTTCCACAGCACAGCCAGCACAAGCCAGCTTTCCCTCTGTGGGACCCTCAGCCCTGGTCCCCAGCCATCTTGCCGTCTGTCTCTCCAGTCAGACAGAAATGAGAATGGGCCATTTGAGCCCCATGCACAGCAGACCCAGTTCATCTGTTGGTGAGAGCGGGCCTGTTTCTCCTGCCTGGAGGAGTGAAATAAATGAGGATCTGGGAGACAGGCCAGGGGCCAGGCCCTTGGCTGCAGGTGGAGGTCAGTGCTCCCTTCATCTGCATCCCCCCTCCCCCTGTGACGCATCTATGCCTGAGGAAAAGGCGCTTTCCTGCTACTGTGCACCCTGAGGAGGAAGGGACTGGAATCGCTCCTGCTCACGTCCCTGATTTTGGGCCCCTTCTCTGTGAACAGTCTCTGCCCACCAGGACTAAGAGGCACAGCCTCTCGGTGTGATTGTTTGTTTTTGCAAGAGAAACACAAACCTCTGCCACTCCCGAGGACTCGAGCCAGAGCAGAATCAATCAGTCCAAGCACGTAAGGAAGCGGATCCTGGCAGCTCACGGGGCTCACGGGGCTCACAGCACTGACAGAGAGCAGGGAAGTCACGGGAGGGGCCAAGTTGCGCCCAGGGACAGGCAGCGGGGGGCCTTGCTGCTGTGTCTTCCCTCCCTCCCGGGCTGTTCTCCTGGGTAGGGGTAGGGCTGAGTGGTACCTCCACTGTATTAGCACAGGCAGGTAACACCAAGTGCCCAATGAGTGAGGGGGTGACACACTAAGACCGTCGAATGGGTGAAAAGCCTGCCAAGTCACCAGGAGTTGAGAAAGCAGCAGAGAGTAGGGTGAGAAGTTGGGCTTGCGGCAGCAAATATCTGATGTGAACCGGCCTCAGCCAACAGAGCCTCGTGACCCCAAGCCAATTCTAGTAAAACCTGTATAACCCTCCGACCTGTTGTAAGGCTCTAGCAAGGCAGTGTCCATGAAACACCAAGCACTAGTGCTCAGTTTATTATTATTCAGGGGGAACAGAAGCACTGCCCCAGGAATATAAGGGGCAAGCGCGCCACCGTGTGGCCTTCGGGGGCACTGATTTTTAAAACCGTGTTGTGTTTTTGCAACAGAGCACATCAATGGTATGTGATTTCCCGAGACATTGCAGGAATGGCGGTACTGAAAGGCCGAGGTTTGGGTCTGGACTGTGGGCAAGAAGTGAATGGTGAACATGGGACTTTATAAGCAGCCCCAAACCAGGCTGTACTGCCCATTTTCAAGTCACCAGATGTTCATCTCTCTGGGCGCTGGGAAAGGAGATATGTACATCCATCCAGACTGGGAAAGGAGATGAAGAGCTATAGAAAGCTAAGAACGCTTAATGATGTGAAGACCCAGATGGAGGAGAATAATGCCTACCTGGCTTTGGCAGCAACAAGAAAGAGGGAAGCCTCCCAAGGCTGTCAGAGGAGGGCCCGTGATGTGGCAGCGGTGGCGAGTCCAGGCCACTCTTAGCTGGGGGATGGGCAGGGCCATGTTCAGCAGATATATGTCCCCCAGCCACGAACTGGCCTCTACAGTCACCTTCCCTGGATGGTTCCCAGGGTCCAGGATCTCATCATAGAAAACCCATTCTGGAACAGATTAAAGAAGTTTGGGAAAGACTGCTCAGGTTCAGGTGGGAGGAAAGCCCAGCAAGAAAAGAGACCTCTGGGGATAGGCATCCACAGATGATCCAAAGGAGCATGCCTGGCGGGGGAGGGGCAATGTCCCCCTCTGGCCTCCAGCAGCTGGGCCGTGGCCAGAGGGCCTGGGAGAGCGGCCGGCTGGGCAGCATCACTTACCTCCACGATCACAGCCCCAACAATGGCTCAGGCTTGCAGCACGGTCACCACGGACGGCTGTTTCGGGTTGTCTGTGATGTGACCCCAGCCTGTGGAGAGAGCCCACCAGGATCATCTGCACTTGGGCAGGGAGTCTCAGAGGAGCCCCCAGACCCATTCCACCCTCTGGGGACTCTCAGTGAGCCGGAGGCAAAGGCTGAGGTCTGGGGGGAGTGCAGCATGAAGGCCTGCAGAGGCTGCTGTGGAGGAAGGAGGACTGGGCTCTGGACAGAGGCCAGGGGGCACCTGAGGTCAGCCCGTAACACAGGTGCCATGGAGACACAGGCCACAGCTGTCATCCCAGATCAGGGAACCAACAGGAACCACTGCCAAAAAGCAGATGAAGTGGCTTCTCCTGAAGCCACAGGGGCAGAGGCTGGGGAGACAGGGTCATTTCCGTGCTGCGAAGGGTGTCAGGCTCTGTGGCTCGGCTGCTCCCAGAGGGGAGTCTGACTTCGACTTCGGAGGGACGGGCTGCAGAGTGGGATCAGGTCTAGGCTATGACTAAGGGAAGGGGGAAAGAGCCATCAGGGGAGTGGACAAGGAACTGAGGGGCTGGCACATGAGGGTCATCCACGTGGACACTCTGGGCACCAGGACAGGGAAGAAATGAGTGGGGATTTCTGCATTTTTCCTCCTATAAAGCCTTGCATGAATTACTAGTGGCGTTTACCATGCCAGAGATTGGTATTTCTTGATACATCTGCCTCCCACACTGGACCAGAAGCTCCTAGAAGCATGACATGTGCTATTCCTACCTGAGCCCAAGTCAAGCTAGGAGCTGACAGAGATGGGCTTGTACTCAGAGCAATGATGACTTCATCAATACCTCACCTCCTCCCCAACAGGTGCAGGTGGGAAGCACACCTCAGGACCAAAGAATTGTTGGGTACATCTCCTGCACGCACCTGCATGCCCTGCCAGGTAGGGTCTGGTGGCCCGGGCCTTCCAGGGGGTGGGCAGTCCACCCTGCCGCAGGCTGGGGCCGGTGCCGGGGCCTGACTGGGGTCTGACTGCAGCTCTGCCATCTGATCTCTCTGGTTCTGCCCCACAGAGGACAGTGCCATCCGGTGTGAGCAGCTAGACCTGCTTCAGGACTGGCTGGCTGATTTCCGAAAATCTACCTCCTCGTCCAGCACAGCCAACCCCGAGGAGCTGGTGGCATTTGATGTCATCTGCGGAGATTTTAACTTTGACAACTGCTCCTCAGGTGAGGTGGTGGTCCTGCCCAGTCGGGTCGGCTGCTGGGGCGGGCATGGGCTCCAGGCATGGCTGGAAAGACTTGGGTTCTGCAGCTTGAAGAACTTCCTGCTCCTCGTGAGCATGTGGGTGAGATATTAGCAAGACTAGGATTTCTCTGCCCCCTAGAAATCCTAAAATGAGAAGAGCCCACGCTCTGCCTAGAAAGCTCAGAGGCCTCCTTACTGGAGACAAAGAGATGCCCTAAAAATGAACCTCTGACAAAGAAGCCTCGGGGCCTCTGAAACTCAGACTATGCGCGAGTCAGCTAACACTACCCACCAAGTCCTCAGTCATCTCTTGCTTTGCATCAGGCACAATTCTAACGCTGTTTCATTTAAATCTCAGAACAATCCTGAGAGTGAGCACGGGGCTAATCTGCAGGGGTGAAGAGGAAGCAGAAACCCAGACAGGCCCAGTCACTAGTCCAAGGTCACAGAGCCAGGACATGGTTGAACTGGGATTTGAACCCTGGCAATTATGCCTTTAACCATTAGGCTAAAAGACTAAAAATTGATCATGGGCAAACTTTTAAATAATTGACTTAACTAACTAACCTGGTGATCACGCTGATCTCAAGGACCTCCTGGGAGTTTGGGCAGCTCTGAGCTTCCCTTGGCCCAAGGAGCTGATGGGAGGAACCCCCACTCCCACCCCCACCCCACCCCATCCACTGGCTCCTGGGCTCCTTCCACAGCAGCCGAAGCCCCAGGAGAAACCAAAGATGCGTGAGTGACATGGGGTCTGTGAGCTTAGGCTTAGCCCTCAGTGAAAGCAGGACACCTGAAGGTCCCACCTGGAGCACAGGGTGGTGCCCTCACCTGGTGGCAGCTGTTTCTGACGGTTCCTGACCCGGAAATCAACCCCTGACCATAGTGGCAACTCCAGGGTGGGTGGGGGAACAGTGTCTGCCATGGAACACACAGCCCCTGGCTGCAGCCCACGGTGCCCTCGAAGTCACATGCCTGGGACCGGCGCCAAATGCTGGGTGCTCCTGGGATCTTCCTGAGTCAGGGTGGGAACGTGGCACACAAAGGAAGAGGCTGCCAGAGAGTTCCACCCAGTCGGGCCCCACTTGGTGCCTGTCCTTCCTCCCAGGGGGTGTGTGGCTCCATGAGTTGGCCCAACAAACTGGAATCCAGGGCAGGTCACCTCTCCCTCTGAGCCTTGTAGGGTCACTCCTCACTCAGCCTGGGCACCCAGGGCTGTGAAGGCAGGAGCACCCAGAGGGAGCCCAAGGGGACAGCGACCCCTGTCCTCAGAAGGATAGCTCAACCCGGGTTGGGGAGGGGGGTGCTTTCTCAAGGACACAGAAAACCAGTGACAGATGAACCGCGGTTCATCTGGGACCACAGAGCCCCCCAGAGGCAGTTAGCCGAGGGACTCGGTGGCATCTGGTCAGCGTGACTGACTAGCAGCAGAGGCAGGCAGCCCTGAGGACAGACACCCGCGCCCCACAGCAGCCCCCCTCTCCCTGCTTGCACAGATGACAAGCTGGAGCAGCAGCACTCCCTGTTTACACACTACAAGGACCCCTGCCGCCTGGGGCCCGGAGAGGAGAAGTCCTGGGCCATCGGTGAGCTGGCGCTGGGGGCAGAGGGTTGAGGGTGGGGGCACCAAGGGGAGCCGGGGGAGGGGAGGGGCACCACCGAGGCCTGAGCCCTCCATGCCGAGGCCTGACACTACACCAAGGCTGGGCTCCCCGTAGGCTTCCCAGGGAGACTTCAGGCCCTGCCCCCAAGACCCCACTGCAAGGGGCAGGGGCAGGGGCAGTCAGCTGCCCAGGCCTGAAGCCTCACTCAGACCTCCCGCCCCAGGGAGGCGGCCCTCCTAGAAGGCTGGCTGGGCCCTGCCCACAGTGACCACTCTCGCCTCCTCGTTCCCAGGTACCCTGCTGGACACAGACAACCTCTACGACGAGGAAGTGTGCACCCCTGACAATCTGCAAAAGTAAGCAGCCAGCGGCCATGCCGCCAAGGTCGGGCAGGGGAGGGTGGCTCTCGGGGCTGGGATGAGCACTGAGCCCCGACTCTGGTGTGGGGAGCTGGGTTGTGCTGGGCAGAGCAGAGAACACAGTTCCATGGGAAAGAAGCCTGTGAGGACCTCAGGGACTGAAGCTGGGGTGGGTGGAAACTGGGCCACCCTCACGCCCCAGGGGGCTGGTCCGCCCATGGAGAAGCCTCCCACCAGGATGAGGGGCTCAAGGTGGCATTTCCTACATCAGCACCAGAGTCCGGGCTCACTTTGGAAGAGCTCAGCCTGCCCTGAGCCCCATCCTGTTGAGGCACTTCCAGGAACAGGAAAGGGCCCAGAAACCCCCAGGGCGAGGCCAGGGCTGCCGAGATCCCTGTGGAAGGGCTATGGGGATGGCCTGTGTTGCAGGGACCCTGTCAGCTGGTAGCCACAAATTAGGCAAATTAAAATACGAGCGGAGCTAACACAGACCAGTGTTTTCGAAGTAGAGACAGTTCCATCCCAGCCAAACTTCATACTTGAATCTGATCAGAGACTTCCATAAAGGGCACATTTGAGAGGCCAGCAGCAGAACCAATTTATAACTCACAGCCTGAGACTGCACAGAGTCATGGCAGTGGCTCCTCACAGCTAATTTGAGCCAATTAATTAGATTATAGACTAAATTTGAAACACCATCCTATGCCGAGAAAATTATCTTTTTATGAGATGATGATTAAAAAATGACTATCAGTAACTCTTAGATCATTGATGCTGGAATTAATTATCAAAGGCAAAGGACAGTAATGGATTATATTTCTGAGATGTAATGATGTTCTGCATGTCATTAGTGTATTTATCTCAGGGCTGATAAAGACCTTGTAGGAACCCATGTTTGCTGGCTGTTCGCGTCCAGGCGCCCCTTCCATGGGTCCGGGCATGAGCCAGCCTGGCGGGTCTGTGCGGTGTCTGTCAGCACCTGCCCTCTGCAAGTCTCCCGTGAAGGCTCTTCACCGCGGGTGCTCAGGCTCCAGAGGAAACCTGGCAGGAAGGGAACAGCAGACAGGAAGTCAAAAGACCTGGATTCAGGGTGTTAACACCCCACCTCAGCGCCTTGCACACCGTGTAGAATCTTGACCCACACTTAAGCACCTACATAGTTTCCTTCCTCCGAGGAATGGGATGGCAGACACATCCTATGTTTTTTGTTTTTTTCCAAGTTTTACTTAATTTAAGTCACCTCTACACCCAATGTGGGGCCTGAACTCACAACCTCAAGATCAAGAGTCACATGCTTTTCCTACAGGCGCCCCACCACCACCATGTTGTTCCTTTCTCAGCATGCCTGGTCCCCAAAGTGTCCTGGGGCCCACAGTGTTCATCCTCATGTCAGAGGAGAGCACAGGGGTTGGGTGCCACAGCCGCTCAGAGCTAGATGGACCCAGGAGTCTAGTACTAGGATAGGGCATGGGTGCCCTCCTGCCTCGCCCAGCCCCCTGCTGACCTGAAACAACAGTCCCAGGAGGTCTGAGGACTTTGAGAAGTCCCTGAGGTTCCTTGCAAAGACCCTTTCCCCAAACAGGCCCCCCAGTGGCTCCGAGCAAAGCCCTGTTGTGCACCTCTGTCCCTGACTCGGCCCCAGGTTCTGGGCAATGCTGTGTCCAAACTTCAGCCACAGCTAAGCCCAAAGTGGACATGGGACATTCCTAGACAGACTCTGGAGTGGCACGGCTCAGCCAGGAATTCACAGGCTCACACTGAGTTTCCCTCCACCCCAGGCCATTTTTGGCTCCACAGGGAAGACAGATCTTACACTGGGTTTGGTCTGACCTGCTTGTCTCTCACTTGGGGATGAGAACGTGGCTCCAGGGCACCTGGGTGGCTCAGTTGGTTAGGCAACTGCCTTTGGCTCAGGTCATGATCCTGGAGTCCCGCCAGGATGAGTCCGACATCAGGCTCCCTGCTCAGGAGGGAGTCTGCTTTTCCCTCTGGCCCTCCCCCTTCTCATGCTCTCTCTCTCAAATAAATGAAATCTTAAAAAAAAACAAAAACAAAAACAGAGAATGTGGCTCCACACTCAGGATCTGGGGCCTGGGGAAGGGGGCAAGGGGCTCACCTTGCTTCCTGTGCCTTCCTGTGTGTCGAGCAGGGTCTTGGAGAGCGAGGAAGGCCGCAGGGAGTACCTGGCCTTCCCCACCAGCAAGAGCCCCGGGGTGGGCCAGAAGGGACGCAAGGACCTGCTCAAGGGCAACGGCAGGCGCATCGACTACATGCTGTATGCGGAGGAGGGGCTGTGCCCGGACTGGAAGGCCGTGAGTCTGGGGTGGACCGGGCAGTCAGGCTACACCTGTAGATAGGGGACCCTTGCCCTGCACCCCTCAACAGCACGGAACTCGCCTCTGGAAACGAGATTGGTCAGTGCCAGAGGCCCTGGAGCCCATGTGATGCTCCCACCCCTCTGTCTCCAGGAAGCTGCTGCCCAGCTCCAGCCGCACCCCCTCCCCCCATCCCACGGCCCCACCCCTGCTCTCCAGGCCCTTCCTTTGCAGGATATCCTCTGGATCTAATAGGGATGCTTCTCCCCAACAGGAGGTGGAAGAATTCAGTTTTATCACCCAGTTGTCTGGCCTGACTGACCACCTTCCAGTGGCCATGCGGCTGATGGTGTCTGCAGGAGAGGAGGAGGCATAGACCAGCCACGTCATTCCGAGCAGTGGGGCCTCTGCCAGCCCTTTGAGCCGCAGCACCTCTCTGGCCATGTCCCCTCCAGCGAGTGCCCCTGGTGCTGGGGGAGGAGGGCAGGGACCCGGGGGGAGCCTCGGTCAGTCCCGGGTGAGCTGGAGCCAGCGCTGTCCTGCACCTCTGGGCACTCACCGTGGACGGAGGAGTCAGGCCAGCCTTGGGAGCCGCAGCTGCCCGACAGTGCCATTCTTTCGAAACGTGATTTTCTACAAATCTACAGCACAACCTAGTTTGTAACCCGGGGGTTAGTATGAGAACCGGGTTTCTGTACTCTTTATATCTCTTCTCAAGCTTCGTCCAGGGTTCATTATTTTTGTCTGCTGCCACGTTGTCTCGCATGCCTGCACCCTCGCATGCACGCTGCCCGCATGTCACGTGCCATGCCGTAGCCACACAGACCCCTCGCTCGGGCCTCACCCAAGGCCAAACTCCAAACACGATCAGAACCAGCCAAAGAAGCATTCCTGGGCACAGGGCCGCCAGTTCCCGCCTCCAGCCCAGATGGCTAGCAAGCAGGGACCTTGAGGGCTGTGTCCAGTTACCAGCAAGGCCGGGCTCTTCCCAGGGTCTTGCATTCAAGGGCGATTACATTTTAAAAAGAAAAACAGAAAAAGTTAAGAAAACTACCCTTCACTTTAGAGGGTCTGCAAACCATGAGGGAGAGCGCTGCTCGGGCTCCCCTCTCCCAGCCAAACAGGGCCCCAGAGGCTCCCCCAAGAGACTTCAAAGTGGGCAGAGGGAATCTGAGGAGACAGCATCACCTTTTCACAGGAAGAAGGGGAGCTCATGGTATAAATGGGCCAGGGGGACTTCAGGTTTTCCAAATGATAGATTTATAGCTTCTCTTCTGTCAACACCAACACATCCTCTTCTTTCTGCCTGATCCCATTTCCCTTCTGGACACCTCTCTGGTTTGGGACCAAGCTTTCCCTGGCTGAGCTCAGGAACTGCCTGCCTGCCTCTGGGTGAGGCTGCAGCTCTGTCATCCCAGGCCCAACCTGAAAGGCGACCCAGGGGCCCTGGATGAAGAGGCAGGAAGCCAAGGTGCAGACCAGCCTGTCCCTTCACCCTCACCAGTGTGGAGGCTGGGGATGAAGGCCGGGGGCCACCGCTTGCCTGGGGCAGCGAGTGGTACTGGTTGGCATCCAGGCCTGTAGATACCCACTCTGCCACCATGTGACCAGGGCCAGCCCTGGGTACTGGGCAGGACATGGCAGAGCCCAGGTGAGGTCTGCAGCTCCCCTCTCCATGGCAGCACTGCCTCTGCCTACCTGCCTTTTTAAACACACCCGGGGATGCTCCCCATAGTCACGCGAGGGAGGCTGGTGTCTGTTTCCCAGTACAAGGACCCGCCAACTCGGAGGACTGTTCTTGACAACCCCCACTGGTCTCCCCTCCTCGAAGCACCCTGACCTTGTGCCCACCTGGCTCAGAGCCAGCTCTGCCCAGCGAGGCTGGGGAGTGCACCAGGACCCTTCGAATACTAGAAGCCTCCTGGTGCCGGCTCGCTGACGCTGTGCCTTGTCACCCACCTGAGCTGCAAGAAGGACCAAGACGGGGGCCAAGCAGCCAGCCAGAGGTGGGCCCTGCGCTGGAGGAGGACACTCTTGAGAACCATATACACAGGGGCACTGGTTTGTTCAGGGCAGTGTCTGGGCTGACGGCTTCGTTGCCAGGAGCATTCCCTGACCAAGGCCCCAGCCCCACCCTGAGTCCGGAGCCAGGAGGGGCTGCTCAACCCCGAGTGCACAGTCCCACCTGGGCTCTCTGCTGTGCCTCTCCTCTGAGGGCCTGGCCTCCAGGGCCCTGGCTAGGCTCCGTGGGGTCAGAGGGCCCCCCACTCCCAGGAGCAGCCAGGAATCTCTGCTCACATAGGCAGGGCCCAACTGAACACACTCGATGCCTGGATGGCGGGACTGAGCCAAGGCCTCCAGGCTTCGAGTCAGCCGTGTCCAGGAGAACAGGAGAGACAAAGGCCAGGGTTCCTGAAGCAGAGAAACGCCAGTCCAGCCTCCACCCCTCCGAGGAGCCACCTCCCTCCCAGGGCAGCTCTCTGGGAGCTGCGGCACAGGGCGGCACATGCTTCTCTCCCTACTCACAGGGCGGCCTTAGGCAAGTCATACCTCCCTGTGCCTCGGTCATTTCCTGTCCTAACAAGGTCGCCTCTGCCCAGCCTGGCTTGGCATCTGGAGCCGGGCCAGCCTGCATCCCATCTCCCCTCACCCTATCCTCTGGCGCAGCCTGAGCACTGAGGCCACCACTGCCCAACCACACGTTTCATCAAGGCTGTGGACTCCTAGGACCATGCACAAGCCAGACTTTTCCATTTTGATTTTTTAAAAAAAGAAAACACTATCAGGATCTCAGATTCTGTGGCATCTAGGCCTAGGAGGGGTGGACACAGGGGTCATCCAAATCCCCACCCAAGGCCCCACGCCTGCCCCAGGCCCAGCCTCCTCCACAGAAGCCAGGAGGCAGGGGTCAGCTTCGGAAGGAAACGGTCATTTCCATTTGTCCAAACCACCTTGAGTTTTAAGTATGAATATTAACCTTGATGCTTTTTAACTATTGTATTAACTTGCTAAGATTTAGAAATACTGTTTTAAAAAAGAAAAAAAAAAAAACAATTTTTTAATTTCTGTATTTTTTTCGGTATTGTATCCTCATGGGACATTAGGGGTTTTATATGGTAAGCACACCTAAGGTTTTGGTAAAAATATTATCAAATATATATCCAGACGATTCTTCCCTAGAAGAAAAACAATCTTTACACCTGATAAAATATTTTGAAAAGAGAGGTGTTTTTTCCCTTTATTGGTGCTGAACGGAAGGATGGATAATAAGAAAATAAAACTGTGAGGCTCAAGGCTGGTGTTCTCTTATTTGAGCGACAAGCTGGGGCCAGGCTGTGGGGGGCCGGCCTTTCCTGCCCTCCCCCCAGCAGCACGGGAACAGGATAAATCTGCCCTGAACCGCCAGAAAACCAGGCCACCTGGGTTCCTACTATCTCCTTGTTCCCTCTGCAAGTGGGAATAAAGAACGAAGGGCACCTTGAGTGAGGAGAAGCCAGGCTGGGACCACTTCAGGACTCCCTGGCCTTCCCCAGCAAAGCAAGTGCCAGGCTGGAGTGGCTACACTGTATCCATCTGCCCCAGGCCTCGGAGGTGGCGGGAGGTCCTTCTGCTAGAATGGGGGCACACAGGAAAAGGTTTTACCTCCTGGCTCCTCCTCCTGATGGCTGGTTTCCGGGTCTGCATCTCAGGAAACGCTTCGAGACCACCTCTTCCCTATCCTCTGAGCAGCAGCCTGATGTCCAGGTGTCAAGTCTCAGTCACCTGCTGATGCTGCATACAGAGGCCAGACGCTTATGGATATGCCTGGATAATGTCACCCAACACATGAGAAGGACGGCCCTGCCAGGGTCTTTCAGGCCCATGGCCCAGCCACAAGTCAGCATCCCAGCCTAGATCTAGAAACCCCTCCCAGCTGAGAGCACACAACCTGCCCGGCTCAGCCCGCTCCCAGCACAGCACAGGGACACTGCCACGTGAGAGCTTTCTGAGCACTTTGGAACCACGGCGGGGGCGGTGGGGGCTTCCTTGGCCCCTCCTCGGCTTCAAATTCAGTCAGCAGTTCAGGCTGCCCATCACACCCAAATCAAGGAACTGACGGGCGCAAAAATGTGAAAAGGGAAGAGGGCTCCTCCGAGCCCAGAGGTCTAACTGGGCCCTGAAAAGAGAGGGAGCTTCACGCCATTCAGAGCCCAGAGCCCTCGGGCCACTTTATTTCGCAACAAGTGAGGGTCAGGACCCGTCCTCCAGGGTGTCTGACAGCGTGAAATCCATGGTGACGTCCCCAGTGCGGGGGTGGAACTCCACCGTGTAGCTGACGGTCCGAGGGCCGCCCTGCGGGGCTCTGCAGTCCGGGCTGGTGAAGAAGTACACAGCCTGCTTGCAGTGCGGGTTCCAGCAACAGTCCTCCTGTAGAAGCAACAAGAAGGCAGTGAGGGCACCAGAGCCCCCTCCTGGTCAGCCTCCAGCCCGGGCAACTCGCAACGAGAAGCTGCTGCTCAGGGCCAGGTGACCCAGGGCCACAGAGGAGTTAGGACCTGGCTGCCTACGCCAGGGATACCCAGAGCAGTGCCAGCTCTCGGAGTAGGCCTGCTCTGGGACTCACGTGCACAGCACTACCTCGTCCTCTGCAGACTCCAGGAGGCCGGTGCTGACCGTGCTGTCCGGCGTCAGGTGGTATTCCATCCACAGGACGGCCCCATGGCTCCTCCCAGGCCTGGGGGTGGGGGGATGTTGGGCCAAAGAGAAACAGCCATGCAAGAGACGGGCAGGCACAGCCACAGCTTCCCTCTGCCTTCCAGAAACCTCTGATCTTTCCTTCCTACCCAATCAGGAGGCTGCTAATACCACCTGGCTAAAGGCCACTTGGTAAAACACTAAGCAAAAGAACCACAACCCAAAGCCCCACTTGCTCCCTGCAGCCTGGCCAAGCACTTAGAGGAACCACGGGGCCGGGGCGTTTCCTCAGGGAAGCAGCAGCTCCTCCCTGTGAAGGGAGCTGGAGCTGGACGGCCCCACTGTGCCTCACAATGAGCAGCCCTTACCAATTCCTAACCTGCTTTAATTCCCAGCAGAGTTCAGGAAAAATGGCCCAATGAGTAACCATAGCAACCAAAAATTACGTTTCTCTACAGCTCTGATTGTCATGATGCTGAGCTCAAGGGGAGCTACAGATGTGGGGGGATGTGCAAAGCCCACTCTGGATCTCCTTCTCCACCAGCACACACCCAGGGGCTATGGGGACCCGCTAGAGATTCAGGGCCACTTCGGACCAGGAAGGGCAAGGCCCAGACAAGGAGGCCATCCACCCCACGTGAGAGCAGCCGAAGTAAGTGCTTAGCGACCTGCGCTGTAACTAGACAGAAAGCAGGCCCCACCCTCTCTTCCCCCACTTGCTGCACCCTGGAACCTGTTCTCACCTCCTCAGCTCGATGGAGCCCTCAGCACGGACTGGGTGCAGGGGGACCGGGTGCTGAAAATCAAAGGTCAGGATCTGCTGGGGCTCGGACAAGCGGCGACATGGGTACTCCCACAGCGGGTGGGGCTCGGCCTCCTTGCTCTCCCTGAAGTCCAGGGCACGCTGAGAAGGTGAAGGGGAGGTAGGGGTGTACAAAAACAGAGACAGAGCCAACAGCCTAGAGATAAGGGACTCATGTCCAGTCTCCAAGGTCTAGGCCCGTGGTCCTTCACCTCCTTGGCCCAGGTCCCTGAGAGTAACTGCCGCCGTCACCTGGGGCAGTGGGTCCTCACAGAAAGACCACAGGCCCCTGCATCAGACCAGCTGCCTTCTCCATTCCCCGCTGCCGGCACAAGTGTCTCCTCAGCGAGTCACTTCACCTAAGCCTCATTATCTCCTTTTTAAGATGGGATGACACTCCTGGTCATGAGCTACTCTGAGGACCAAATGTCTGCAGTGGTATTAAAAAAAAAATCTGGCACTTGGACACTCGCCCATTCAGTGACCCTTCCTGAGCACTACAGCTGCCAGGTCACAGCGACATGAGGCTCCCAGTCTAGAGGGAGACAGGAGTCACAATGCCTGGGACACTAGCCTCCAGCTGAGAACGGGGCTGGGTAGGAAAGCTGCCCCACAGGTGATCTCTGGGCCGCTGCCTGAAGGTCACACATGAGTTGGTGGCAAGGAGAGCGTATAAAGCCAAGCAGTGAGGGGGTGCAGGGTGCAGCCCAAGGGGCAGGGGTCATGGGGTAAGAAATGGGGCCAGACTCAAGATCTCCATGTTCACTTGCACTGTGTAAAGGAAGGCCAAGTGGGAAGGGCAGGACGCTGTGGCCACACGGAGTGGGTGGGTGGGACCCTGCAGGGAGGAACTGTGGCCCCACGTACCTTAATCATGTCATCCATGATGTGCACATCAAAGCCTTCGCAGTCACCACAGGGACTCCGGATCCGCCACAGGTCCTGTGAGGAAGGCACAGCCCTTATCGACACCCAGCTGGGGATGGACATCACAGGTTCCGTAGGACAGCACGCCGGCATCCACACCCACCCACAGACACGGAAGCATGGTTGCAAGAGCAAGAAGGGTCAGTGAAGTCGGGCTTGGGGTGCCCCGGCCCCAAACCTGAGACACACCTTGCTGTTCCCGCACACATGGAAGAGACCCCAAGGTCAAAGGGGCTCAGAGATTTCAAGGATCCAGGATGGTCATTCAAATCTGCCAGGTCTCAAATGACCCCAAGTCCTCACCTACAAGGGACAATCTGCCAGAGCCACTGGGATGGGTTTTTTGGGGGAAGAAATCTGTAAACTAGCTCCTGAGGCTCTGCACCTATGAACACAGCACGAGGACAATGGGAGGGAGGGGACCAAAAGTGCACACAGGCCAACCAATTTTGTGTCCCATTTCCAGGATATATGCCTGGGAATGAGCGTCATTCCCACATTCCCTCCTGGGCCATGAAAGCCAGAACTCCCGTGGAAATCTCATGAGGTAAATAAACAACACGGAAGAAATGCCCAGAAAATAAGCGACAGAGCCATTGAGCTACCAATGGATGAAACTGCTCTAATCAAAGAAATATCAAAGGAGGTTCACTCTACTTCTCAGGTTGAAAGCATTTCAAAATCCTTTTAAGAAGAAACACCTTTCCCAAAATGATTTTGTGACTGGTTCTGCTTTGATGAGAAAATTAAAATGAAGCTCTTCAATTTTTTCTTGCATAAAGAAGCTGACTTTCCATCTCAAAATGCTTTTAACAACTGGAGCGTCAGCTCTTAGTAAGAGCAGAGCGAACCACGCGAAATGTCTTCTGAAACTCTTCATTTATGTTTTTTAATTATTCTGATAAAGGATAACTAAAATGACAACACACAGCCACTTCCATTTTGTATGCCAAATTATTGCATTTGTACAAAGGCAAGCCTTTTCCATTCAACCCTGCAGTGTGCTAATACAGAAAAGGACAGACTCCTACCATGAGGACTCACACTGCTCCACCTGCACCCAAGATCTCTGCAAGAAAACAAGGGCCCTCACCTCCCAGCCCTTCTGCAACAACTTGTGGGTGGCCTACCCTGAACTCCACGACCACAGCGTGCAGCGAGGCAGCCTGGGGCATCACCACAGCACCGGGCCCCAACTGCTGGTCCACAGCGGTCCGCACATACCAGAAGTAGAGGTTGTGCCATGGCAGCAGGCTGGTGGTGAAGAACGGCTCCCCCAGCAGGAGAGAGACCTGGCAATCAGAGCAGGAAGCAGGACCAAGGCGTCAGAATGATCCAGCTAAAGAGTGAAGGCACATTACAAGTTTCATGGGAAACACGGAACTAAAAAGGCATTCATTCACTTACTCAGGCGACCAATGAGCATGCCAGGTCTGCCCCTGCCCTGAAGGACACAAAGATGAGAAGCAGACAAGAGCCCCGCCCTCAGGAGCGCAGAGAGGTGAAGAGGGGATCCTTGTATGGCACGGTAAGCTTTGCCAGTCAGAGGCGAGGAAGGGACGGACATGTGGAGGGAGCCCAGACGGAACAGCATCAGGAAGGCTTCCTGAATGGCATCCTGTAGGCAGATCCCCACTCGGAGCTTATCATGACAAACTGTTACCAGTGCTCCTCCAGCAGGCTGCCTCACTAGATTCTGAGCACCACAAAAGCGGGGACGTTGGCAGCACAGTATCCCCGGCACCCTGCAAAGTGCTGGCCCCGAGCAGATGGTCAGTAAATGTTTGCCAAGTAAATGAACAAACACATGAATAGGAGTCAGAAAAGCAAAGGACCGGGGATTCGAACACAGGGATGCAGGGGCAAAAGCATGGGTATGAGAGCAAGGCCCTTCGGGAGCTTGTTACACAAGTAAACAGGGTAGAATTGGTAAAGGGTGAGGCCAGAGAAGTGAGGCCAGAGGAGCTAAGTAGCCCAAAGGCAGCTGATGGCAGGCCAAGGGGACTGGACCCTTTCCTGGAGGTAAGAGGGGATCTCTAAATGCTTTCATCAGGGGTTCAAATGGAAGGGATGTGTGTTAAAAAGAGCCCTCTGAACAACCAAGAAGCATGTGGAGACCCACCCGCAGGGAGCATGGGCATAGGAGAGGACTTGGCTGAGTACTGCAATGGACCAAGCAAGGAGCAGGGAGTGTACAGAAGGAAGGACTGGGAGACGCGACAGATGCTGAAGAGACAGGGTACCCAGGGCTGGGCCCAAGCAGAAGGGCAGCAAGGGAGGGGCCAATGTAAGATGACACCTGGTGTCCAGCTGAGGTAAGTAAGATGCAGAAGGAAACACTGAAGACAGAAAAGAGTTGGCCCTGCAACACTGGAACAAGGCAAGAAAGTCTGGTCTCACCCCTTCTAGTCACCACCCTAGTGACCTGGAGGCTAGCCAGTGTGCCATTAGCAGTGGCTTACAGAACTGGAGGATTTTTTTAATCCTCATCTATGAGAAGGACAAAAAAAAGTGCAACTTGTACTGAGCGTTCAGACAGCGACATTCATAGCAGCCAAAAAGTAGAAACAACCCAAGTGTCCAGCAACTGCTGAACAGATAAAACAAAATGTGGTCTATCCACACAATGGAATATTCTTCAGCAATAAAAAGAAATGTAGTACTGATTTATGCTACAACATGGATGAACCTTGAAAGAAGCCAGTCACAAACAGACTACACATTTCATATGATTCCATTTATGTGACTGTCCAGAATCAACAAATCCCTGGACAAAAAGTAGATTGGAGGTTGCCTAGGGTTTGGGAAGATTGGGGGCTAATGGGCACAGGGTTTCTTTTTAGGTGATAAAAATGTTCTAAAACCGACTGTAGTGATGATTTTACAACCTTATGAATACACTAAATCACTGAATTTCACACTTTAAAGTGGGTAAATTGTATGGTATGTGAATTATATCTCAAAAACACTTTCTTAAAAAAAAAAAAAAAAGGCATGGGGGGGGAAAATCGGCAAAAGAAAAGCTATGTCACCAAACTAGACATGCAACAGCTACTGAGCACGTGGAAAGGTGTTCAACATCATTAGTCATTAGGCAAATACTAATCAAAATTATGAGACATTGCCCGCTAAAATGACCATAATAAAAATGACAGACAGTACCAACTGTTGATAAAGATACAGAAAAATTGGAACTTTCATACATGTTACTAGTGGGGGTGTAAAATGGTATAGCTGCTTTGGACAACAGTGTAGCAGTATCTTAAAAAGTTAAACAAAAATACCACACAACCCAGCAATTCCAAGCCTACACATCTAAGAGAATTAAAAACATAAATCTTCACAAAGAGCTATATATCAATGCTCACAGCAGCCATGGGAGCGCCTAGCTGGTTCAATCAGAGGGCATGGGACTCTTGATCTCAGGGTCATGATTTTGAGCCCCACGTCGGGCACAGAGATTACTTGAATAAATAAAACTTTTAAACAAGTTTAAATTAAAAAAATCTAGCTGCATCAGTTCCCTCCTAAAACTAAAAAGAAAGAAAGAAAGGAAGGAAGAAAAAGAAATGTTCACAGCAGCATTATTTTAAAGACCAAAAATAGTTTTTGAAACAACCCAAATATCCACCAACAGGTGAATGGAGAAACAAAATGCGGCATGGCATAATATTCAGCATTAAAAAGGAATAAAATACTGACACATTCTACAACATGGATGAACCTCAAAGGTGTGACCAGTGAAAGAAGCCCAACACTAAAGACCACATATTGTTTTATTCCACTTATATGAAATGCCCAGAAAAAACAAACGTATAGACAGAAACCAGATCAGTGCTTGCCTGGGGTTAGGGGCTAGGTGATGGAAATGCTCTAAAACTAGAATGTGCGATAGCTGTACAACTCTACAAATTTACTAAAAATCACTGAATTGCACACTTGAAATGGGTTAATTTTATGGTATGTCAACTCTCAGTAAAGCTGTTTAAAAACAAAAAAAGGTGGCAAAGAAAGATGATCGATTCCAGCTTGAAGGGCCTGTGGGATATGTAAGGAAAGCTATCCAGATGGCACTTGGACAGAACAGATTTGCAGACCCAGCTTTGGCAGCCAAAGATTCCCTTATGGGAAAGGACATGATCACCCAGAGAGAAGACAGAGAGGGAGAGGGCAGGGGGAGGGGCAGAGGCAGAGAGAGAAATTTAAGCAGACTCTCCATGAGGGCGGGACTCGACCCCATGACCCTGAGATCATGAGGTGAGCCGAAACCAAGAGTCGGAAGCTCAACCGACTGAGCCACCCTTTTAGGCGCCCCTAAAAAAAGCAGTCTCTTAAGGACCTAAAAAGAAATGTGTTAAGAAGGCCTCTGGGTCATGAGGGTCCAGGAGCTGGTGAGAGGAAATGTGCGGGAAGACTGTTTAGTGTCTCAGGTCACTAGGGGTGGGAGTAGTTTCAGAGGCACACGGGGCGGGGTGGGGGTGGTCAGAAGACCAACTGTGGGAGACAGACGATCAGAAGATCAACCACAGTGGTGGCAGAAAGCAGAAAGGCGAACCAAAATACAGGAGCAAAGGGAGCTGGAGCGCTGTAAAGGGGTAAGGCAGAGAGGACACAACACGCTGCTATTCATCCCAACAGAGCCACCCTCCCTCGGACGCAGCAGAGACCAGCTAGAGTTGAGAGCAGTGCACAAATGTGCATGCCAGGCATCTGTGCCTCGCCTGGCCTTGTGGCTGAGACAGGTGTGGGAGCCAGCATGCAGCCGAGAGAAGAGAAGGGGGCGCTCAGGCCAGCACAGTGCTGTGCTGTCCCTGCAGGGACACAGCCCTCGCCACTCACCTTTTTACCCTTCAAGTCTGCAGACGTTACCAATTCAGGCCGTTTCTCTATTATGTTAATTTTATCTTCCAAGTGGTTAGCCTTGAAAATCTTAACAAGAAAAAAAAATGAAAGTATTGTTTTTGTCCAGGAAAAAAAACATCTCAAAGTTGCCTTGTCTGTTTGCAGTTTTCTGGGCAAATAGTTCTGGAGGACCACTTTTATCTGCTTTGTGAAAATTCTCTCCTCCAGGGGCATCCTGTGCACCAAAGATGAGATCACTAGCAAAATGTTGTAAGAGCAAAAGAAATTTCTTGCAGGAATATGAGCAGGACTCAACAACAGGCTTGTAGTTCTGGGAGTTTCCTTTAGAGAGGAAGAAATCAAAACCAATCACTGGCCAGGGGGAGAAATACCATCACAGAACCAACCAGCCAGGCCAGTCTGTGAGCAGTGACTCCCTGGACACTGGGTTGCATAAACAAATCATAAATTCATTGTATCACTGCAAACATTTTAGTTTTGTTAGTTTTATGTGAAGTGAGGAGAAAAGCCATAAAAAGAAAGCAGAGTCTGAATGTTTGCTGCTATCCAGGGACAGCCCGAGAAGACTCCCGAGCCAGCTCTCAAGATGGAGGGCTTCTCACTAGCTCCCGTAGTGCCGGCACGGCACCAAAGCGATCAGTCCCAGACACAGGAAGGCAGGCCCTCCCCCGCCCCCCCCCATCAGTTCCGTAACAATTACCACTTACTTTTCTCATCAGTCTGTGCGAAGCTGCTGAGTTCTCTACTGTAAATACCTAAAGAGAATACATGTCCTTAGTTGTGGGAGATTCACTTGACAGAGAAAGAAATTAAACACCAACATGATCACTCCAAGGCATAAGGTACCACCAAACCAAGTCTACCTGTGCTCATTACCCACGAGAACAGCACCCCCTTTCTTCTTTTTCCAAAGACTTTGAGAGACAGAGTGGGGGGGGAGGAGGAAGGGCAGAGGGAGAGGGAGAAACGGACTCCGTGCTGAGCATGGAGGCCACACAGGGCTTGATCCTCTGACCCTGAGATCATGACCTGAGCACTTAACTGACTGAGCCACCCAGGCGTCCCTGCACCCCCTCTTTCTGCACTGACCCTAGCAAGGTGCAGATGCAGACACCCGAGCTGCAGCTCTATGGGAACAGCTACAGCCTGACTCCTGCCTGCACACGGAGGCGAGCAACCCCAAAGCCCCCACATCCGGGCGCCTGGGTGGCTCAGTTGGTTAGGTGACTGCCTTCGGCTCAGGTCATGATCCTGGAGTCCCTGGATCGAGTCCCGCATCGGGCTCCCTGCTCGGCGGGGAGTCTGCTTCTCCCTCTGACCCTCCCCCCTCTCATGTGCTTGCTCTCTCTCTCAAATAAATAAATAAAATCTTTAAAAAAAAAAAAAAAAAAGCCCCCACATCCTTGGCAGCTGTGCTTGCAAAGAGCCCGAGTCACAGAACTGTGTACCCAGACCACGCAACATTCGAACTCAAGAGCTGCCTTTAGGAAGCTAGCAGAAAGGCACGTGTCCAGTACCTGCTCTGCCCCAAGGTGATGGGCCAGCAAGGAGAGCAGACTGCCGTCACTGACACACAGGCACACGCTGGCCGGCTTCAGCACCTGCAGGAGAACCACCACCTCAACACAGGTTTGCTTATAGTAGGTCAAGAAATTCTTGTTGGCACGCTCACAGAAACGCTTCCCTTCTCCTGACCCCACCAACTCACTCTGTGATCCTTCAATCCGATTCTATACCCTCAACACCCAGCTGGATCTTCTTGTGTCCCCACAGTCATGCTTACCTTCCAGGCATTACGCAGCGCCCGCCCTCCAGTGTACCCACCTCACCCACCTCTCCCCACCCAGACCTCACTGTCAGGAAAGACTCCTCAAGCTGTCCTAGAAGGCCCAGCTGAAGACCTGCTCCACTTGCTGGAGGCCACCTCCCAGTCTACAACAAGCCTCTTCCCTCTCTGGTCGCAGCACAGACAACTGTGGGCCTGACGAGTGACTTGCCAAAGGCAGGGATTACTTTCCAGATCCCAGATCCCTTTGAGAGAAACGTAAGACAGCTGGGATCTTCCCTCCTGCAAAAATGCATGCATTTGCATATGTGCACACATAGTTCTGCATACAACTCCAAGAGGTCCAAGAGACACCCCTCCAAACCCTGTGTGTGGTCCTGGCCTGAGAGACCCCTGCTATAGGCAGCAGGGAGCAAAGGTTTTTAGGCAGGACAGTTATATAACCAGATTCATATTTTAGAAAATTTTAGAAAGGAGGGAGATAAAAGGAAGGATGGGGTGGCTGAATCCACTGGGATCATCCACAGGGACTGCTAGTGACCACAAAGGCGACGTGTTTAGAGGGACAAAGGCAGGGGCCGAGGTGAGGCTCCCAGGGAGAGGCTCTCCCAGGAGAGCAGAAAACTAGCCCTCAGGAAGTCCGGTAACACGCTCCCTGGCTCACCACCTGAGGGCCCACCCAGAAGCCACCTGAAGACCAGGAAGCACAGAAATCAAAACCAACAAACTATAAGCAAGCAATGAGCTGGGGCCCATGGGACTAACTCCTTCTTGCCTATAACCACCCAGGGGCTGGACACTGACCGTCCTCAGGGCCTGGACGTATTGGTCAGTTCTGTCCTGATCATTGATCTCTCCAAACCGAGGCCGGTTCCAGAGCAGGTGAGCTTGGCAGTCGCACACAGGGCGTGCTGGGTAGACTCTCCCATTTTTTTCGGGGCTAGGCCAGGAAATGAACAGATGGACACATATGATGAGCGTGACCTGCTAGGCACTGGCAGGCATAAAGGCATGGCACAGGGATCTGCCCAGTAGAACTGAGATGGTCCATGGTGGGCACATCCTCTAGAGGGCATGGGTCTAGGAGCTGGCTTACAAATGGGCATTAGGGATTAGAGGGCCCCCCAATTCAAGACTTCTCATCTAGGGCTCTTCCAAATGGGGGCCCCGCAACCGGGACAGCCTCTTCTAGTACAGGACAATGGGCGCTAACACATCCAGTCACAAAACTTTTACTCTTATTTCATTCTGTTCAGACACAAACCTGCCCACTCGTGCCTCTACAGGGTCTATAAGGCGAACTTACGTAAGTGCACAGTGTCACCGGCCCAGGGCACCGCCGCCGCCCCCCCCCCCCCCCAACAAGACTCAGGACATACCTGGTCTTCTGGAGGCTGTACCATACACAATAGTCGTCGTGGTGGGCTACCAGGCAGAGGCTTGAGCCTTGGACAACGGGCTCTTCTTGTGGCAGGAAGTACACACACTGCATCCAGTGGTCCCGCCACTGAAACAGGGAACAGAGAATCAGGTGTCCCCAAGCTGCAAAAAGAGCAACGCTTCTAATTCAGGAGTCAAAATCCAAGCCCAAAACCCACTTGCAGGGAGACCATGCTGTGGACTACAGATGCCTACTCTTGAAAGAAGAAAATTCTCAAGTAAGAGAGGCTAATGGCTGGAAAGCTTGCTGGAATGCTACTGGCTTTAGAAAGATACAATGCAGCCCAGGGTAGCAGTCTTCAAGAGGAGTTCAGGACAGGTGACTCTGTCCCATGTACGTGCGTGGCTACGTGTGCATGCCTCCACCTCACGTGTGTGTGTGTGTGTGTGTGTGTGTGTGTGTGTGTACGTATAGGCAAGGAAGACGGGAAGCAGAGAGGGAAGATGGGGGAGAGAGAGAAAACAAACATAGCAAATGTTAACAATTGGGAAATTTAAGTAAAGGGCATATCAGTGTTTATTTTCATTTATTCTGTGGGTTTAGAATTTTTCAAAATAAAAAGTTGAGAAAATAGTACAGAAAGGTCTTGTTCTGTTTATTCTTTTGAATTCAAGTTTTAGGGGCGCCTGGGTGGCTCAATCAGTTAAGCCTCCAACTCTTGATCTCAGGACCATGAGTTCAAGCCCTGTGTTGGGCTCCATGCCTAGTGCAGTGCACTTATTAAAAAATAAATAAATAAAAATAAAATAATATAATATAAAATAGTTTTTAAAGACCTGGAATACTCTAAATTGTGAAACGGTTTACAATGATCCAGAGTCAACTTTTAATAAGCTATACTCATCCTTTTTCACACTACAAATCCCACATACAGGATTCTTTGCTAAGAAAAAACAAAGGAAAAAAGCTATATTCACATGAACACCCTTATTACAGATTTAGACTAGCAAAACCTGGCCCCGACCCAAATGTCCAGCAGCTCAGAAATGGATCTACAAGTCCTTATACAGAATATCAGCGGACACTAAAGATGGTAACTGAAAACGAGTGCAGCATGAAAATACAGAAATCAGCACCGACAATCTCATGTATGTGGAAAGAGATCAAAAGAAGGAAGTTCTTCACAGTGATAGGACCCTGAGTGACTTTGGATTCATTTTTGTTTTACACAAGGAGGTTTATTACTCTTATAGTCTTTAGCCTCTTTTTATTTTTTTAAACCTCTTTTTAAAAAAGAAAGAACTATCCTAAAAAGTGGATATCTAGTGCAATTCTGACGAGACAAGTGTGTGCTCATTCTCTGTCATCAGCAGGAACTAAGAAAAACTTGGTCCCTGGGGAGACTCCCAGAGCACCGCTGGGTGCGGATGCAAACAGAGCTGAAACCAGCCCCACTTCACAGGAACACATTCTGCCCTACCTAGATTTGAATTTAACTGAAAGGCAGGTGAACGACATTCCCAGATTATCTAAAATGTCTACCTGAACATAAGTTAGAAAATGACAATGTAACTAGACACATTATAGAACAAGTAAACGCTAACAAGGAGGAAAAAATCGATTCTCTAAAACCTGTTGTTCATTCCTTACTGTGCAAACTGACCCACAGACAAGAGAAGCCTTCCCCAATAAGGCTCTCTGACCATCACGTCCTCACAAGCCAGCCTCCCAGGTCCGAACGCTAAAGGGATGCTGACTGAACCCACTGGCCGAGGTGAGATAGACTGAATATATTTCAGACCAAGAGCAGTTTAGTGAAGTCATGAGGGAGATCCATTAGCAGCTCTTCAAATTTCTTTTTTCTTTCTTTCTTTCTTTTTTAGATTTTATTTATTTGAGAGAGAATGAGAGAGCATGAGAGATGAGAGAGAGGAGGGTCAGAGGGAGAAGCAGACTCCCTGCTGAGCAGGGAGCCCGATGTGGGACTCGATCCCGGGACTCCAGGATCATGACCTGAGCCGAAGGCAGCTGCCCAACCAACTAAGCCACCCAGGCACCCGCAGCTCTTCAAATTTCTAACAGTCCATAAGTCACCGCCAATAAAGGAAGGACACAAACCCATCAGGAGACAAGCACCCACCATTGCTGCCTAGACAGGAGGCCCTGCTCCAATCACTGGGTCGGGCTTCAGTCTCAGTTTGGGCATTATGGGGCTACCCAGCACGTCTTGTATGAGGATTGAAGGAAAAAAATAAACCTAGTAGTGATGAGGGAGCAGAAGGCTAGCTGAAGCATAAGCTGACCTTGCAACCTTCCCCCACCCCCTACTTCTGGGTGGGACATGTGACAGTCTTCCAGGAATCTCCCTAATATATTAATGTTAACACTTTGCTAGAGGGGAAAACAACCTTAACTTGACAATGGCAGGCCTCCGGTATCTTGTAGGTGGGGCGTCTTTAGCATATGAATGTTCTTCTGAAACCTCCCTTTTCCTTAACTTCCCCCAACTCCCAAGTATATAATCACCACTCCTCAAGACCCCAGGGCAGGAGCTCTTTTTACCCACGGGTCCTGTCTCCGTGCTTTAATAAAACCCATTTTGCACCAAAGACGTCTCAAGAACTCTTTCTTGGTCTTCAGCTCCAGACCTCACCCCACTAAACCTCACCTATATTCCAAAACATCAGCAGCACTGTGAAGATATGCAAATAAAAGTATTAGCATTTTATATTCTTATGCTAATTTTGTATACATCACTCTCCCAGAGAGGAAGCTAGCAGCCCAGTGTCCACCTCAATTCTGCGGGTGAATTCTGACCAGCCCCTCCCACCCCCAAACACTCGCTCAGCCTGCGGAAGACCCCCTGAAGACCAGGCTGTGCAGAGTTCATTTGCACTGCCTGGAGGCACACCCGGCCAAGGCCAAGCAACTGGAGGGGAGAGGGGCGAGGGGGCACCTCACAAGCCCGGGGGTCGGGGGTTACCAACTGCAATCCTGCAGCAGTCATGACCCTTTGGCCTAAGCAGTAACTCAGGGGGCAGGGGAGCAGCTAAGGCCATCCCCCAATGTCACCCTGCGAACCCTAGAACAAGCAGGCCAGCAATCAAGATAAATCCAGTGCCCAGCAAGTGGTAACAGGACAACAGAATACAGAGAGAATGGTGCCCAGGGACTCCCAGGTAGAGAAGGGATTGTTTTTTTTTGGAAATGTTGGTGAAGTTGGTGGGGTCTGGAGCCAATGGCTGAGACGTCTCCCGTGCAAAATGTTGGTTTATTAAAGCACGGCGACAGGACCCCCGGGCAGAAAAAGCTGTTGCACCAGGGCTGTGAGGCGTGGCTGATTATGTACCTGGGAGTTGGGGGCAGTAAGGAAAAGGGAGATTTCAAAAGGATTTTCATATGCTAAAGAGGACCTCCAAGATACTGGAGGCCTTGCCATTGTCAAGTTAAGGTTGTTGTTCCCTCTAGTAAAGCATTAACACTAAGACAGCTGTGACTTTCCTGCTGGAGTTTAGGTTATTGATAACAATGTTTTTATTGATAAGAATGCTTTTTTCTTGTAAATCACAAAAACATTTTGTAAACTGAGGGAGACTCTTGTCTTTAGATCTCTATTAGTTAACCATTTGTTTTTCCTTCCCTTAGCTTTAGGGCAGCAGGAGTGCCTGAGGAATGTCACACAGAGCCCACCTGGGGGTGGGAATGGGGGTTGCGGGGGTGTCAGCTTGTGCTTTGTCCTGAGTTTGCCTTCTGCTCCCTCATCAGAAGGAAGGTTTGATTTCTCAGCCCTGAAGCACCTTTCCCACTTTTTCCCCCTTTGAGTGTGTGTATAGAGGGTAAACAACACATGCATTCTTTTCAGGAGAGAAAATTGAAAAGATATGAAAGGGTCATGGAGTGAAAAGTAAGTTTCCTTTCTACCCCTAACCTCCTGCCCTCTTCCCAGAAGCAATCATTTTTACCAATTTCCGTAAATTCTTCCAAAGATATTCTTACACACACCCACCACACACGTAAACTCAAACACATATATTCTCATCTTTGATAATATGAATGTTGGCATGCCACATTGTTCTGCACCTCTATTTTTGTATCACTTAATGATCATCCTGGAGATTGTTCTCCATCAGTGCTAAGGGACCTGCCTCACCCTCTGAATGGATATAGGACAACAGACTTAGCCAGTCCCCTACTGGTGGCTTCTAGATTGCTCCAGTCTTTTTTATCAGATCAGGGCTGTAGTGAGTATCCTGGCACACATGTCATCATACACATATGCAACTCTACCCAGAGCCCAAAAGTCTAGAGGTGGTGTCCCTTCCCATGGTGACAGATTGGGTGTCCCCACAATCCACGGACGCTCTGATGTTCACCGGCCTGCTTTTCACCACAGCTCCACCCAGAGCACGTCACCAAACTTTCTGAACTTTATCACTAACAGGTGGAAAATAATGTCTCACTGAAGTTTACATCTGCACTACTCTTATAAGTGAGGCTGAACAGCTTTTTGCATGTTAAAACCCTGCACTTCCTTTTTTGTAGTTCACATCCTCCACCCACTTCCTATTAAACTAGAAAAGATTTTGAGGCCATGGAAAATGAGGCTGTAGACAGACTGCAGTCCTCCATTCCAAGCTGAGCTGAGGCCCCTGGGATTACAAAGGGGCAAGGGGTGGGGGCTCTGAGTGTGGCTGTGCTAGGACTTGGGGGAGCCAGCACACCAAAGCTTCCCTGTGGCCCCCTGTCTGCTGGCGCCACACATGAACTTGGCCGAGACGTCTGTTTTCTATTTAACGATAGGTAGCCCTGCCTTTTGTTTTTGTTTTTTTGTAACTCTTCTCTAACGGACACCTGGATGACTCAGTCAGTTGAGCAGCGGACTCTTGGTTTCAGCTCAGGTCATGCTTTCAGGGCCATAGGGACTGCCTGTGTCAGGCTCCACACTCAGCGGGAAGCCTGCTTCTCTCCCTCTGACTGCCGCTCCCCCTGCTTGTGCTCTCTTTCACTGAGTCATATAAATAAATAAAATCTTAAAAAAAAAATCCTGACCTAGTCCTTCTGTCTCTAAATTCCTGTGAATCTAAGGTTCAACATGCTACTTTCCCACAATGAAAAGTGGACATGTTTCCTAATTTACATGAAAACATGCTCAACTCCTGCCTCTTACCTGGAGCTCCTCTGGGTCTGAGTGTGCCCAGAAGGGAGCCATGGTGCACTTGATCTTCCCCTCAGGGTCCATTTCAATGTCCCACCAGGAGAGAACCACCTGAGCTCGGCCAGATGCCAGAGGTTCAAACTGCCGGCTGTGACAGGCTGCTGAGCTACTGACTTGCTTGCTAAAGTCCACACTGTGGAATAATACACAGGAACTTAAGCATATTTTAAGCTCACATACTCCATTTTTAAGCTTTTACGGTGACATCACCAGCAATGAGACTTGTCTGCAATGGACTCCCGCCTTCAGAAGCAGGTGACATCAGCCAGATTTCCTTCTGACTCATAAAGAACTTCTAAAGACCCCAATTCCACCAAATATCTCAAAGCACCGTTGGCTGGGGCGGCTCCTTGGTACCTGAACATAGGCATCACATCACTGAGGGCACTGAAGTCAGTGGGCGACACCTGGTTCAGCTGAATGTCATAGACAGAGGGGGCACCAGGGCACCTCTCCAGTTCCAAGGGGGGGACGATGACCTGCTCTCCACGGCTGGTCTGAACGCGGACAGGAAAGAGCTTATTCCACGACCACATCCTCCGGGACTCCACCAGCTGTGCATAGACGGTTGCTCTGTGAGGTACCGCTTCACAGTTTTCCTAAGTTCATGTCACAAAAACAAAAAAGGGAAAAATAAACTGGTATATGTATTATAAAATATACCCACAGTAATTCTCATTGATCAAAAGAGGCTTGTTCCTTAATATCAGCTCGGTTGAGTAGCATCTACCGCCTTAACCACTAAAGGACGGTGAACTGTTTTTGGCCTAATGTCCTTGGGGAAGAAAAAAAAAGGAACCAGATTTCAAAAAGAACACACGTTATGCCTAGAACAATTTATGTCAGGTGAGTTCCCAACTACATGACACTCTTAAATACTTCAAAAATAACCCTTAATTGTCATCATGCTGATTAACTCCCACACCAACTTTGAAGAAAGAGTCCAAGTCTGCTAAGCAGCGATGATGGCACGGGATTCCAAGCTTCTCTTCAGCGCAGGTCTCACCCAGACACCAGAACCTTTTTATTGCATAGCCCAATGGATAAGTGTCCACCCTCAGATGATCTGGCCTCCTGGCCTCACCGGGCATGGCCCACCACTCCCCTCGCTTGGTTTTGGCTGCAGTCCCTCATCCGGTTTCCCTCCTACCTCATTCTTTCACCCGACAGCCTCTACGCAACAGACACCAGGAGCCCAGGCAAGAAGAGGACGCTCCCAGCTAGTACTGCAGGGAAATGACAGGCACGGGGTCCTGTCTCAGGACTAGAAACCTCTTGGGTCAGATGATCCTTTGCTTAGGGGCTGTTTCGTACATCATACGATGTTCACTAACATCCTCAACCTCTATCCACAAGATGCCAAGAGTGTCCCCCTCTCAGTTGTGACACCAAAAATGTCTCCAGGCATGGCTCTGGATAAGAAACACTGTTCTCCTCCTCTGGCTGCTTCACAAGGCTGTGCTTCCCCTACCCATCCTTCACAGAGACAACTCCCCAGAGACGTGGTCTGGCCCATCTCTCTCCCTCCACACACTCTCCCCTGAGGGACATCCGTCAGTCAGTCCATCTTCATTTACCAAATACCACATAGCCAAAAGCCTCTTGGTCCTCTCTATTTGTCTGACCCTCAGATAGCTCAAACTCTGTCTAAACCAAACAAATCCCCATCACCTCTCCTTCCCAAGCCTGGTCCTTCTCCCATCTTCCCATTCAATAGGGAACACCACCATCCAATCCAGTCTCCCAAGCCCCAAACCCTGGCACTGCCTCAATGCCTCCACATCTAAGTAATTACCAAGTCCTTGACCACCTTCCTCCTCCCTCAAGGCTACCTGTTCAGGCCCATTTCTCTGGTCTCAGCTGAGGTCCACCTCAGCCCCAGAGCCTGGATGACTCCAACACCTTCTAACCAGTCTTCCCGCCCCTGATCTTGCACCCCAAATGCTCTCCATGTGCCTGCCTGCATGAATCCAATGCCAATCCCCTGCTTTAAACCCTCCTGTGGCACCACACTGCCTTCTGGAGCACAGTGGCCCATCTCAGTCTAGTCCTGCCCAGCCCTCCAGCCTTAGCTCTAACCCCACCTCCCCCACTACCCATAATGCCAACAACTCACACCGCACCACCTCACCTTCCCTTGACCTCCTCTACTGAGAACGCCCCCGTATGGCAGACCAACACTTGATTACTATTCAAGACTGACTCCGCTCAAGCTTCATCTTCCTTGATGCTCCCCATCTTCCCCTACCACAGCGGGCAGGATCCCATCCCACTGACCACCATTTGAGCATACCCTCCAAATGTACTGTGATAACCTGCTCACCTATCTGCCTGCCCAGGAGCGCACCTTCATTTTCCTGGCAGTCAAAAAATGGCCTGGCAAAATGAAGGCGCTCAATAAATTTACCTTCTCAGATCAATCACTGGGTCACTCACCACCACATGGTCTATCTGTCCGACATTCCAGCATCCTGGTTGCATGACCCTCAGGAAGGCAGGAAAAGGGATCGGCAATGGAAGCCTTTGTGTAAAGCCATAACTCTTTCAAGCTCAGACACAAGGTGGGCAGATGGGGACAGTGATTAAAACAGACAACAGACACCTGGCTACACAGACCAGCTGAGAAAGGAAACTGCGGCCAGCTGCCTGCACACCTTCTTAATTATTAGATGAATTAGAGAAAGACCAATTGGACAACACTAATGTAATTTTAAACATCCTTGTGTTCTCTGTTTCAGGGATTCATCTAGTTGATGGTTTTAATGTGGAAAAATAGAAATAATTACTATCAAAGTTACTAAAAAAAGATCTGACATTTTGGAGACAAGGAGATGTCTCACACAATGTGATCACCACCACATGCTGATCGTGTGAGTAACGTGGCCTGTGGCCCCAACTGCCCTGGAAGGAGCCACATTCACTCTGGCCACACCAAACCCCCCCACACACACAGGGTCCCAGACTGGGACAGTTGCAGGCTCGCCTAGATGGTGCCCACAGGACATGTGGCAGCAAAAGAAGCAGACACTCACACCTCCCCAGCTGGCCTTTGCCTCTGGGGACATTTATGTCCATAAAAAAGCAAGATGAACGTCTCCGAGATAACACTATCAGCATGCCCCTCCCTTCTGGAAAAAACTGCCAAAGATTATCACTACCCAAATTCTTTCGCCTAGAATGATGAGAGGGCTTGGCATTCAAGGCCTTCCACCCCTCACCCTGACTTTCCACCATTAGCTCACAAGCCCGCCTAGGGGGTGTTCCCACTGACGAACTGCACAGGTCCGCTACCTGGGACACCTCCCCCTCTCCTCAAGCCTTTCCACATTCCACCTTCTCTACATATGTCCTCATCTCCTGATCCGGGCCCTCAACTGCCAGTCTGAAAACAAATGTTACTGGTGCTTCTGTCAGCCTCTCCATTTGGCCATCCAGTCCGTACCATCACTGACCAGTGTGGGTCTTAGAAACAGGAAGGAGGTCTTATATTTCTCCCAGGATGCTAGAACACCTTATACACAGGTTACATCTAAAGAATCTTTGCTGAGGGTGCCTGGGTGGCTCAGTTGGTTAAGCGACTGCCTTCGGCTCAGGTCATGATCCTGGAGTCCTAGGATCGAGTCCCGCATCGGGCTCCCTGCTCGGCAGGGAGTCTGCTTCTCCCTCTGACCCTCCCCCCTCTCATGCTCTCTGTCTCTCATTCTCTCTCTCTCAAATAAATAAATAAAAAATCTTTAAAAAAAAAAAAAAGAATCTTTGCTGAATTGAATTGAATTTGAAGACATCAACTCTAGCCTACGAAAACTGGGTAAGAGACCCAGAAGTCCTAATTAAGGAGAACCAATGTCTCCCAGGAATCAAGGGTATCCTAGGGGGTACAGGGAAGTACTGAGGGCTCAGGCTGTGCACCAATGAGACCTGTGCGAGCCAGCTGAGGTCACAGCAATGTACCCGAGGGAGGCCCCTGGTTACCTGCACAAGATGTCTGTGCGCGTGCTCATAGGATGGCAGCGCTCCCTCTCCGATCAATTCCGTGTCAAACAGCTCCGTGATCAGGATATTGGCACGGCATGGCATGTCACCATCTGAGAAACACAAGGAAACAGAAGCAAACAACTGATGAGAAAAAATATTTACAGCAAAAACGTGAAAGATAAAAGGTTAATAGATCATTACACTGAAAGCACATACATACATTCAAGTATCTAGAAATGTCACGAAACTTTCTAATGGCTCACCAAAAAACCCATTTTGATATACATATACACATCAAAACACTAGCAATTGGTAAATTTTGGTTAAGAGAATGTAGGTGTTTGTTATACCACTCTTTCAATTTTTCTGTATATTTAATATTGCAAGGGACTCACAGAACTGATAAGAAAACTATAAACACCCAAAAGGAAAACCAGGCAAAAATACAGAGACAATTCAAAACAGAAAAACTAATCAATCAAATATATGGAAAATATTTCATTCTTATTAGCAACTGGACAGATACAAATTAACAATTAAACTATTAACGTATTAGCAAAAATGATTTGAAAAGCAAAACTGAACGTCAGTCCTTCAAATATTTCTACGCTGCATGGAGGGAGAGAAAACCAAAGCTAGAGAGGCTGCATAATTCCAGTGATACTACGAGGCCCAGGATTCAGCATCACCAGTTCCTTACACTAAATCCCCCTTAAATAAGTTCGTTTCTTGATACCAAACGATCCCGCAAGTAATAGTTGTTTAGGATAGTAGGAGTAGGGGAGGTCTTTTGGCTGACTCTATTTCCTGAACCTCTGTAATGTAATGTAATGTTACTTCTACAATTTTAATTTTTAATGAGCCAAGAGACAAAATTAACTTTGGAAGGGGCTATTCATCATAGATAATTAACTGTAAACACTCCTAATGGTGCACGAATTCCAATCTGACAAAGCCCACTCATCTTCCCTACAAAAAAGACGAGTCTCATGGATAACAAAAGGGAAGAGAAGCATTAAGGAGGTTCAAAGGAGGGTGCAGTACAGACAGCGTGAACCTGAGCCTGGATCCCGCTTTCTAGCCTTGAACCCTCAGTGCTGACCATCAGTCACCTCATATGTAAGACAAGGGTAATGAGATCTGCTCCAGGTGGTGGTGGTTAGGACAGCAAAGGTAAAAGCTGTCGACTTTCTACAAAGCACCCTTGTGCTCAATGCCGTGAAAGGAGGCTGACAAGAAACGTCTGTCTCCCGGCCCAGAGACCGGCCACCCGAGGGGCACTGCCCAGCCTCTCTGATATCATGCCAAACTCGAACGGAAATACACTGTCGCAAACTGCGCCCCACCCTTACATGTCTGCTTCTCCCTCTGATGCCTCTGCCTCAGTGGACCGCACCACCAGTCACACAGCCCTGAAACCTGGGCATCATTCAGCAGCTCCAGGAGAGCAGGGGCCCTGCCTGCTCTGCTCAGCATTTTACCCCAATGCTTAGAACAACGCCCAGCACCCAGGAACAGTCAGCAAACATTAGCTGAATTCTTGATTCCTCCTTCTCTGTCACCCTACATCCAATCAGTCACCAAGCCCTGCCAATTCTACCTCAAGAATAATTTTTAAGCCAATTATGCAACTTAAAATGATTTATTGTCCAATTTGCTTCAAATAAACAAAGCTTTATGATCCACAGAATCTCAACACTCTTGAGAGCCTGGTATCTGGCATGTTGAGTACTAATGCAATGTCTGGAGACATTTTTGGTTGGCACAAATGACTGGGGTCGGGGGGGGGGCGGGCGGAGAAGGAGGAAGGGGTACTAGGTGTTCCTGGCTTCTACTGGTTCTCTCTTTCTCTTCCTCTGCTCCCCCCCTCATAAAACAAAACAAATTAAAACAAACAAAATAGTGCAAGCCCTGAAAGGATCAAACTGATCTGCCAGTAGCCCAACTGCATGGCAGACAAAGCTTTTAAAGGAAGACAATAAACTCTGGTATTCAGCAATGCAAAACTCCCAAAATACACAGCAAGCAAATACAAATTACTAAACATGGGAAGAAGAAAAATTTAACCCAGAACCAGGATAAAAATTAGTTAAAAGACAGAAAAGTGGAAGAAGATAAAAAGATTAAAACAGCTAATATAGATAACGTTAACTATTTAAAAGAACACACAGGGGTGCCTGGGTGGCTCAGTCGGTTAAGTGTCTGCCTCTGGCTCAGGTCATGATCCCAGGGTCCTGGAATTGAGCCCCACATCGGGCTCCCTGCTGAGCAGGGAGTCTGCTTCACCCTCTCCCTCTGCTGCTCCCCCGCTGCTTGTGCTCATTCTCACTCTCTCTCAAATAAATAAATAAAATCTTAAAAAAAAACCACACACACACATAAACACAAACATGTAAGAACAACGGAAATTATAAAAAAGAATCAAAGGAAACATTTAGAGATGAAAAATACAGTATTAGAAATAAAAAGTTCAGTAGATGTACCTAGCAGATTAGACACCAGAAAAGAAAAGATCAGTAAATCTGAAGACCTAACCAGGAAACTACCCATGTCCCTCAGTAGGTGAAGGGATGAACGAAGGTGTCCACACACGAGTGCTACTCAGCAACAGAAGAGAATGAATCTTGATCCAAAGAATGTGGATGAAACCCAAAAGCATCATGCTACAGAAAAGAAAGCAGGAACAAAAGAGTACACATGGATAATTTCATTTACTCAAAATTCTAGAAAAGGGAGATCTAACCTGTATGGGGGAAAGCAGATCAGTGGGTGCCAAGGGTCAGTAATATGGAGGCAACTGGCTGTAAAGTGTCATAAGTAATCTCTTTGTGCATGATAAAGACATTCTAAAGAGGTTACAAATGTGTTTACATTTGTCCAAACTCATCAAACTATATACTAGGACAGATGCACTCATTTTATGAAAATTTACCTCAGTAACATTGATTAAAAAATAGGATAACGAAAAAAAAAAGGATAATGATTTGTATACTCTTTTGCATGTGTTTCAAAAACAAAGGGGACACTAATCCCTTCTTTTGTGCATGTTTCAGGTTCTCCATTAAAAACCTTTTTTTAATTAAATGGAACAAGTATCTTGACCTTGCATAGAGGCTTCCTTCTAAATTACTGCATTTTAAAAAACAGCGAGGCTATCCAGACCCTCGCCCCAGAAGCTTCTTTTGCAAAGCTTTCCACCGTGCTCCCCCCGGAATCAGTGGCATGTGAAATTTGAGAAGTCTGATTCAAATGCCTGGACTCTAAAAACTATCCTGAGAGGCTGGAGAGACTGCCACATAGGCAACTCGCTCGTGTGGGACGCTGAAGCAGGATGTTGGCATGAAGCAAACCTCTCTCTGCCATCTACTTGGTTTCACTTCTGTCTGAGGAAACTCAAAACGCAGAGAGCTGAGTCACATAACAATTCTAACTTGCTTAAAGCAACAGGAAGTTTCATTTGTATCACCCCCGTTGCACGGGACGAGCTCTGGGGCTCACTGATTCAACTAGCAGAGAAGCAGAGCCCTTATCTTCAGACCACGTGGAGAGACTCCATTTCTCTGTGATTACCTGAATACACTTATTCCAGGTAACCAGAATAAACCTTTTCTTCTCCCCTTCGATGGCAAGGAAAACTTTCAAGAGTATGTACTGCTCTTACCTGGCCCTATGGCCACCTCAGTGGAATGCTTGTTGATAATCTTAATTTTATCAGTGAAGCCATTTTTCTCCACAATCTGCACAGCAGCATCAGCCATGGGCTTGAAAACCTAGAAATGAGAGCCAAAACCCAACGAAAAATGAGCAGTAAATTGAAGAGTAACATCCAAGATCAGTAAGATATGTTGTGATGCAGGTTCTAAGATTTGAAGTAAAAGAGGTCTCCACGACAGAATTTGCTCCCGAATATATAATATGTACCTCTGTTATCACATGATACAGGCAAAAAAAAAATTTTTTTTTTAATATTTTATTTATTTGACAGAGAGAGACACAGCGAGAGAGGGAACACAAGCAGGGGGAGTGGGATAGGGAGAAGCAGGCTTCCTTGCCCGAGCAGGGAGCCCGATGTGGGGCTCAATCCCAGGACCCTGGGATCATGACCTGAGCCGAAGGCAGACGCTTAACGACTGAGCCACCCAAGCACTCCCAGGCAAAATATTTCTTTGGGCTGATTTGATCTTAAAAAGGAGACCCCATCTTTGGAACGTAAATACATTATTCTCCAAATGAGTGTCATGAAAATGAATAGGAAGGGAAGACACTGCGCTGGGTTTAACTTGCATGAGTTAAACCTTCTGAGCCAGCACACTAGGGAGGCAGGGCTTCCCCAGGAGGTTGCACTATCTAGCAAGGACAGCAGGTGTCAGTGCTGAACTAGGGGGAGGCAGTAGGGGTGCTTGCCTCACAAAACCAGGACCTGGGGCCTGGGGCAGGACATGTGCTGTCCTCTCCAGAGGAAAGCGAGACTGTTACTGTATTAGTCCTTAAGTGTGAATAAGCATCAGTTCAAAACTGTCCCAAATCCCCGCTGATGGCAGAATACAGCCTGTATTTTATGGTATTTGAGGCCCTCCACAACACGAACCACCTTACTTCCCCCACCCATGACTAATGCTCCAGCCACGATCTCATTGTGCACTAGGCAAGCCTGAGCCTTCTCTGCCCTACTCCCCACCTGCCAAAGCAAACTGAATTTCCTGGGCAGCACATATCCCCTCTTCTCCAGGAGTCTTCCTGAACCCTTCACATGTCCCTAAACACAAGCCACCTCCAACTCTCACTTTCTAGCCTGCCCAATTTAGACTGCAAAGCTCTAATCACAAGAGTGCATAAAACATACAGATGTGCATGTGGCCACACCCACCCACAGAGGTGGAAATAGAAAATGATAAAGTAACTGGTCACAACAACAAGATTTCCATTTTCTCTACCATGAACACATATTTCTTTTATTATAATCAAGGGGGAAATGCTATATTCTTCCGTAAAGAATACATATGTGCTTAGATAGGAAAAGAAATCTTTACAATCTGTTTCAAATTATTTCTAGAATCTGGCTTGATGTTTTTAGATGTAGTTTCAGGGCCTCATGCCCTCAGTTCTCACTCATCACTTTGCCTCCACCCCAAAGTATCACAAGTTCATGTCACCCCTCAGCCCTCCTGCCTCTTGATGTTATCACTCATCTCCTCTGCTGACCCTTCAGGCTCTGACGTTCACAGTCTCCTCCTCCGCCACCAAGAACTCAAGACCTCACCCAGAACACTTCTTTCTGGAATGGCCCCTGAGGTGGACTTCCCAACATCATTCTTTGTACTCTCCTGCCCCTCCATTCAGTTGGGGGGACTGACCTTCTTCCAAGCAGTGGCCTGTCTTGTCTACGGGTAACCAAATCTCTTAGGCCAGGTCAATGAGGTTAGGTTAAATAGGATTTAACCTTATTCTGGCCAATGATACCCAAGGAGAGGTTTGCTACAGATTCCTGGGAAAGTTCTTCTGGCTCTTAAAAAAGAGAAGAAAAGTAAGGAAAGCAGGACCATGCTTCATTTTCAAAGACTTTGCCACAGAAATCACTGTAACTAATACACCTTCCCAAAATATTCCCCACTTTTCAAATGTATTAAAAGAGATGTTTATAGTCATTGTCTATGATTTCTTGTATTCCATCCACTCCTCAACCCTACTCCCCCGAAAGTACCACCTAAAGGAGGTCACCTCTTAGCTACCAACCCAACAGCCTTCTCTCAGTCCTCATCCTGCTCAACTTCTATACCTGTGCTAATACAGGGACCACAGGCATTTAAATATAAGTTGATTAAAACTGCATGAAATTTAAAAATTCAGTTCCCCAGTCATACAAGTCACACCGCAAGTGCTTAGCAGCCACATGTGGCCAGGGACCACTATATTGGTCAGCACAGCTATAGAAGATATTCAGCATCACAGAAAGTTCTACCAGGCAATGCTGCTCTGTAACATCCGCACTTGCTGACCACTCCTTCTTTCCCATGATTCCCATGCAATCTGCCCCCTCTTGGCTTCCACCTCTGCCCTCTAGGGTCTCTTCTGTCTATGTGAACTTGACATTACCGGCCACTCTTCTTCCCTCACAGGCACGGGTTCCCAGGTCTGCTCTTCTCATTCTACTCTCTCTCCCTGGACAATCTCCTACACTGTCAGCTTCACCTCTCACATCTTTAGCAAATGAGTTGCAAATGCACTTGTACACGCCACTCTCTAAAGGGTCAGACGTCCAGCTCTAGGGACCAGCAGGTTCTCACTCACTGTTCCGGACCTGTCTTTCCTGTTGGCGTGCAGCTCAGGCAGAGCTGAAAACCACAGGGCAGTCCAGACAGAATGACCACAGGCTCAAAAGTGGTCACTAAAGTAAGAGCTGGGAGGCCACCATAAGATGTCAAGAGCCAACAGAAGAGATGTGAGAGTTACAGATCAGAGCAGCAAGAGAGAAATTAGAAATCCAGGTAACTGACATGGGACTATCTTGAAAAACCCAAGAGCACAGTCCTACCAATTCTGTCAAAAAACATGTTCTCACCCTGTATCTTTAATTAGCAGTTGACACATACACTGGCTCCTGCCCTGAGACTTGCCTTTTTCCTACTTAGCACATTCAACAGGAAATGCATGCTCTTTCCCACAAACCAAGGACCTTCCTCCAAGCTCCTCTTACCAGTCATTGGCATCACTGCCCCCCAGATACCCACGCTAGAAATCTCACACACTCTCCCATCAAAGCTACGACTACAGAGTGAGCACCATAAGTAGGAATCAAAAGACCAAGTCTCCAGGTCTAGCCCTCCTATTTATTAACTGTGAGGTTAAGTCTTTAACCTCTCTGGGTCTTAGTTTCTTCATTTATAAAGTAAAGATAATAAAATCTACTGAAGGCTAACTAAGGCAACAATCCTAAAACAGATTTCTTTGTATTTAATTAAAAATCTTGATGACACTCAAAAAGGCCAAAAAGTGACTCTTAATGTTTTTACTAAGTCCTCAGACAAGTGCAGAGTCACACACACACACACACACACTCCACTCTCAGGACTTCCATGAAACCTGAAGCCCACTATTACTTCAGGTTAAGAACTAACTCAGGATATGGGAGTTTCAAGTCTTTATTGTAGCACTAGGTCCTCCATAGTCTGGCTACAATCCACCTTTCTGGATTTCTACCATGACGCCGTTTGCCATGACTCTGAAAGATGCAAAATGGTATTCCCTCAGCCTTAAAATGCCCACCTTTCTAGATCGGGAGCATGAGAGCCATACTGAGGGGATGGTGGGTGGGGAGCTGGAAAGAGCCTCAGTAGAATACCCCAACGTGCTACCTTCAGACTTTGTGTGAGAAAACAAAACACTTCTCTTGTTTTTTGGTTTTTTTTTTTTTAATTTTATTTATTTGAGAGAGAGAGAGAGAGAGAAAGTACAAGCAGGGCGAGCAGAGGGAAAAGCAGGCTCCCATTGAGCAGAGAGGCTGACGTGGGGCTCGATCCCAGGACCCTGGGATCATGACCTGAGCTGAAGGCAGATGCTTAACCAACTGAGCCACCCAGGCGCCCCTTCTCTCTTGTTTAAGCCACTGTTATTTTGAGACTTTGTTATTTGTAACTCAATCACAACACAAACCAAATTTCATAGGACAAAGTGTCTAAATACATGTCACCCCTTCCCAAAAGCTGGGAAGAATATACACCAAAATTTTAACACTGGTTAACTATGAGTTAACACACTATTTTTATTTTACATTTACCATACTTTCTATAATGGAATGCATTATTGACATTACCAGAAAAACTGTATGTTTAATCATATATTAAACACCCAATTCTTTTTTTTAAAGATTTTATTTATTTATTTGAGAGAGAGCGAGCACACAAGCAGGGGGGAACAGCAGGCAAAGACAGAGAGAGGGAGAAGCAGACTCCCTGCTGGGCAGGGAGCCCGATGCGGGGCTTGATCCCAGGACCCTGAGATCATGACCCAAGCCAAAGGCATACACTTAACTGACTGAGCCCACCCAGGTGTCCCTAAACACCCAATTCTTGACAAACATAGTAAGAAAGCTGGTTCTGTGGGGACATTTACGCTAGCAGATCTCAACCTTGGTGCAGAGTCAAAACTCCCAATGCCTAGGCCCCATCCCAGAATAATTAAATTAAAACTGGGGGGGAAGAGGGCAGTTAGGCATCAGTATTTTTTGAAGCTATTTAGTGATTCTGACATGCAACCAAGGCTGAGAACTGCTGTTTTCCGAGGAGAAAATGAGCCCCCGGAGGAAGGAATTATGTCTGATTCATCTCCATATCCTTAGAACCCGGCCCTGTGCTTGGCACAGAGTGAACACTCCATGAACGTGTGTGAACAAAGGACAGGCAAGGTGCATGAGGGACTCCCCACATAAGACACAGGACACACACCTGAAGAGCGTGGCTCACCTCAATGGCATAGCAGAAGTCAGCCCCTGCCGTGACCGCCATCATCGACAAGAGTCCTGTGCCAGTGCCAATGTCAAGAACCAAGGCCTTCTGTCCTCTGTCCTTCACCCTGCTCACAGCAGCCCGGATACCTTGGTAATATTTTATATTCTAAGAGAAGAGGAGAAAACAGCTGTCACTTCATACCAGTTACTGGAAATAAACGGAAAGGTACTTTGTGAAGTGTGGGACTCATGGCTGGCAGCAACAGTGTAAGTCATGAAGCCATGGCTTTCTGGCCTCAAGGAACAGCCCTGGGTAGCTGGGTCAGGCAGGCCTTGTGAGACTCCAAGAGCACTGGGTCAGCCTCTTGCCCTTTATTTGGCGACTGTCCCTCCCCTCCACACCCACTCCTCCTCTGTACTCTGCTTCGAGGGGCTGGGGCTCTGCCAACCACACTCTCCTTTGCCAGCTATTCGGTAGGGACAAGAGGGAAACTAGAGGGCAACTGGCAGGGCGGAGAAAATTTGCTCCTTCCCAAACGGCTGCTGCTTTCCTCAGGGTCCTCCCAGGAGCGGCGGCCGGCTCCAAAGGCAGCTCCTCGCCGTCCTCTCACCACCAGCCGCCTCGCGCCCCTCAAACGGCAGCAGCACGCCAGCAGCTGCCCCCCCAGTTCCACAGGGCCTCTCCCACGCTTCCGGGCTCAAGAATCCCACTCTTCTCGGTGTTTCTGCAGCCCCAGACAACGGAGCTGCTTCCCGCAACTGCTGCCACTAGGGAACCTCGGTGCTCCCATTTGCTTCCCAGGCCTCCCACATCTGTGTTACCAAGTCCCTCTGTTGAAAGGGACTAACCTGGCTTTGGGTTTCCTGACTGGACTCTAATTCACACAGGTTCCTGGTCTACAAAATAATCCCCTCCCCAGGAAATCATTTCTTTGTTTTTAGTTCAGGTATTTGGTAGCTTAAACAGATACATGTGCTAACTGTAACAGTTTGGCTCAAGAGGTACCCTGACCCTTCTGTTGAAAAGAACTAATAATGATGGGGGGAATACTTGCAAATCTTTTTAAATGACTAATGAGCTGGCAAGTTAGTAAGAAACATTAAGAAGCCAAACACCTAGAAGTGGATTCCTCCCAATTGAGCCTTAAGATGACTGCATGACCAGCTGACCCCTTGATGACAGCCTGCCAGAAACCCAGAGCCAGGGGCGCAGTGAAGCTGAGCCCAGATTTCAAACCCACAGAAATGGTGAGATGATAACACTCTTCAGCCATTAAATTTTGGGATAATTTGTTATGCAACAGTACACAACAAACAGAAGATTGGTATCAAAAGGACAATATTCTCTGACCTGAGTGCAATCAGGTTAGGAATCTCAGTAACAAAAATATAACTAAAGAGACTTTTGAACATTGAGAAATTCTAAAATCACAGGTAAAAAAACTAAATCAAAAGAGATTAGAAAATATCTAGAACTGAATTTTTAAAAATTACATATCAAAACTCAGGGGGTACACCTAAAAGCACTATTTGGAGAGAAACATACTAGAAAAGACAAACGATAGTGCTAGCTTCGGCAGCACATATACTAGAAAAGACAAACGATAAGGTAAGCATCCACCTCAAAAAATTAGAAAGAGGACTGCAGTGTAACTGCCAAATCAGCAGATAAATAAAAATAATAAAACACAAAGATTAATGAACTAGGGAATATAGAGATTTTATAGGATTTTTTAATAAAAGTTATTTCAAAAATCTACTGAAATTGATGAACCTCTGATAAGTCCCAAAAAAAGTGGGGGGAGGAGAAGTAACCAAAAACTGGGAATAAGGCAGGGAGTGGTGAGCTGGAGCATCGGTATATATGCTGCAGATATTGAAGATTATGAACAACTTTTAGCAAATTTTTTTTTTTTTTAAGATTTTATTTATTTATTTGACAGAGAGAGACACAGCGAGAGAGGGAACACAAGCTGGGGGAGAGGGAGAGGGAGAAGCAGGCTTCTTGCCGAGCAGGGAGCCCGATGTGGGACTCGATCCCAGGACCCTGGGATCATGACCTGAGCCGAAGGCAGACGCTTAACGACTGAGCCACCCAGGCGCCCCAGCAAATAAATTTTTTAAAAATCAGATGAAGTGGACTTTATCCTGAGAATTCTATCCAACATACTAGAGCAAGAAAAAATGAAGTAAGGTCTAGAAAGAACATTGTTATTATTCACACGTGAATGTCTGTAAAAACCCAAAATACCTACAGATAATTACTACAACTAAGTAAACTTAGGAAGATTACAAAATTTCAAATTGATAAATAAAAATCAACTGAAATTTTATATATCGCCAATAGCCTTTAAAACCTTGGCAAAGGGAAGGATTTCTTAAACAAGAGACAAAAAGTACCAGCCAATAAAGGACATATAAAATAAATTTGACATTAAGAACTTGCATTTATCAGATGAAAAAACAACCCACAAAGACACCTACAATACATGTAACTGACAGGTGATTAGCCCCAAAATATATAAAGAACTCCTGTAAATTACCAAGTCACAAAAAACATGAAAAGCCAATGAACAAACAAAAAGAACTCATACTTAGTAGTAACCAGAGGAATGCAAATTAAAACTACACTGACAGAGTAGTTCATACCTATCAGATTGACAAGAATGTAAAAACTGGTTAATACCAAATATTAGCAAGGATATGAAACAACAAGAACGATCACTCACAAGTAAGAGAATGTAGAGAGGCATGACCGCTTTGGGAGAGACTCTGACATTACCTACTAAAGCTGAACAAACTCAACAGGCAGCAACTCCAGTCCTAGGTATACACAACCTAGAGAAAAGTGTGCATATGCACCAGAGTACAGGTCATGGAATGTTCTAGCAGCACCACTTACAACAGCAAGAAGCTAGAAACAACCCCAAAGTCTACCAACAGAATAGGTAAGTAATGATACACTTATACAATGGATAAGTGTATCCAGTAGTGAATGAACTACAGCTACATGCAAAATGGATGAATCGCAAAAATAATGGTGAGCAAAGAGGCAAGTCATAAAGTATAAACACAGTATGACTCCATTATATGAAGTTCAGAAACAGGCAAAACTAAGAATTTACTTTTTAATACAGAGTAGGTGGTGAAACTACAAAGAAAAGCAAGAGAGTGACTGATAGAAAATTCAAGACAGTGGAAACTTCTGAGGGGAGGGAAGGGAATACAATCTAGGAACACACGGGAATTCTGAGTAACGGTAATGTTCTGTTTCTTAAGCTGAGTGGTAAGTGTATGAGCATTTATTTTATTATTCTTTTTTAAACTGTGCACACATGTTTTATTCTTCTGTATGTCACAAGTATTTTAAAGAACAAGAATGGTACCAGATCTCAACATAGCAGCACTGAACTCTGAAAGAAAATGGATAGGGGTGTCTGGCTGGCTTAGTTGGTGGAGCAGGCGACCCTTGATCTCCGAGTTCTGAGTTCGAGCCCCCCAAAATTCAAAAATTAAAAAAGAAAAGAAAATGGATAATGTCAAAATTCTGATGGGAAGTGATTTCCAAACTAGAATCCATATTCAGCCTAAGTCTTAAGTGTAAGGACAGAATAAAGAAGTTTTAGGATTAGCAAAGTTTCAAAACACTCACCTCCCATGCACCCTCTCATAAGAAACTGAGGAAGAATGTGCTTTGCCAAAAAGAGAGAGTGAACCACAGAGGAACACCCGGGAGCCAGGAAACAGGACTCAATCTAAAAAGAGAAATGAAGGAAATCTGCAGGACAATAAACAAGAAACCCAGGATGACAGATACACAGCAAGTCTGTAGAGCACCCAGTCTGGACTAAAGCAGGTCAAAATGATCCCAGAGATAATCTCCAAGAAGACAAAACTGAAAGAATAGCCGATTGCTGGGGCGCCTGGGTGGCTCAGTCAGTTAAGTGTCTGCCTTCAGCTCAGGTCATGATGCCAGGGTCTGGGATTGAGCCCCACACTGGGCTCCCTGCTCAGTAGGGGGGTCTGCTTCTCCCTCTCCCTCTGCTGCTGCTCTGCCTGCTTGTGCCCCGCCCCCCCATGTCAAATAAATAAATAAAATCTTAAAAAAAAAAATTAGCCAACTGTTTTGACCTTTCCTTCTGAAAGGAAATTTGGACTACTGGGGGAAAGTTTGGGCATAAAAGAATGATGTATACATAGGAAACAAAGCAAAAAGAAGACCATTATTAGGAAAGAGTTATGCAAGAAAGGCAAAGTGATCGGAGTATACCATACAGCTCACCTATGAATAGTGTTTCCACAGTTCTAATAAAGTAAACACATGATTTTAACAAACACAGATTTACGTAAGTGCTTACCTCATAACCACCTTTCAGAAAGAGATACTAAACAGCGGTACATAGAGTTTGACTTGCCTGAAACACTGAATATTGATTCAGCAAAAATTATAAACTGCATTGGGAGGAGAGGGGAATGAGCTGGAAGGAGGAGATGAAAGAAAACCCAATTCTCAGCTCTCAACAGGGAAGTCAAGAGAATAGCTACTTATATATGGAAGCAAAAATAAAACAAACAGCTCAAAAAGAAACAATGAGGCTGCCTCTGAGGTTAAGCATTAAAAGGTTTTGTCTGGGGGAAATACACACCAGGGGACTGCTATTTTTCACAATAAGCCTTACAGAACTATTTGACTCTTAAAGGAAGTGCATTTATGTCTTAGATAAAATCAGTATGGTATTTTATGTTCTGTGCTTTTTACCACAATAAAAAAAAATTTTAAGAAAATCAGTATGGCAATTGCCAGGATTTGTCAAACTAGGAAACTGAACAACAAATATATTATATCAAGTTGATGGTAAAGTGGGGAGCACAGCTGCCTTCCAAACACATTACATCCCCGCAAAGCAGGGGGGTATGGTTTTCTTTGTGTGGCTATAGGATAACAGAAGGAGAGGAGAACTGGGAATTGGCCTGGGAGTTTCAGTACAGCCATGAGCTGATCACCTGAGAACCCTCGTTAGCTCCAACCTCAACAGTAAACCAGGGTCGGCGTATCCTCCAATTAATGATACCCATTAAATTAGCTATGACTTTTTAATTACCCAATTTTGAAAGCTACTACAGTGAAACCGAAGCCCTCTTAAAAAGCAATTGGGCGGTGGCGCCTGGGTGGCTCAGTCATTGAACGTCTGCCTTCAGCTCAGGTCATGATCCCAGGGTCCTGGGATCGAGCCCCGCATCGGGCTCCCTGCTCGGCGGGAAGCCTGCTTCTCCCTCTCCCACTCCCCCTGCTTATGTTCCCTCTCTCACTGTGTCTCTCTCTCTGTCAAATAAATAAACAAAATCTTTAAAAAAAAAAAAAGCAATTGGGCACTGTCTATCAAGAATCATACCTATGGGGGTGCCTGGGTGGCTCAGTCAGTTAAGCAAGCGTCTGCCTTCGGCTCAGGTCATGATCCCGGGGTCCTGGGATAGAGCCCTGTATCGGGTTCCCTGCTCAGTGGGGAGCCTGCTTCTCCTTCTCTCTCTGCCCTTTCCCCTGCTTGTGCGCAGGTGTGCATGCGCTCTCTCTCAAATAAATAAAATCTTTAAAAAAATAAAAGAATCGTATCTGTGTTCATAACCCTAGACTACACCAAAGATATTCTAATTTTTTTTTTTAAGATTTTTATTTATTTATTTGACAGAAAGAGACACAGTGAGAGCTGGAACACAAGCAGGGGGAGTGAGAGAGGGAGAAGCAGGCTTCCCGCTGAGCAGAGCCCAATGCAGGGCTCAATCCCAGGACCCTGGGATCATGACCCGAGCCGAAAGCAGACACTTAACGACTGAGCCACCCAGGCACCCCCAGCAAAGATATTCTGATGGCAAGTAACCACATGAAAAGATATTTGACATCATTAGTCATTAGAAAAAATGGAAATTAAAGCCAGGGTTAAGGGCGCCTGGGTGGCTCAGTTGGTTAAGCGACTGCCTTCGGCTCAGGTCATGATCCTGGAGTCCCGGGATCGAGTCCCGCATCGGGCTCCCTGCTCAGCAGGGAGTCTGCTTCTCCCTCTGACCCTTCCCCCTCTCATGCTCTCTCTCTATCTCATTCTCTCTCTCAAATAAATAAATAAAATCTTTAAAAATAAATAAATAAATAAATAAAAAATAAAGCCAGGGTTAAATGTATGTTTAACATATGGATTTAACATATGCAATTCCACATATACATATATACCCCAAAGAAATGAAAATGTGTCCACACATCACTTACATGTGAATGTTTACAAATAGGACTACTACGATAGCCAAAACTGAAAATAATCCAAATGTCCATCAACTGGTAAATGGATAAACAAAATATGGTAAATCTATATAATGGAGTATCACTTAGCAATAAAAAGGACTGAATATTAATATATACTCAACATGAATGAACCTCAAAAACATGATGAAGGAAAACAGACACATAAGACTATCATTTCATTTATATGAAATTTCTAGGAAAGGCAAAACTGCAATGACAGAAAGCCGATCAGTGGTAGCCGAGGGTTGAGAGCGGGCACCAGGAGTGATTGCAAACAGGCATGAGATTAATTTTACGGGACAATGGAAGTGTTCTAAAATAACAGAACGTAAGGCACATGCAAAAGTACAGAGAAATTAGTTTACCTTGGCTCTGCCACTACCCGGCAAATTCTGATTCCATTTCCTGACAGGGAGAAGGGCGGGGGGGAGAGTTAAAGGGGTAAATAATAAAGAGTCAGGAACATTCCTCCAAGGAGTTTGGATTTTACCTTGACAGCAATGAGAGGCCACCAAGGAGGGTGCTAAAGAGGATTCTCAGGGTTTCAAGCAGAGGAATAACAGAGACTGGCATTTCAGAAAGACCCCTTGGGCTGCTAGATAGAGAAAGAAAAAGAGAAGCCAACACTAGGTCTGAGCAGGCAGTGGGGCTGAAAGATGCACAGGATTTGACGAAAGATTGCAGGCTCAGATGAGGAAAAGGGTGCCATCTTTCTGGCCTGCCTGAAAGGATGGCGATGCCATTTGTCAAATACCCTGGAAGCTGAGGCAAAAAGGATCCACTTTGCAGATGACACTAAAATCAGAGAGGCTCACAGACCCAAGAATCCACTAAGAAGCCAAGACCATCAAGCTAGAGAAAATTAGTCAAAACCAGGAACAATGTTTGTTCCACATTCTGTAATTCCCCAACAGCTCAGCAAAGGCACTCAGGTATTTGATGAAAATCAGGGAGGCACCTAGCCCCCCTTGGTGTGGCCTACAAACTAATGATGCTTAAGGAGACTGTTCTGTCATGATGTTGCCAAGAATTATGCAGGCTGAGCAGCTAACCAGGGCTGGATGAAGTAGACCCCACCATCAACATAGCCTCACGACCATGTCCCCTGATCCTTCTCCTGCCCTGCACTGCTCAGTTCTTTTTTTTTTTTAAAGATTTTTATTTATTTATTTAACAGAGATAGAGAGCACAAGTAGGCAGAGCGGCAGACAGGGGGAGAGGGAGAAGCAGGCTCTCCGCCGAGCAGGGAGCCCGATGCGGGGCTCGATCCCAGGACTCTGGGATCATGACCTGAGCTGAAGGCAGCCGCTTAACCGACTGAGCCACTCAGGCGCCCCTGCATTGCTCAGTTCTTAATTGTGGCCCTGCATCCTTCTCCTTCAAGCCTCCCCATTTCTGAGCCATCCAGATGAGAATGACTAGTCAAGCCCTGCTTCTTTTTTTTTTTTTTAAAGATTTTATTTATTTATTTGAGAGAGAGAATGAGAGAGAGAGAGCAGGAGGGGGGGGAGGGTCAGAGGGAGAAGCAGACTCCCTGCCGAGCACGGAGCCCGATGTGGGACTCGATCCCGGGACTCCAGGATCATGACCTGAGCCGAAGGCAGTCGCTTAACCAACTGAGCCACCCAGGCGCCCCAGCCCTGTTTCTTATAGACCAGAAAAACCTGCGTTGCTGCCACCCTAAGACCAGAACTATAACATAATTCAAACAGGAAAAGAAAACTCAGATGAAACAAAAATGAGAAAAGAAAAGAAAAAAAAAAAAGCTGAAATGTCACCGTGCAATGGAAGCCAGATGTGCTCTACAAAATAGTCTGCTGTGGCCTCTAGAGATTTGATTTTAAAATTACAAAGGACTATACAAGGTAAACCTGTGTAATTAGAGAATTTTTATCTAGAAGAGAAAATGGAGATCAGCTACAGAGATCCCATTCCTTTTAAATCCTAATGAACAAGATCTGCAGAGGTCTTATGTCTTCTCCAAGGTCACACTCAGGTAAACAGCAGAGCTGGAAGTAGGCCCTAGCCTCCTGACTGATTTCCCGACCACTGCGCCATGATGCCCATCTACATTATTCTACCATCATGCCTCTGGAGGAAATGGTTTTTGTGGTTTTTTGAGGGAAATTTTAACCTTGTAACTCCAGGTTTCAAACCCCACAGCGAGCTAATGGTTTCCTTTTACACTTACTCTGTCTTTGTCATGCAGCATATCAGCATAGGATGATCTAAAAAACAAACAAAACAAAAAGACAAGTCAGAAACCTCTACTAATAATGATATCCATCAACCTATGAGAGCATTCACATATATAATGCATTCCTAATCAGATGGAACAAACATCCAGGCCAGCCCATTTTATTTTTCATTTTTTATTACTGAACCATAACTGATACCCAATGTGACATCAGTTTCAGGTGTACAACATAGTGATTTGACAATTCTACACTCAACGTTCACTAGAGTAAATGTAGTCACCATGTAACGTTACTACAATATTATTAACTATATTCCCCGTGCTGTACCTTACATCTCTAATCCAGGCCCGTTTTTAAACTTTTTTTTTTTTTAAGATTTTATTTATTTGAAAGAGAGATATTGAGTGAGAGAGAACATGAGCAGGGGGAAGGGGAGAGGCAGACTCCCCTGCTGAGCAGGGAGCCCTACAAGGGGCTTGATCCCAGGACCCTGGGATAATCACAGATGCAACACTGCAGAGACGAATCAGGAAAAGTATACACCTGCTGTGTAAGTGAGGGGTGTCATGCCCAGCACTTTCCCTTACCTCATGAGGGAGAACGAAGAGTTCACCAAACTACAGGCTGTTAAAGGGAGGAGAGCTGCTTTTCCGTATTTTGTCACAACAATTCACAAACTTGGAAAATCTCTGGCAGGATCAGGATAAACCTCCAGAACTCAGCAGTCCCAGCCCAAAAATGCCTTTTGAGTTCCAGGTAAGAGCTCAGACACTCTCAATCAACAGAGGACCTCCCTCTTCGGGTCAACATCAGAATCACGGGAGAGTTTTTGTTTTTTTAAAGTAGGCTCTACGCCTAACCAACATGAGGCTTGAACTCACAATCCTGAGATCAAGAGTCACATACATCACCACATCAAAAACTAATGATGTATTGTATGGTGATTAACATAACATAATAAAATAAAATTAAAAAAAAAAAAAAAAAGAGTCACAGACATGCTCTACTGACTGAGCCAACCAAGCAGCCTGGAGAGCTTATTTTAAACGCAGATTCCCATGATACATGCAAATAGATCCTGACCCAGAAAACTGGGCAGAGTCTGGAAATATGCACTTGAACTGGTGCCCCAGGCAAGCGTGACATAGTTCATACCCTACACTTTGAGGAGCACTGTACTAAAAGAATAGTGTTGTTGTTTTTATTTTTTTTTTAATATTTTATTTATTTGACAGAGAGAGCGAGAGAGCACAAGTAGGGGGAACAGTAGAGGGAGAGGGAGAGGGAGAAACAGGCTCCCCGTCAAGCAGGGAGCCCTATGCGGGGCTCGATGACCTGAGCCGAAGGCAGATGCTTTACCATCTGAGCCACCCACGCGCCCCATTGTTGTATTTTTTTAATGGCACAACAAGGCTTTTACATGTGAACCGACCTACGAATGTGTAGTTGAAATCTGGTTCTGCCTTTCTCTGCCTTTCAAGAGGCATTTCTGGTCCCCATCTTCCCAGCTTCATCACCCCACCACTCCCCACCACTCCACAGACACATCACTCCCCCAAAGCACTACTAGCCCACTCCATCAGTAACATCCAGGATTTCTGTCCCAGGTGGACACTCCCTCTTCCTGGAACGCTCACCTCTTTCCCACTTTCTGGCCATTCCCTCCTGGTTCTCCTGCCTCCCCTCTTCCAGGATTCCTTCTTCAGCCCTCTACCTTTCTCATTCCATACCCTCTCTGAGAGCCTGCAATCTCCTCTAGTTTCAATTCTAACAACTGCAAATTGGCTCCAGACCCATGTTTATCTGCCCACTGGCATCTCTACCTGGATGTCCAAACCCAGATACCTAATCTCCATCACCTTCCTCTTCCCAGCAACACCCATTTCTCCTGTGTTCTCCCTCGGGAACAACAGCTCCTTCCACTCCTTCACTCTAACCAGAAATCTTGGGTGCTTCTTTAATTTTCTCTCTCGTTCCTTCACTGCATCCAGTGAGTTACCAAACTCAAGCCCCCTCGAAGCTGTCTCCTCCTCTCCCCACCTCTACTGCCTCACCTGTGGGGTTGCAATAGCACCCAAATGGATTCCGCTCCCTCCAACCCACTTTCCACACTGTTCTCAGTAAACGTTCCAAAACGCAACCTAATCTGTTTGTTCCCTGTTTAACATCTCAATCACTCAGAAAATAATGTCCCATATCTTTAGAAAGAAGGTAATGTTTTTGATCCCTTATTCTGCACCACACACTGTATTTCACTCACTCATCAACCTTAAAATAAAGATATATGAAGAAATGTACATTATTACATATATCAAGCCATGTATTATCATACTGAGGCTCCAGGAAGTGAAGCAGCTTGACCAATGTCAGACTTGAGACAAGGCAGAGCCCAGACTTACTCTCATGCTCCTCTTCCTGCATTTTGCCACCACCCTTCACAATATGACCCTGCCTACCTTTTTCAGTATCCTCTCTCACCACAGCCCTGCTTTTGTACCCCATTCCAGCCCCTTCAAACTGCTTGCAACCCCCCAAATCAGTTCATCTGGAAGGTTACATGGAATCCCTGCAGCTCAGAAAGCAATTTCCCTCCTTCTAGATTTGGGAAATCACTCAACTATCACTCCCCAGCCCAGCTGTTCTTGCTGCTTCCATGAACTCTTGTGCCTGTATCCACTGGTCTTTCTCTCACTGTCATAATTTTTTCTATGTCTGTCTCTTGACAAAACGGCATATCCCTGGGACGCCTGGGTGGCTCAGTTGGTTAGCGTCTGCCTTCGGCTCAGGTCATGATCCCAGGGTCCTGGGATCAAGTCCCCCATCAGGCTCCTTGCTCAGCGGGGAGCCTGCTTCTCCCTCTCCCTCTGCCTGTCATTTCCCCTGCTTGTGCTGTCTCTCTCTCTCTGACAAATAAATAAAATCTTAAAACACAAACTGCATGTCCCTTGAGGATGGGAACCCTATCATCTTCATTTTGGTATTCACAGTCCTAGCACGGTGCTAGCATGTTGTATGCACTTAATGATTGCTAAAGAACAGTAACTCGCTTACGCAGGTTTAAAGATCCCATCCAAGGAAAAAAAAGACACATTTTTTCACTTTTTCCATTCAAGAGAATTTAACCATATGTTAAATGTAGCACCATTTCGGTAGCACAAGTAAATGATTAAATTTCATAAACACTACCACTACCAACTACTACTACTACTAACTACTATTACTACTACTACTACTACTACTACTACTACTACTACTACTACTACTAACTACTACTACTACTACTGACCCTTGGGTCCTCTTTGCTCCATGAGACAGACCCTCCAAGACTCCAATAAGGCTGCTACGTGATATCTGACTCTCCACACAGAAATGACTTTGCCTCACTCCCACACAAACCTATCTGGCTAAGCAGACCTGCTCATGACCAATATCTGCCCTGAAGAGCAGCACTAGGTAATGCCTAGTCCATATTCAGATCCCATTCCAGGGCTCCTGCTTTGAGATCAAATGCCCCACCCAGCTGCAACCAATTGTGAACACACCCTTGTTACCTTGCAATCTCCTGGTGGTAATCATAGTGCTCATCCTCCTCCAGCCACTCCACAGATCCAGTGGTCGGATTGGCCCGCCCGCAGAAGACTTTCATGGTGCCAATCAGCTCCTCGGTTTTAGCACAGAAACGCAGCCTTGCCAGCTCACTTCCTGTGGACAGGTCTAATCGTCTGAAATCTATTCACATCATAATACCCAAAATGGAGAGAAAAAAAATTTTAAAGACCAAAAAGAAAAAGGAAAAAAAAAAATCAAGAAATACACAAAACTGTCAAAGCCCCTGAAAATATTTGTTAATCAGTATTTTAATCTTTCCAGCAAGTTATCTGATTTTATATTCAGCATATAACATCAAAAACTATAATACATAAATTCATAAAGCTATCTGGAAACTTCAGCAGTCCTCAGTGATTCCAACACAGGTCAAATGAGCCTCAAAGTAAAGGCATGTGAGAAGAGAACTAAAGCAGAGGGAACAGGAGGCTAATAGGAAAGGAGAAACAGAGACTGGGGTGGTGGTAAAAGAGTGCCGCCAATACGGCCTCAGTATATCAAACACACTTAGTTTAAGGAAAAATAATGAAGGGACGCCTGGGTGGCTCAGTCGGGTTAAACGTCTGCCTTGGGCTCAGGTCATGATCTCAGGGTCCTGGGATCGAGTTCCGCATTGGGCTCCCTGCTCAGCGGGGATTCTGCTTCTCCCCCTGCTTGTGTGTTCTCTCTCTCTGACAAATAAAGAAATAAAATCTTTAAAAAAAAAAAAAAGGGAAAAATAATAAAGAGCAATTCGAACAAACTAGGAAAACCTTCATCTAAACAAATAAACCACAGCTATAAGCAAACATCCCAGAAATATGTTGAGCCAAAAAATTAGCAAATCACAGAATACATACAGTATGATTACATTTATATAAAATTATAATTATGCAAAACAAAAACCATATATCCTTTAGGGATCACACTAAAAAGCCATAGAAGGGAACGAGGACCGTGGTTACCCTTAAGAGGGAAAGGAAAAGCCTGGGATCAAGGAGGGCCACAGAGGGGACTTCAAAATAGCACTGTTTCTTCCATAAATGGGTGGTAGGATTAAAGAGGTTCACGATACTGTCATTCTTTATGCCTGACCATTTTTTAGTAACCAGTACTTCTTACTCAATGTTTGGTTTTAAAAGCAATTTTAAAAAGTCTTCATCTAGGGGTGCCTGTCTGGCTCATTCTTTATAGAGTGTGCAACTCTGGATTTCAGGGTCTTGAGTTAGAGCCCCACATTGGGTATAGAGATTACAGAAATTAAAAAAAATTTTTTTAAGATTTTATTAGAGAGTGCGCGCGCGCACAAACACGCAGAGGGGCAGAGGGAGAGGAAGAAACACACTTCCTGATGAGCAGGGACCCTGGGATCATGACCTGAGCTGAAGGCAGCCACTTAACCCACTCAGCCACCCAGGCACCCCTAAAGAAATAAAAATTTAAAAGAATATTCATCTAGGGCACTCGGGTGGCTCAGATGGTTGAGCATCTGCCTTTGGCTCAGGTCATGATCCCAGAGTCCTGGGATCGAGTCCCACATCAGGCTCCTTGCTCCTTGGGAGCCTGCTTCTCCCCCTGCCTCTCTCTCTGTCTCTCATGAATAAATAAATAAAATCTTTAAAAAAATAAAAGAATATTCATCTAAAAAACATCCTTCAAATAAATGTTGCCAGATTCATGTCTTGTGTGCGCTATTTCCGCAGAGATCTACTTCTGACAGAGAAACACCACACCTCAAAGTCTGAAGGCACCTCTCTGCAAGTCTGAGCTCTTCCAGCATCCTGCCTCTTACCCTCAGAAAACATCAAGTGTTCCACACTTCCCTTCATTTCCTGTTAAACACTGATCCTTCTTCAGGAAACCTTAGAAAGAATGCCTACTCCATAGATCCCTAAAACGTCCCTAAGGCACTTAATTGGCCAGAATTATGGCCTTTCTCTTGAAGTTATCTAGACTAACCAAACGCCCCGAACACTGAATTCTTACAAATGAGGACGGGGAAAATCTTTTCTGAAAAGACTGAGGCAGGGGCGCCTGGGTGGCTCAGTCGTTAAGCATCTGTCTTCGGCTCAGGTCATGATCCCAGGGTCCTGGGATCGAGCCCCGCATCAGACTCCCTGCTCTGCGGGAAGCCTGCTTCTCCCTCTCCCACTCCCCCTGCTTGTGTTCCCTCTCTCACTGTGTCTCTCTCTGTCAAATAAATAAAATCTTTAAAAAAAAAAAAAAAAGAAAAGACTGAGGCAGTCAGTGGTCTGGTTCAAAGTAGTCAATTTATCCTTCAGTGAAACTCGACTTCTAAAATCTCAGTGTATCCATCCTCTCATCTAGTGGCTCTCAAACTTTGTGGCAACCTCAGTAAGAAATATACTTTACATCAAGACACAACACACACACATAAACATAAGCTTTCACTAAACAGTATTTAGCCTTCCTGTCAGCAAGGCCCTCTGATATATTCTACTCTATTTCATTTTTTTTAAATTGATCACGATCTGGGGTGCCTGGGTGGCTCAGTCAGTTAAGTCTGCCTTCGGCTCAGGTCATGATCCCAGAGTCCTGGGATCAAGCCCTGTGTCGGGCTCCCTGCTCATCCAGGAGCCTGCTTCTCCCTCTCCCTCCACCCTGCTTGATGTTCTCTCTCGCTATCTCTGTGGTCAGCTCTGTCTCTCTCTCAAATAAATAAATAAAACTTTTAAAAAATAAATTGATCATGATCCACTAAATTGATTTCATAATTGGTGGGCTGCAACCTATAGGTTAAAAAGCTTTGCTAGAATCAACTGTGAACGGGGCACCTGGGTGGCTCAGTCGGTTCAGCGTCTGCCTTCGGCTCAGGTCATGATCCCAGGGTCCTGGGATCGAGCCCCGCATCGGGCTCCCTGCTCGGCGGGAAGCCTGCTTCTCCCTCTCCCACTCCCCCAGCTTGTGTTCCGTCTCTCGCTCTCTCTCTCTCTGTCAAATAAATAAAAATAAATCTTTAAAAAAAAAAAAAGAATCAACTGTGAACATCTCCTGCTAATTAAAAAAAAAAAAAAAAAGAGTACAACTATCAGAATCCATAATGTGCTTTAGAAAACTATGTCCGGGACGCCTGGGTGGCTCAGTCGTTAAGCGTCTGCCTTTGGCTCAGGTCATGATCCCAGAGCTCTGGGATCAAGCCCCGCATCGGGCTCCCTGCTCGGCGGGAATTCTGCTTCTTCCTCTTCCACTCCCCCCTGCTTGTGTTCCCTCTCTCGCTGTGTCTCTGTCAAATAAATAAATAAAATCTTTAAAAAAAAAAAAAGAAAGAAAGAAAACTGTAACCAAAAAAATGCTACAGTAGAAAGAAATGGCCACATCCGGCTGAATGTTCAGTGAAGACTTAAAAGATGGCTACGATTTAGGCAAGCATGGGAGGGAGAGGGCACTTCACCAGATTAGAAAGACTCAGTCATGCGCAGTGAATAAACCAGTTTAGCTGAAGTAAAACTGAACAAGGAGTCAAACATGTCAGTGGGGTACATACTGTGGAGAACCCTGAAACCCTTATCCTGTGGGGTATGTGGGATCAACTCTGAAGTCATTTAAAGGTTAACAGTGTAGTATTCTAATCTATGGAATTCCCTTTTTGTCTGTGCTCTTGCTTGAGCTTTACAAAGGACTACAGTTTTTTTTCACACCGGAGAGGTTACTGGTTTCATATAAATGTAAATAAATGCTTGCAGGTGGGAAACATGTCCTGTAACCTCTCTGGGTGAGAACTACACATCTACTGAGAAATCCCCTCATTTATTATTACAACTTGTCTTCTCCCAAAAGGAGCCACACTCCAGATTCAAGAGATATTTTGACACCCCCCTCCTCATTCTCCAAAACCTGTCAACTCAAGTGATGGTTTATAAGGAGGGAATGGAAACCACCCTGCCAAGCCCCAAGTGGATTACCTGTCAGACTTCAGAGCAGGTATTTGCTTCATTCATTCAAAATTTTAGTAAAATTTACACAATGCCAAACACCGCATTTGGGACTGGAGGACTCCCATAAACAAAAAAAGGAGATCTTTGTCCTCCAACAGATTAGGTTTTCATGAGGGAGAGACTAAGGATAAACAATCCCAGACTGTATGGGTGCAAGAAAGGAAATATGCAGGATGCTATTAAAAAGAGTAACAAGGCTATGGAAAGACTGAGGAAGGTGGCATTTAAATTGAGACATGCAAGATAAGCCAGGTTAAAAGTTATGGAAGAGTAGTGCTTATGTTTCTGGAAACCTTAGCCCTACTTTTCCCCTACCCCTATTTTCCCTACGGGGGGGAAAAATAACTAAGTGCATAAGCAAAAACTGACAAAAGCCTGAGTGACTGAAGCACTCTGAGCAGAGGTAAAATAGGCTATACCGGTGGGCTTCTGCAAATCACACTGGGCCAAGCTGGGTTCGGAAAGATGTTTGGATTTTGTTCTACATGCACTGGGAGCCACTCAAGAGTTTTAAGCACAAAAATGTCCACGTCAGATGTACGCTTTTACAGGGCCGCTCTGGCTGTGTGGTGAATGGACCGGTTTCCAACTACTCAACACAGTGACTGGGAAAAGCGAGCCCATAAGCAGTTCCCTGAATCCAAGAAACGTGGCCCAGCTAGGGGTGCGATGCTTGGAGTTCCGTATGTTTGCGGTTCGAGTCTCTGTCGCTGAGAGGAGGCGCCAAGTAGTATAATCCAGGTCCCCGTGGAAGTCACCGAACAGAACCGTTTCCCAGTTCTCTTGCCAGCCCAGGAGGGGCTCTCAGCCGCCCCATAAGGACTCTAGAAAGGTCCTCGAGAATCCGAAACAGACGGAAACCCTGGCGGCCCCAAACGCCCACGCCAGGTCCGTCAGCCCGAGACCTTGGGCTGTGAACAGAGGATGGCTGCACTCGGGACTCTACTGCGACCCCACCTTCCCAACCCGCCCAGGGCCTCACCCGCCGCAGAAACCGTTCCGTTCACTTCCGCCGCCGCCTCCACCTGGCCGCGGCTGGCGAGAGGGGGCGGGACCTCCCAGCGCCCGCTGAGCGTGCCGGGAGCGAGGCCCGGAAGCGGAACTTGAAGGCTCTCCCGTCGCACCCCACGCGTTCCCACAGTGCTCCGCGACAGCCGCTATGGAGGCCGGCAGGACTGCAGTGCTTCGCGTGAAGCGGAAGCGCAGCGCAGAGCCTGCCGAGGCCCTTGTCCTCTCTTGTAAACGCCTCCGGAGCGGCGCCGTCGAGTCGGCGACTCAAAAGACACCCTCCGAGGATCTGGAGAGAGGGCCAGAGAATAATGTCTTCCAATTGGTGGCCACTGTGCGCTCCCAGGTATTGGGCGGGATGGAGCCGGTGTTTGAAGGGGATCTTAGGGCACTGCCGGGACGAAATTGTATCCCTGACCCGTTGACGAACCTCCTGCTTACGCCGGCTTCCCTCCCCTACCACCTTCCAGGAGGAGCCAGTCCAGGCGCTCGTTCGAGCCGCCCTGCGCCCTTCCCGGGGCAGCCAGCAGCGTATCCGCCGCGATCTCCGCGCTTCGGTTCGGGAGATCCGGCAGGAGGGCCGCTACAGGGTGATCTCTGGCCGCCGGTCCTCGGGGATTCCCTCGGGTGGCCCAGAGTCCGAAGACGCACTGGGAAACCCAGAAGCATCCGAGGACGCAGGTTTCCAGCTGTTCGACCTGGTCCACGAGGAAGGAGACCCAGAGGCCGTCGCCACCGCAGGCTCCTCCAAAGTGAGTACCCGCCCAGAGAGCACTGGGCTTCCCCGGACTGATAGTGCCAGGAGTCTGGGCGTTAAGTCAGCACATAGTTAAGAGGAGGTACACGGCTTCACCTTACTGATGGATGATCTGTCAGCCCTGGTAACCTCGTTTTGCAGGTTAGGTTATTCATTCAACAAATATTTACTGAGTGGCCACTATGTGCCAGGCATTGTTCTTAGGTTCTGTGGATATAGCTTTGAGGACTTAACACTCTTTTTTAAAAAATATTTTATTTATTTACTCGACAGACAGTGAGAGAGGGAACACAAGCAGGGGGGTGGTGGGAGGGAGAAGCAGGTTTCCCGCCGAGCAGGGAGCCCGATGCGGGCCTCGATCGCAGGACCCTGGGATCATGACCTGAGCCGACCGAGCCACCCAGGCGCCCCGAGGACTTAACATTCAGGTAGAGGAGAGAAACAGTAAAGAAGTGAAATTCAATGTCAGATGGTGATAGGGAGGGGCTGTGTGTAGGGGAGGTGGTGGCAGGGAAAGAGTTTTCCATTTCAGAGAGGGTCTCAGAAAATGACATGAGAGTGAGAACTTGGAGGAGGTGAATGGCAAGGAACTGTGGATATCTTAAAGACAGTTTGGTGTGTTCAAGATCACTGTGCCCGGAGCCCAGTGAACTGAGGAGCTGGAGCCCAGTGAACGGAGGAAGAATAATAAGGAATTTGGGAGAGGATGCCTGCTAGACCCTGAAGGTACTTTTAAGGACATACTGCCTTTCACCCTGAGATGGGGAATTACTGGAGGTTTTTGAGCAAGGTAAAGATAGAACAGATGGAAAAACTCATCAAAGGGAGGTTAAAGGACTGGTCTTGGGTAGCAAATCAAATTTGAGGCAGATTGAAGTGTAGAGTGCAGGTCTTCTCACATTTAATCCAGTGTTCTTTCCGTTGTTACATTTACTAAATTTGTTTTGTACCTCAGTTCCAAAAAACAAACTCTACTACATGTATTAAGACTATAGAAATAGAGGCGCCTGGGTGGCAGTCGTTAAGCGTCTGCCTTCGGCTTGGGTCATGATCCCAGGGTCCTGGGATCGAGCCCCGCATTGGGCTCCCTGCTCGGCGGGAAGCCTGCTTCTCCCTCTCCTGCTCCCCCTGCTTGTGTTCCCTCTCTCGCTCTCTCTGTCAAATAAATAAAATCTTTAAAAAAAAAAAAAAGACAATAGAAAATTATCAAGCTAAGGTTTGCCTCCTCTTGATAAGCATTAAAAAAAAAAACTTCACTCTTCACTCTTTTGATAGTTTTTGAAGTTTAAAAACTGAAATTTTAATTCAAAATTTATCAAGCAAAAAATATTTAATTGTGGTGCTAATATACTTGGATAACAATTTGGGCATGATGACTATAGCCACTTCTTTTACCAAAACTAACTGAAGACTGATTCATAAGTTACAAGTCAAATATCTTTTAAAAGTAAACCAGTGTTGAGTGGAATCAAATCTATCAAATAGCTCATTCAGGGCGCCTGGGTGGCTCAGTTGGTTAAGCGACTGCCTTTGGCTCAGGTCATGATCCTGGAGTCCCTGGATCGAGTCCTGCATCGGGCTCCCTGCTCAGCAGGGAGTCTGCTTCTCCCTCTCCCACTCCCCCTGCTTGTGTTCCCTCCCTCGCTGTGTCTTTCTCTATCAAATAAATAAATAAAATCTTAAAAAAAAAAATAGCTCATTCAGTTTTATAACAAAAACTAGTATATAAACTGATGAAGGATGTGAATACAGATCTTTCTCAACAATGCAATACAACTGTAAATACATCAAAAAGTGTTTGCTCGTTGGGGCATCTGGGTGGCTTAGTCGGTTAAGTGGCTGCCTTAGGCTCAGGTCATGATCCTAGGGTCCTGGGATCAAGCCCCGCATCAGGCTCCCTGCTGAGCAGGGAGCCTGCTTCTCCCTCTCCCTCTGCCCCTCCTCCCTGCTTGTTTTCTCTCTCTTTCTCTTTCAAATAAATAAATAAAATATTTTTTTTTTTAAGTGTTTGCACGGGGTGCCTGGGTGGCTCAGTCGTTAAGCGTCTGCCTTCGGCTCAGGTCATGATCCCAAAGTCCTGGGATCAAGCCCCACATCGGGCTCCCTGCTCCTCGGGAAGCCTGCTTCTCCCTCTCCCACTCCCCCTGCCTGTGTTCCCTCTCTTGCTGTGTCTCTCTCTGTCAAATAAATAAAATCTTTAAAAAAAAAACAAAACGTTTTTGCACATGAAAGAGTGGGACATCTGGCTTGCCAGCAGTCACCTTCATTTGACGTGCAATGGAAGAGCAATTTAAAAATGGGTAGTGTTGAGAAGGGCAAGAAGATTTTTGTTCAGAAATGTGCCCAGTGCTATACTGTCGAAAAGAGAGGCAAGGCAAGCATAAAACTGGGCCAAATCTCTATGGTCTATTGAGCGAAAGACAAGTCGCGCCCCTGGATTTTCTTAAAAGGATGCCAACGAGGTATCCGGGCACCTGGGTGGCTCAGTCGGTTGAGCGTCTGACTTCAGCTCAGGTCATGATCTTGGGGTCAGAGGATCCAGCTCTGCATTGGGCATGCTCAGCAGGGAGTCTGCTTGTCCTTCTGCCCCTCCCGCCTTGTGCCAGCTCTCTCACTCTCAAATAAATAAGTAAAATAATAAATAGAACAAAGGCATCACCTGGGGAGAGGAGACACTGATGGAATATTTGGATAAACCCAAGAAGTACATCCCTGGAACAAAAATTATCTTCGTGACATTAAGACAGGAGAAAGGGCAGACTTGATAGCTTATCTCAAAAAAGCTAAGGAGTAATAATTGGCCACCACTTTATTACAAAACAAAAATGTCTCATGTCTTTTTATGTGTACCATATTTAAACTGGTATCATACACCAGAATTCAGATTATGAATGGCTGATAGAGTATTTCTTTTGGACAGTCCTGATTTAAATAAGATTGGCTTGTGGTTAAATGAATAGGATCAGCTTTTTGAACTTTGATAGTAATTCTGGTTCAGCAAGTGCTGTCTTTGTTTTCTCCTTACAGAGATTTGATTATAATTGATTAGTAATGGTCAGCTTTTTAAAAAAATTTTATTTGCTTTTTAAGATTTTATTTATTTATTTGAGAGAGAGAATGAGAGATAGAGCATGAGAGAGGGGAGGGTCAGAGGAAGAAGCAGGCTCCCTGCCGAGCAGGGAGCCCGATGCGGGACTCGATCCTGGGACTCCAGGATCATGACCTGAGCCGAAGGCAGTCGCTTAACCAACTGAGCCACCCAGGTGCCGTTTAATTTTATTTTTAAGTAATCTATACACCGAACATGGGGCTCAAACCCACAACCCAGAGATCAAGAGTCATATACTCCACTAACTGAGCCAGTCAGGCGCCCCAGTAATGTTCAGCTTTTCATGGAGTCGGTAAATGCCATCTCTAAACCTATAGATTGATTTTATATTTAGACTGATATAACTGGTTATATTAATACATATGTAAATACTGAGGAAATCCCTTCACTGTCTCATAGAACAGCAAGACTCAGCTGTGTTTCAAGTTGTGTTTGTTAGCCTGTTAAAGGCAAGGGCTGAAGATAAGCTGGCAGTGTCCACTTTATCTTTTTGGTCTTAACTATGCCAATGCGGTTAAAATTCCCTGCATCTAAAATGTTGCCTTTTGCTTAATGAAAGGTATTTTAGTGTGGTTTATGTATAATATTAAATTAAGAATACTTAACACTTCTCACATTTTATAGATGATCTGTAAGGTCAGATGCTTTTAAAGCTCATTGTGACAGGATATAGTAGCACATTTTGCTTGTGGATTCTTTACTAAGCCAGACTACATTCTTGTCTTTTTTTTTTTTTTCCAGAATTGTCTTTTATTGTTTATTTATTTTTTTTTTAAAAAGATTATTTATTTATTTGACAGAAAGAGACACAGCGAGAGCAGGAACACAAGCAGGGGGAGTGGGAGAGGGAGAAGCAGGCCCCCCGCCGAGCAGGGAGCCCGATGCGGGGCTCGATCCCAGGACCCCGGGATCATGACCCAAGCCGAAGGCAGACGCTTAACGACTGAGCCACCCAGGCATCCCCAGAATTGTCTTTTAAACAGCTAATCAAAAACATCTGTAGAATTAATCACAGATTTTAAAAAATGTTTTGCCCTCAGTAATTATTTTTTTAAAAATGGATTTAAGCTGAAAGCAAATTTGGGGTTTTATGCATACTAGACTATCAGGGGAAAGGTTGTTGATAGCGCTGCTGGCAAGGCCATGATTAAAATGGTACATAAATGTAGTGCTTAAAATTGATGCAAGGCTTTTGGAAAACAGCATGGCTTTACATATCAGAAATCCTAAAAATAGCTTGGGGCCTATTTGAAAACTACTTAAATTTATTTTTATTGTTTGGATTCCAAAGCCATCTAAACATCTAAAGAAATTTTAAAATAGTGACAGCATTTTTGCCACATTATATTTCTCATTTTTTTTTATTTTTTAATTTAAATTCCATTAATATATAATGTATTACTTGTTTCAGGGGTACAGGTCTGTGACTCACCAGTCCTGTATAATAGCCAGTGCTCATTACAACACATACTCTCCCCAATATCCATCACCCAGTACATTTCTCATTAATTTGATGCCATTTATTTATTTATTTATTTTAAAGATTTTTATTTATTTATTTGAGAGAGAGAATGAGAGAGAGAGAGCAGGAGAGGGGGGAGGGTCAGAGGGAGAAGCAGACTCCCTGCCGAGCAGGGAGCCCGATGCGGGACTCGATCCCGGGACTCCAGGATCATGACCTGAGCCGAAGGCAGTCGCCCAACCAACTGAGCCACCCAGGCGCCCAATTTGATGCCATTTAAATTTTAAGCAAATATAGTACTATTTTAGAAGAAATCTTAAGTGAGAAAAGTTCCTTTTATTTTATCTAGTGATCTTACCCCCAGGATTTATCCTAGAGAAATAAGGCAGCAGAAGCAAACAGCTATGGGTGTGCCTGGGTGGCTCAGTTTAAGCGGCTGCCTTCAGCTAAAGTCATGATCCCAAGGTCCTGGGATCAAGTCCCACATTGGGCTCCCTGCTCAGCGGAGAGTCTGCTTCTCTGCTTCTGCCTCTGCCTGCCATTCCCCCCTGCTTGTGCGCGCTCTCTTTCCTCTCTCTCTGTCAAATAAATAAATAAAATCTTTAAAAATATGTATTTAAAAAAAAGTACGACATCATTGGGTGCCTGGGTGTCTCAGTTGAGTGTCCAACTCTTGGTTTTGGCTTAGGTCATGATCTCGGGGTTGTGGGATCAAGCGCCCCCCACTTGGGCTCCATGCTTGGAGGGGAGTCTGCTTGAGATTGTTCTTCTCCCTCTACCCCTCCCCTGCTCACGCATGCACTTGCTGGCTCTCAAATACATTTTTTTTTTTTTTTAAGATTTTATTTATTGATTAGAGAGAAAGGGAGAAAACACAAGCAGGGGGAGCAGCAGAGGGAGTGGGAGAAGCATGCTCCCTGAGCAAGGATCCCATTTGTGGGGCTCTATCCCAGGACCCTGGGATCATGACCTGAGCCGAAGGCAGCCTCCTAACTGGCTGAGCTACCCAGGTGCCCCTCAAATAAATCTTTTTTTTTTTTTTTTTAAGATTTTATTTATTTGTTTGAGAGAAAGAGACACAGCGAGAGAAGGAACACAAGCAGGGGGAGTAGGAGAGGAAGAAGCAGGCCTCCCACTGAGCAGGAAGCCCGATGCGGGGCTCGATCCCAGGACCCTGGAATCATGACCTGAGCCGAGGGCAGACAAATAAATCTTTTTTTAGTATATGTGCTGCCGAAGCGAGCACGACAAATAAATCTTTTAAAAAAGAAAAGGGACATCATTGTGGGCAACCAGGTGGGAGTAGTCATCAGAGTCCAAGAATCGCTTTTAGATCCCTATAGGAGGTCACACAAAATGCAGAGACATTGGGGATCAGCCCAAGAAGTGCTGCTGTGGGCCTGCAGATCCCTAAGGGGAGATCTTCTCAGGCCAGTCTTTCCATATACTCTCTTATGTTGGTCAAGCACAAAAGAGCAGAAAACTATCTTAAGTCTATCTCAAAAGAAAAACTACATAATTATTTTAGAAATAGTTAATTTTTTAATTTCATAGCTAATAGACCAGTAGGACATGGGGATAAGAATCTTGAATCTAGGGGTGCCTGGGTGGCTGAGTCACTAAGCGTCTGCCTTCAGCTCAGGTCATGATCCCAGGGTCCTGGGATCGAGCCCCACATCGGGCTCCCTGCTCAGAGGGAAGCCTGCTTCTTCCTTTCCCACTCCCCCGCTTGTGTTCCCTCGCTCGCTGTCTCTCTCTGTCAAATAAATAAATAAAATGTTAAAAAAAAAAGAATCTTGAATCTAACATAGACAACTATAGAGATTTCCTTCACTCAAATCTTAAATTTCTCCTTTTGGAACATCCATGTTTTAGATCATGCATGTATCATCTCTTGATTTCTTTACAGACATCTGACCCGGATGTGATCCTCTGCAATTCCGTAGAGTTGATCCGTGAACGGCTGGCTCTATCTGAGGATGGACCAAGAATCGGGCACCAGGAGGAGCAGAAGGATGACTATGTGTATGACATATACTACTTGGAGATGGCCACTCCAGGATGGATTGAGAACATCCTCTCTGTACAGCCCTATTGCCAGGAGTGGGAGCTGGTAAGGGGACCCATTAGGATGAGAAGGGTATGAGGTAGCCTAAGCAGTTCTCTAGTCTGGGTGCTTTGTTTCCCTGTGTTCCACATTGCCTCCAGTGGGTTCAAGATTGTTCTTAGCTCTTCCTGTCCTTGTTTAAATGGAAAAATTTATTCTAAATGCCTTCTAGGAACCTGGGTTTAGTGCAGGGAATTTTGGGAATGACAGGTACACTGAATTTTTGCTCTTAATAGTTCTTTTACAAGGTTTGCAACATCATTTTTATCATTTATTAACACCTACTTTCAGGGGAAAACATATGGGGGCTTATAATAAAGACAAAATAAACCAGAAATTCTTAACATGAATAGGAATAAAAGCTTTTTTTTTTTTAAACTGGATCTTAAAGGGGGGAGACCTTGGATTAAGAAAGCTAACATCCTGACATTTTTTTTTTTAAAGCAATCTCTACACCCAATGTGGGGCTTGAACTCATAACCCTGAGATCAAGAGTTGCAGCTCTATTGACTGAGCCAGCAAAGCACCCCTTGACATCATTATTTTTAAAACAAATTCTAAAGTGAGGAGCGGCACCTTATCCCATACCTGCATTGCAACCATAGTCTCACAGTCAGGCACCCACCTTGGATCATTGCATAGCCCCTCTCCCTGCGCCCCTCACACTTAGATTTTGGTTCTGGTTTTTGGCATCACCCATAATCCATATAATCTCTCTCCCACCTGGCTGTCCTTCAAGTTTAAAGATCAGTGCCAACACTTACTCAGAGGTCTCTCTCCTCCCCACCTTGGTGTGTTCCCTTCTGGAGTTCATCCTATCCCACTGGGAATGTGATGGCTGGAGGTAGACTCTGAGAAGTAGGGCTGCTGTCTCTACCTTGTAGCCCAAGGTTACTACAGCCCCTTGTGCAGCAGACTCAGACCAGCTCCTAGGCTGCCTCTTTTCCACACAGTGCTCTTAAATGATTTTTCCAAGTTGGTCTGCTAATAGCTTCCCCCACAGCACAGCCTTAGAGGTTTTGACTTATACTCATGTTTGTGTTGAGATGTGCAGGTGAATGATGACCAGCAACCAGAAGATATTTATGAAGATGATGATGATGAGAACAGTGAGAATAACTGGCGCAATGAGTATCCAGAGGAGGAGAACACTGATGGAGATGAGTCCAGAGGTACATGGGTGGCAGCCTTGGATGGGAAGGAACTAGTGGGATCCAAGACTGAGGTGTGAGCATGGTTAACAAGTACATCTTAACTGGCTTTCCTTCTCTGCCATTGAACTCCCAACAGCTCAACCACAAGCTATTAGAGCTATAGGAGCCCCAAGAACTAGTGTTTCCGGGGGAAGCCTAGGTTCAAATCCTTAGTTCTTTTTTTTTTTTTAAGAGTATTTTTTTTTTTAAAGATATTTATTTGATAGATAGAGATAGCGAGAGCAGGAACACAAGCAGGGGGAGTGGGAAAGGGAGAAGCAGGCCTCCCGCTGAGCAGGGAGCCCGATGCGGGGCTCGATCCCAGGACCTGGGATCATGACCTGAGCTGAAGGCAGACGCTTAACGACTGAGCCATCCAGGCGCCCCTCAAATCCTTAGTTCTGTCATTTCCTATCTGTAGGACTTGGGGAAGTTACTTCACCTCATGGAGCCTCATCCTCTCTCCAGAAAACAGGAGAATATTGCACTAACTTCAGTGGTTGGGATTAAGAGAAACATCTTAGGTCAGTGTCTCTTCTCCTGCTTCAGTCAAGAAGGTATTGAAGAGGTTTGCCAGTTGGAGCAGGGCTAGGATTTTGACAGATCAGTTATCTAACTTCTCAAGAAGTTGCTTTGTTTACAATGTTTTGAGAAAGATGCAACACACAGACATGGTAGCTGGGGGAAAGAGGAAGGAAAGATACTCTGGTGACACAGATCCTTCAAGGATTATGTTCTTTGTGCCAACAAAAAGAATTTCTCAGTGTCTGTTAATGGAAGGACAATTAATTAAACTGTGACTATTCTATCTGGGAAGTACTGATATGTTAAAAGGATAGGGGCAGACGTGAAATTATGTTTACAGTATGACTACAACTATAATAACAAAAAGAAATCCTATCCTTAGGGGAGAAATGAAAAAATACTCCCAATGTTGTTGAGGGATTTGGTTTAGGTAGTACAAACAGGCTTGCTTTTTTCCCCCCCTAAATTCTCTTTACTGAGCTAGTATTGTAGAAGGAAGAACAACAACAAAAAAACACAGACCTTCCTGAGATGGGAAACGATTATCATGGTCACCTAGAAACTCAGAGCCCATTCCTGTTATCATTCTAGGCTCTGATGAATACGACAGCCTCAGCGAAGAGGAAAGAGGCAACGGCCCACCACAGATGTGGAGCAAATACCCTTTGGATGTGCAGAAGGAGTTTGGCTATGACAGCCCCCATGACCTGGATTCAGACTGATGATCCTGTGGTATCTATGAAGTTCAGTCATGTGCCCTGAGGGCTCTGACTGCAGCTTCAGCCATCCTGGTAACATCCCTGGGTTTTCTAGCTTAACACGAAAGGAAAAAGCATGTCCAGCAGCACCATCCTACCAGTGAAAACGTGTGCTAAAGGACTGTGTCTTTTTCAGTAACAGTAGGACCCCTTTGCCTCAGTCAAAAGTGACTCTATAGTCTGGAGGAAAAAATGCCATAAAAGTGAAGCTTCCTGGCCTGGGGATTTTCCCATTCTCCTGTGCTAAAGCCAGTAAGTGGAAGAGAAACTTCTGTTTCCTTAGCACTAAGCTTTAGCTTTCCCATACCACCAGGCCACTGCCTCCACTAAAAGCCTGTTTCTTTTGATAGATGGAATCTAGAAGGGCTACATTGGGTCCCTTATAGCAACACCGACGGGATAGTGGTGGCTGTTAGAGAGGGAAGTAGAATCTGCCTGAGCTCTGAGAGGTTTTAAGTTAATAGCTGTCTCCACCGCCCTGCTTCCTGACTCTGATAATGGTTGTAAAGACTGCTGTCTTCCTTTGTTCCAGGGAGAACAGGACATATGAATGTGATACTCTGTGTTTAGTAAAAATTAAAGGGAGCAAGAAAATTCCTTGAAAACTTTTTTTTTTATAAGATTTATTGAGAGAACACGAGCAGGAGGAAGGGGCAGAGGGAGAGGGAGAGAACGATCCTCAAGCAGACTCTGCATGGAGCACAAAGCCCAATGGGGGGAGGGGGAATTCCAGGACCCCAAAACCATGACCTGAGCCGAAATCAAGAGTCGGCCACCTAACTGACTGAGCCACCCAGGTGCCCCTACTTAAAAACCTTTTAAATCTGAGTATCTTTTTTTTTTTTAATTTATTAGGAGAAGCAGGCTCCCCACTGACCAGGGAGCCTGACACAGGGCTCAATCCCAGGACCCTGGGATCGTGACCTGAGCCGAAAGCAGATGCTTAACTGACTGAGCCACCCAGGTACCCAGATCGCAATGTCTTTTTTTTTTTTTTTTTAAAGATTTTATTTATTAGAGAGAGAGCATGAGAGGGGGGAGGGTCAAAAGGAGAAGCAGACTCCCTGCTGAGCAGGGAGCCCAATGTGGGACCCAGTGCCGGCACTCCAGGGTCATGACCTGAGCCGAAGGCAGTTGCTTAACCAACCGAACCACCCAGGCATCCCCAGATCTCAATGTCTATACATATGTTTTCCCACTGTACACACTCTCTCCCATCCCTACCCTCCACCAAAGATGGGGGGAGGGGGTTAGTGAGACAGAAGTTTCAGGATTGACCTTAGACACTTAAGGACTTCGGGCAAGTGAGGAAAAGGAAAACATAAACGTAGCTTTCCAATGAGAAAGGTCAACTATTCACAGCACTCACCAAAAACAGTGACCAATTCTGTTACCAAAACTTAGATTCCTTGTAAGGAAACCCTGACCCTACTTCTTTCCATACCACAAATATCTTAACTCTGAGTTGGCATTTATTCTTCTAATGTAACATTGTCCCACAGAACTTTGTGCAAAGATGGATATGTTTAGTAGTAGCCACTAGCCACATGTGGCTCAGCTCTAGAAATATGATTAGTGCGCCTGAGGAATCAGATTTTTTATTTTATTTTAATTAGCTACCTGTGGCTAGTAGTTACTATACTGGACAGCACAGGTCTAGGAAAACAATACACAAAATCACAGAATCTTTGGTTCAAAATGTGCCTTCTTGGCATGTGGCACAGACTCACTATCAGTACACAGGGATAGGTGGTCTTCCCACATCTTTTAAGATTTCATATCTTTTTCCATCCTGCCTCCACCCATTCTTTCTTTCTGTATTCATTTTGTAGGTCTTCACCTACATTAGTTCCTATCCACATGTTAAACCTGCCTAAGTGGTTAAATTCTGTATGTTCACATCCTCAGGCTCTTGCAGTTAGAAAACCAACGAAACTATCCTAGCTATGCACAAAGGTACAATTCAGAGTTGCAACAGGCAGCAATTTATAGGTCTATAATACTAGTCACCTTAGTCTTCTGTAGGCATAGAAACAAAGGATTAAAAACCACTCCATGCCATTATAATGTGCTCACTGCTGTTCATGTACTCGTTAAAGTTTGCCAACATTAAAGGGCTGACAACCTCACATACTGTACCTACTGCAAAAGGGATTAGCACACCAGGAGAAGGATTGAAGGAGACGAACAACAAAGACCTTGCAGAAATTTAATTCCACCATGAAGCTTGAGTGCTGTAGGGAGTCTCTGGCTTCCCTCCCACAGAAGGGTTCCTGGGTGAAGTCTGTATCCAGCACAGAGGGGAAGAATGCGGTTGCCATCCAGTAATGAGAGGAGGATGACATGGCTCACTAAGCTTGTCCTGGGGCACTTAGGGTGTGAGGCCCGTGCTTCTCCCAGGAGCCACTGGGGGCAGCAAGTTCCTGGGATTAGCTGGTCATTTACTTCAGTGGAGAAAGCTGAAACCTGGGTCAAGGATCCTTAAGACAAACACACTCTGCTTAAAGGATTAGCTCCAGAGGATCCCTGGGATAGGTGCCATCTTGGCTCAGACAGGAGTCATGTTTACATACTCCAGGCAAGTGAGAGACTCCCTATTGCCAGGAAGGAATGTGCTGTGCAAATCCCCAACCCATGACAGTAGGAATGTCCCCTCATTTTCTCATCCATGCATGCCCTGAACCGAAGGCAGCTGTGATCATGCTCCCCTAAATTGTCTTTATTGAACAGGTATGGCCAAGGTTACTCCCCTGGCCATTTGATGGAAAATAATGTTCAGAAAGGGAGATTGCCTCATAGTTCTTATCTTTACCATTGACCAGTTCTAAAACAAAAGGATAAGAAGTCCAGGCATGGGGTTAGCCAAGTTAGCAGGTTCCTCTGGACCCAGGATGACAGTAGGGAGTCTCTGGATTCCCTCCCACAGAAGGGTTCCTGGGTGAAGTCTGGACAGTTGTACAGTCCACTGCAACCATGGCTGCCCACGAGGGAACACCCATTAGGCCTGACCTGGATGCTAAAGCACACCCTGGAGCACCAGAATTAGTTGCTTCCAAACATGCAGTCTGCTGAGGAGCCAGATTGAGGTTGAAGCAGCTTTGTCCCCCAAAGTCTTCTCTGACCTCCAAAGGGAGAAATAGAAGTCCACACAAGTACCAAGCTCTTCCTGAGACTGCAGGCCCACCAGACCTCCAGCAAAGGGAGGCAGACAGGACAGGAATGCACTATCCTGATGATCCACACCAAGACAGTTCAGAGTGTAAACAAAGCCCAGTGTCAAGGACAGAAGAGGAGGATGCAGTCTGGTGTGAGGTTTTCGGAAAAGGTAAATGACCACTTCTAGCACCAAGGTGGGCTTGGCGGGGTCTGCACAGCAGTTCCTCACACCAGCCCTGACAGAAACAAGCTATTTGGTGGCTTGAGTCCATGAGATGTTCTCTAAGCCATTGAATGGCTGAGAGAATCCAGGTAATCCACTTCTAAAACAGTTTATGTCCTCCTAAAGTTCATACCAGAAACCAGAGATTTACCTTCTATCATTTAGAATAAGGACCTGAGGTCTCAAGTAAAATAAGGGATTATCTTTCAGAATAGCAGTATTATCAGACTTCTGACTCATGAATTTGTTGATTCGTCTTTGCTGATTTGAGCCAGGTGCTTATAATCTGTGACCTACTAACTAAAGTGTAACCAATATATGAGTAAAAAAAAAAATATGCAGCTAAGACTCAACAGAAGATTGTGCGTAAAACCAAGCAAAAAAAATCTGTGATCAGAGGCTGACCCACACCACCACGCAGAGACACCTCTAAGGGCAGAAGGACTCGGTTGGGGGTACTTTTGAGTTTTTAAACACAATCAGCTTATTGCATCCTGTAGATGAATGAACACCAGTGCTCTGCTAGAATTGGTGTACTGGATTAAATATCAATAAATAATGAAATACAACTGTCTTCCCAGGGAAAGATTCTGAGTCAGAGGAAGAAATGGTAGCATTTCAGGCCTCTAGAGTCAGTGCTTGGACCTGATCAGAGGGAACCTTCCCATAAAGCAGCCCCTTTGTAGAGGCTCCTGATGCAAACCTCAAATAACAAATTCAGAACCACCAGCCACATCTATTAACCTAGCAATCCCTCTTCCCCCAGTGCAGTTCGCCAAGTGTTTGGTAAGCTGTACCTACTCACCAGGAATAAAACTAAACAACTATTCCCCTGACCAAGCCCTCCCCACCACCACCCTCTATAAAGTTCCCACCTTCAGGCTTGCCTCAGACCCTGAGTCTTCTCCCGTAGCTTACCAATGAGAGTAACCACCAGAGCAGGCCATCAGCTCTGAGCCCCCCTTATACAATGTGGGCCACCAAACTCCTTTAGAATAAGAAAGGTGGGCTTGCAGTCTTGTCATCTGGACTTTGGTGGCTGTGGTTGGCCTTCCAGGCCTCAAGGGACATCACCTCTGGCCTCTAGTCCGTTTTCCTCTCAACTTTTTTTTCTTCAGTTACATCAAGCTCAGTCAGGACGCAAAAGCAAAGCTGCTGGGTGACTTTGGTGACAGCAGCTAAATGAAAATAGAGAACAGAATTCAGCAAGCTGACAGCTACAACTCAATATGAACACCCCAAAGTTGATTAAAGCAGATCTGTGGCTCCTTCCCACCTGTCCCCTGGGTGTCCTGCACAAGGCTTTGCCTCTTACCACCAGCAAGCATCACTGTCCTTCATTCTGTGCCCAACCAGAAAGTAATGCATGACTCCTCGTCTTCCCACATGGATTGCACTTTTAAAAGTGTTTTAACCCAAAAATAGGACTCTAAAGTTAGAACTAAAGTGCTCATGTCAAGATCAAAAGGGAAGAAGTCATGTGGAACAACCAGGTCTCATGGTCTCTAGCACATCACTAGTATAGGGGAAGCTGTTAGCTACCACTCCCACCTCTGCATGCATCTGCGTACACGTACAAACACACACACACACACTGAATAACAGGCAAAAAAGCTCACCCAGGACATTTCGAATAAGGACTGGCCTCTGGGACTCAGGCAAGTAAACACCCACGAAGTAGACAGGAATCCCAGAGAGGGCAATCCCGATGCCAATGAGGGAATTGATGGTGTCACTGTATAGAGGCACAATCACCAGGAACAAGGAGCATATGCAGAACACGATGGGAAAAAACAGGCTCAGCTGAAATGAAGGGAGGTGAGATATTAGGTAAAGTGCTAAGGGGGAACAGGGTTTAGAGAAGTCACCGTGGGGAGATGGCCCATCCCTCCTAGTCTGTCCAGAGTCACTGACCTTGAGAGGCCGGGGTCGCTCAGGCTCCTTCCAGCGAAGATAGAGCTGTCCAGCAACAGACAGGCCCACAAAGAACCAATAGCTGAAGCTGAAGTAGTTGATGAGCAGGAAAACATCTTCCACAGTGAGGTAGATGAGTGTCATGGTACACTGGAAGGGGACGGGATGGAAGGAGCAGTGGGCATTGTTACCAGCAGGCCACCATAGGAGACTCCAACCACCCAGCAGTCAGCACCAGATCTGCCGCTCACCACTGATTTAGCTTACCAGGTTACCTCCAGTTCTTTCCATTGATCCCTTGGCATCAGATAGGTCTAATCTCTGTATTAACCTTCAAGGTGGTATCTCTCCCTCTTCTGTTCGGGGCCCTTCCCACACACAATGCCTCCCTTCTTTTTGCAAGCACTTTAGTAACAAGCCAGACTCCCTTCCCTTTTTTTTTAATTTTTTTTATTTTTTTTAAAAGATTTATTTATTTGAGACAGAGAGAATGAGAGAGACAGAGAGCACATGAGAGGGGGGAGGGTCAGAGGGAGAAGCAGGCCGAGCAGGGAGCCCGATGCGGGACTCGATCCCAGGACTCCAGATCATGACCTGAGCCGAAGGCAGTCGCTTAACCAACTGAGCCACCCAGGCGCCCTCCCTTTTTTTTTTTTTAAGATTTTATTTATTTGACAGAGACAGTGAGAGCAGGAACACAAGCAGGGGGAGTGGGAGAGGGAGAAGCAGGCTTCCTTCCAAGCAGGGAGCCCAATGTGGGACTCGATCCTGGGACCCCAGGATCATGACCTGAGCCAAAGGCAGACACCTAACGACTGAGCCACCCAGGCGCCCTCCTTTCCCCTTCTGATGGCAGAGAGTGAGGCCCTCCTCACTTTGATGCACGAACCTCAATATGAATCACTTTCCCCTCTGGATGCCATTACTCCTGAGTCTCAACTACCTGGCATACAAACGGAGTAAATGCCTCCAGAACCATCTCACTGTCCTGGGGTCTTAGAAATGCAGACTGACAAAATGGATCTATACCCCTGATAAGAGAGGTATGACACAATTTGCCCTCTAGAACAAAAGAGTCCTAGAAGACAGAAGTCAGGGACTAGAGTCCTGTGACATGGTCAGATTTACTTAAACTTCAAGAATATGGAGTTCCCCCACCTAATCTTTTCACCCAGATTATCAACAAAGGGTTTAAAACAAAAAGGGCCCATTCTGGGGAAAGAAGGGGGACTGTATTGGGAAAACTGGGGTAGAAGATGATTAAAAGACAAGATGTCAGATCTTCCCTAAATTTATAAATTCAATGCTATCCCAATCAATATACTGAGAGGATTTTTGTTATTTTGACAAAATATAAGTTCATAATGATAAACACAAACATGATAATTGCCAGGATAATTCCAGGGGTAAGAAGAAACTAAAGAAGTATCATTAATCCCTCTTTAGATTGCAGAAATTCAGTATAAAGCTAAATAATGAAGCTTGATACTAATGGCAAGGAAGGGTTGAGCTGATGATAACTATTTAAGGGGTATATAATTGTACTTGGCACATATGAAGCACCATCTAATATATATAAATCTATGATATCCAGGGGCACCTGGCTGGCTCCTCAGTGGAGCATGTGACTCTTGATACCAGGGTTGTGAGCTCAAGCCCCATGTTGGGTGGAGAGATAACTTAAAAACAAAATCTTTAAAAAAATAAATCTAGGGGTGCCTGGGTGGCTCAGTCGTTAGGCGTCTGCCTTCGGCTCAGGTCATGATCCCGGGGTCCTGGGATCGAGTCCCGCATCAGGCTCCCCGCTCCGCGGGAAACCTGCTTCTCCCTCTCCCACTCCCCCTGCTTGTGTTCCCTCTCTCGCTGTCTCTCTCTGTCAAATAAAATCTTTAAAAAAAATAAATAAAGGGCGCCTGGGTGGCTCAGTTGGTTGAGCAACTGCCTTCAGCTCAGGTCATGATCCCGGAGTCCCAGGATCGAGTCCCGCATTGGGCTCCCTGCTCGGCAGGGAGTCTGCTTCTCCCTTTGACCCTCCTCCCTCTCGTGCTCTCTGTCTCTCATTCTCTCTCTCGCAAATAAATAAATAAAATCTTTAAAAAAATAAAAAATAAAAAAATAAAAAAAATAAAAATAAAAAATAAATCTATAAAGTCTACAATATGAAAAGAAGTCCCTAGGTAGTTGGTATACAACTGGCCTGGCTCTTCTAAATATGATTTAATTAAAGTTAAAAAAAAAAAAAAAAAAAAAGCAGGGGCACCTGGCTGGCTCAGTCAGTGGAACATGGGACTCTTAATAACAGGGTCATGAGTTCAAGCCCACATTGGGCATGGAGCCTACTTTAAAAAAATTTAGGAGTGCCTGGGTGGCTCCATCAGTTAAGCATCCAACTCTTGATTTTGGCTGTCATGATCTTAGGGACGTGAGATCGAGCCCTGCATCAGGCTCTGCACTCAGTGCAGGGTCTGCTTGGGATTCTCTCTCCCACTGCCCCTCTCCCTGCCCCCTGCTCACACTCTCTAATAAATAGAATAAACAAATAAATACATAAAATCTTTCAAAAAATGAAAATAAATCTCACAAATTTATTTTTATATTCTTTTGTACAATTTGCCTTCTCTCCTATAACTGTTTTATATTTTTTAAAAATTTAAGAAAAAAGAAGAAACTCTGAGAGGCTTGGGAAATATCTTAAGCTAGTATACCTCCCACCCATAGTCGTCTCATAAAGTACTACAATTCTCCAGACTCCCTCAGCAGAGCTTACATTGAACAGTAAAGCAGGGATGGGTGTAAAACGCTCAATGTGGATCATGGACAGAACATCCGGGAGGTGGCCCTCACGGGAGCCCACGAAGAACAACCTAGAAGGATAAGTGGGATGTCAGGATGATCCTTTCCCTTGGCCATATAGCCACACTCCTCACTTGACAAACTAGGCTCAGAGCTCCAGAAAAACAGGAGGCAATCTCTCAGGAGTATCCCATTTTCTCAATGCATGCCCAACCCCCATCCTCACCCCTCAACTTTTACCCATAGATGTCTCCAACTTCCAACCATGGGTACTTCACGTTATCCAGGAATGCCCTACCCCTCTGTTGGCCATGGACACTCCCAAGCCCCTCAGCTATGAAACCCACCATCAACCAGTGGATGCCTCACCCTGCCATCACTCACTGCCACCCCAATTCATTCCATCAGGGGTACTCCCACTCTACCACCCCACAGATTTCATACTTAACACAATGGCTTTTTATTATTTTTTATTTTTTTTTAAGATTTTATTTATTTATTTGAGAGAGAGAGAATGAGAGACAGAGCGCATGAGAAGGAGGAAGGTCAGAGGGAGAAGCAGGCTCCCTGCCGAGCAGGGAGCCCGATGCGGGACTCGATCCCGGGACTCCAGGATCATGACCTGAGCTGAAGGCAGTCGCTTAACCAACTGAGCCACCCAGGCGCCCCCACAATGGCTTTTTAAAGAAGGGCAGCCAGCCTTCTGTTGTGCTCTCTATATATCTTCCCTGAGCTCCTGACACATGATATGCCAGGACAAGCCTGGGGCTCAGAGACAACCCAGGGTTCCTCTCTGTTCCTAAAGAACCCTACTGTTTGAGAAACAGAGCAAGAGAGAAATGAACTGCCAGCCAGGGTAGTCAGCATCATCATGGAGCACAAAGCACTCACCAGGCTTGGGGGTGGTCTGGGGGAACAGAAAACTTCACAAGAGATGACCACATCTGGGCTGTGAAGAACTGGAGTTTGCCAGAAGGTGAGCAGATGGGTGGGAAACAGCGTAGGCAAAGGCAAAAGAGGCTTGAAGGAGTGAAAGAGGGTGGCTTCCTTGAGGTTGGTACTAGAATGCCTACAGTCCCAGGTTAAGTGTGTGAGGAAACAGCTGGGAAGAACCTGCACATGAGGCCATGCTGTGGAGTCTGAACGAACACTGAGAGCCTGCTGTGGCTCTGAAGTAAAGGCCCGACAGGATTTGACAGAGACTCTGGTGGCATCATTGAGGCCAACTAAAGCAGGGAGAGGCTAGGGTATAGGGAGAAGGCCAGATAAAGTAATCCGTGGGGTGCCTGGGTAGCATAGTCAGTTAAGCCTCCAACTCTTGATTTGGGCTCAGGTCATGATCTCAGGGTCATGGGATCGAGCCCTGCGTCATGCTCGTGCTCAGCGCAGAGTCTGCTTGTGACTCTCTCCCTCTGCCCCTCCCCCCATCTCCCAAATAAATAAATAAATCAAAAAAAAAAGTAATCTGTGATAACTGTCCTATAAGAGAGGAGGCCTGAATGAGGGTAGACACCCTGGCTGAAGAGAAAACAAGACAGATGTGACCACCTCAATCAAATTTGGTGATCCTTTGCATTTGAGTGTGTATGTATGTGTGTGTGCATGCATGTACATTTTTGAGCTGGGAGAAGAGGATGAACACCAAGGAAAAAATAAAGAGGCCAAGCAAGGAGACTCGACAGCACATAATAACACAACTAAAGACAAAGCACAAGTGGAGTGCACTGAGATACTTGTGAGCCATCCAGATGGAGCCACAGGAGTTGATTTTAGCATCTGGAAAGGTCATAGGGCAAGATGGTGGGAGTTGGCTCACACAGGTTAATAATCTGTACTGGGCAGAGAAGAAATATGGTAGAGGAGATGCTGGAAGGGGATAATGTGCAGGCACAGCAAAAGTGTCTAGTACAAAGCCAAAAACAACTACATAGGTAATAAAAGAAAAAGTGAGAAGTTAACACAGAAACAATTGTACATTACCTCCACATCACTGCATTCCACTTATGTGCTGGTCCAGACTCTTACTCTCTGAATCCCCTATCCCCACCCCCATCCTGTCAATGCCACAACACAGCTGAGTGAGCTTAAAACGTACCTACTGTGTTAAGTATTTTAAGAAGATTGACAGAGCCATTTGGAATGTCTTGGGCATTGATAAGGGTAAGGCTATGGGAAACACCATCTTTGGGTAGGGTAACTTGTTAAGAGTCACATCCAGTGCGACCCTGGCCATACCAGGTTGAAGTAAGGGAAGATACCACGCTGTTTTCCAAGAATTTGATCTCTCTATTACCCTGGTTACCCTAGGGAGGCCCCAAGTACATGGACTGTGGTGTCAAAACCAGTAAGAAAAACAAATAGGACAGGGGCGCCTGGGTGGCTCAGTCATTAAGTGTCTGCCTTCGGCTCAGGTCATGATCCCAGGGTCATGGGATTGAGCCCCGCATCGGGCTCCCTGCGCAGCAGGAAGCCTGCTTCGCTTCTCCCTCTCCCACTCCCCTTGCATGTGTTCCCTCTCTCTCTGTGTTTCTCTCTGTCAAATAAATAAATAAAATCTTTAAAAAAAAAAGTTCCCTTTAAAAAAATAAAAATAGGACAAAAATTATTTCTTTTATTAATTCATCCTCTTACCTGTTCATGTAGAAAATAGTTACTGAATGCCTATTACACTCCCAGCCCTGGGGACAGCAACATTTATACGGTGAGTGAAAGAGAAATCAGGAAAGAAGCCTTCCTCTCAAATATCAGAGTGTTAGAGTCACAGGAATAGTTTCAGAAGCAGAGGGCGGTAAGCATCACTTGCTTCAGGGGTCCAGTAGGATAAGAACTACAAGCAGGCTAAGAAGGAGATCACAGGTACACTTAATAAGAATATTTTTTAGGGGCGCCCGGGTGGCTCAGTTGGTTAAGCGACTGCCTTCGGCTCAGGTCATGCTGGAGTCCCGGGATTGAGTCCCACATCAGGCTCCCTGCTTGGCGGGGAGTCTGCTTCTCCCTCTGACCCTCCCCCCCTCATGCTCTCTCTCTCTCTCATTCTCTCTCTAATAAATAAATAAAATCTTTAAAAAAAAAAGAATATTTTTTAGGTAGTAGAAGTCAAAGTATAATGGCTAGAAAATGAGTGGCAGTTAAAATGGAGACCATTCCCTCAAGAAGTGTGTCCAGAAAGGAAGAAGGGAGATAAGAAAAGCTGTTTTGTGACTTCACTAAGCAGAGATGAGAGAAGCTTGTGCAGAGCTGGCTCTTACTGAAATCCACCAAAGAGAAGGGCCAAGTGACAAAGCCATGTGCTAAGAAGAGGGATAGTGCTGGGACCCTGAAACCAGGTAGCAAAGTCAGCCTGGAAAAGCAGAACTGCTCCTTTCTCTGAAACAACAGGAAGGACAAATGCTCTTATAGAGAAGTCTCTAGAAAGAGAGGAGAACAGAGCCTGCCTGTCAGCTTCGGTGGTTTCTGTGAAGTGAGGGGCAGAGTCCCCTGTGCTAATACCTGGTACACGGCAAGTGATCACTAATAATCTTCTCTACTCCAAGCTATAACCTTCCTCCCCTCTACCTCTCACCAATCTGTCATCGCCTCAGATGGAAGCATGAGCTTCAAGCATACAAATGTCTGCACAAAGGCCAGCTGATGCATGCACACAAGTGTACACACACACACACACACACACACCCTGTACATCTAAGAGAAAGAAGGGCTCTTATGGGCTCACCTGGAGCCTCAGAAGATTAAATACTGCAGTCTGTTATTGGTAAAGCAGAAACACATTACCTTGATGAAGCAAAGATAGATGCATTGAGGCCCCCAAAGCAGGACAGGGCAACAGCAATGGGAATGGTCCAGCTGAACATGCCAAATGTCTGGTCAGCAAATGTCTAGGGACAGAGCACAGAAGTCCCTCAGCACAGGACAGGGTTCCATAAGCCACCTGTACCTACGCTGTCAGGACAAACACCGTCACTGCCGAGCAGCCCGCCCTCTAGCCTGGACCCATCATCTCACCCTGCAGCACCGGCGGGGCTTAGAGAGAGACTGCTTCAGTATTATAAGATGATGAGCAAATCGGGACTCACCACAGCCACGGCATCACTGTCAAGGACATCTGAAATGCTCAGCACTGTGTAATAGGCCACATTGGTCAGGATGTAGATGAGCGTCACAATTGGCATAGAAATCCCAATGGCCAGGGGCAAATTTCTGTCAGGACAAGTAAGATAGGACTACCTAGAATCAACTCTCTTTGGAGTCAAAGTTCACCCAGGGATTTTTCTGAAATTTAACAGTTCCCTGGCTCTAAGTCTTTGAGGCAGGCTCCTCTTTCCCACATGGTCTAGGGGGATTATGAATCCCATGCTCCTTTCTGCTGAGAATCAGAGAGAAAGAAAGACCGACCCTTCTCTGTGAAAATAGCTGGGGCTCAATATTTGATCCTTGCCACAAGAGAACCAATGGGTCCCACGGAAGGAGGAGCAGTGTCCTCCAGGGACTAGAGGCCAGGCTGGGAACCTGACTGCCCAGAATAAGCTTCTGGCTCCCCAGGCTTCAGTGTCAGCACCAGAGCACAAGGTTCTAACACCTTAGCCCGAGCTGGGTCAGCTACTGCCCACTAGAGGATCTCTCCGCGAGCAAGGACCTGAGGGATCCTCCAGTGTAACCTGAGGGTGAGGAGCAAGGGGCTTTCCCACCTTCACTCATTCCCAACCTAGCCCCTAATCTGTCTGAGCTAGAGGAGGAGGAGTAGGGAGAGGAAGAAGGGATGAGAGAAAGAGAAAGGGGACGGAAGAGGGCAAGTGTGCCCACTATCAACAGGAGTTCCAGCCAAGTTGGGGAGTGAGAGTGTGATCCCACCGTTACCTTTCTGGGTTTTTGATTTCTTCTGTTACAAAATTAAGGGTGTCCCAACCTGAGTAAGAGAAGAGGGCAGAGTAGAGGGCGAGAGAGAGGTCTCCCATGTCCCAGGAGGAACCCTCAAAGGCGTCCTGAAAGTGCTCAGAGTGTCCTGTGGGGGCAAAAGCAGGCAGGGGAAGGGGTTCAGTGAAAAGGAAGAAGAAGGAGGAGGAGGGGAGAGATGGAAGGTATAAGGAGAAGAACAGGGAGAGGCAGTAAGAAAAAGGAAGCGAAGATGGGGAAAAAGAGAGGAGGGTCAAGAAAAGAAGGGAAAAGCAAGCAGGCAGAGAGAAGAAAAAAAACATAATTTAACATCAAAAGAACAACCACCAGCTCTCCCTGTACTTTATCACCCCAACCATTCCCTCAAGAAAGTGCATATTCCTCTAGCAAACTATGCAATCTCAGAAAAACAAAGGCATTCCTGGCTGCTTTCTGAAGTGATAACACCTTTTCCAGAAAAGCTCTAATGAATTTCTAAGTGACCTCACAGGAGGCCAGAGCTCTTCTTCCTATTTTTAGAAAGAACCCTGTTTCACATAAAGGAGGCATTTTTAATTAACAATTAGGCCTTCCTGTGGAACTGTCTCTTGTGGCCAAAACCACCGCACAATTTGGTCAAATAGTTTTCTCATTCTCATGAGAAAATTCTGTTGCTCTGCTTGCACAGAGGCTGCAGTTGCATGTGGCAGGAAATCCCAGGCTATGTAAGAACTGGGGTCTTCTCTCTCCCTAGGCCCGGGGTAGGCCTGAGCCACTTCCACCCTTAGAGAGCCAGCCTAGGCACCTTTCATTCTCTTCAGAGGCCTCTGGAGACCACACACTTAAAAGCCAAGAGAGCAGCACCTGCCTGCCCAGGAGAGACCTTCTGGACACACTGGAGGTTTTTAACAAGATCCAGATTTATAAGGAAGCCTGCCATCACCCCCTGCAAAAAGCAGACCTATTCCTTCAATGTGTCAAAAAGGGCTGGGTATGCAGCAAGAGAAGGGAAAATAAAGGTTTTCATGCCCCAGGTGCGTCAGTCATCATACATAGCAATTAAGGCACAGATCTTGATAGGAGGATAACTCAGCTACCCTCGTTGACCCCAAGATGTTCCTGGGACTCAAGGACATCGAGGTGGCTGGCTGTACTAACTTGGCACGTGTTCACAAAGATACTGGACCAGCTGCCAAGGCACTTAAAAAAAGAGCTTTCTGAACTCCAAAACCATTTTGTGTTTAATCCAATCAATCTGAGAGGGGGTCTCAGCTCTCCCTGGTAAATGTAAACATGGCTGAGTTTAGTGTCAGGCAATCTAGAGAACGACTGAAATCTCCTTGGCCAAAGATACCTCAAGACTTCCCTAAGAGCTCAGGAGACCTTGTCTATCCTCACTGCCAGTCTACTCCGGTTCAGGACTGAAAAGCTTTCTAAAGCCAACATGCAGGAAAGTCAGTGCCAACTTCATACTATTTTACTATTTTGCTGAGAGCTGACTTTGAGACCAAATGTAAAATAAAAGCAAATCCAGATGAAAAATAAAGGCTGCAAAATAACCACTCATTTCTATACTCCATCTACCCCACATATACACCTACCCACTCCTCTCAAGGACGGCCAGGTTTTCCTATTCACTGCCTGGCAGTCACAGACCAAAAACAGGGCCAAGCAGGGCTCACTCTATCCCCATCAGTTACATTTATGATCCAATTACACAAGATCCAGGTTTTAAAAACTCCTGGGCTCCCAGCTGCCTTCTTGCAATGTTCCCAGCTTCCACACAGGGAAAGCAGCCCTGAGGGAGTGACTGACTCATGTTCAGCTGGCCAAGCCAGCCTGGCCCAAGAAGCCCAGGAACAGATGTCTTGCTCTCACTGACAGTCTACAATATACACAGAAAGAGCTAATCAGTAAAGCCAAGATTCCCCATGTCCTCCTTAGGAAATCTAGGCTAACTCCCAGAGTCATCCACCCTCCTTCCCAGCCCAGGCCCATCTTACCCTGGCACAGTTTAACGAGGCCCATGACAATGATGGCAATGAGCGCTAGGACCTTGGCATAAGTGAATGTGTCCTGAACACGTGTGCCCCACTTGACATAAGCACAGTTCACAAATGTCAGCAGACCTAGAAGGAAAAACATAAAGTCACCGGCAGGCTTAAGCTGAGGGCACAGTGATCCAATCTCTTCTTATAGAGAACATCGCTTCTGCCCTATCTGCCTAAAGCAAAGGGGCCAATGGACCAATCAGAGCCCGAAGAACAGACAATGGAGGGACATCCACAATCTGCCCATCACTGTTAACAAGTAAAGATACAAAGGCATGCATTAACACATTCATAAATTCTGACAGCCAGGATCATTTTTTTGGAAATTGCCCCCAGGCCCAGGAATAATGGACTTCACCCACTCTTTCCCGCTCATACTCCCAACGTTCCAAACCATCCAAGGCACAAAACATTCCCATGGCTACAAGAGAGGCCCATCAATAAATGAGGTGAATTTGAATGCAGGTGGCAAGTCATCTAGGAATTACAGAGACAATGTTTTGTATGTAAGTACCTGACAATTTCACATATATCCTTTCAATTAATTCTCACAACCCCAAAATATAGACATTCCTATTCTTGTTTTATAGATGAGGAAACTGTGGCTGAGAGAGGCCAACCATCATTCCTCAGCTTGTAAGGACCTCTCCCAACTCCCTCTCCATTTCTATCCAAACTTCCCAATTCTCAGTGAGGTCCATGGAGAAGCGAGCTTGTTTGGGCATTCCCCAGGCTCCTGTCTGCACTGCTGGCTTTATTTCCAGTTCCTGTAGATCTCAGTGTTATCTGGGCCCTCTGCTGAGGGTCCCAGCACCTTACCCCAGCACCTAACAGGGACTGCTCTGACCCACCAGGAGGACACAGAATACAAGGGGCACCACAGTGACACTGCTAAGTACTGCCCCAAGCCTCCAAAAATAGAACTTTTATGTGAACCTCAAACATTATTACAAAATCTTTTGGGCTCATCCTCTAAGCCACCTCTATCTACTCCTACACCATTTACTGGTCCATATACATTCTTTTTTTTTTTTTTTTTTTTTTTAAAGATTTTATTTATTTATTTGAGAGAGAGAGAATGAGAGACAGAGCACGAGAGGGAAGAGGGTCAGAGGGAGAAGCAGACTCCCTGCCGAGCAGGGAGCCCGATGCGGGACTCGATCCAGGGACTCCAGGATCATGACCTGAGCCGAAGGCAGTCGCCCAACCAACTGAGCCACCCAGGCGCCCCGCCATATACATTCTTAAAGAGGGGCGCCTGAGTGGCTCAGTTGGTTGGGCGGCTGCCTTCTGCTCGGGTCGTGATCCCGGGGTTCTGGGATCGGGTTCCATGTCGGGCTCCCCGCTCGGCGAGGAACCTGCTTCTCCCTCTGTCTCCTGGCTTGTGCTCTCACTTTCTCTCTGTCAAATAAGTAAATAAAATATTAAAAAAAAAAAAAGAAATGTCCTTTCCTGCTCGTGCTGCCACAGCCAACAGCAACTCCCACTTTCGAGGTCTAGCTCGGTCACCACTTCCTCTGTAAAACCTTCCCCAAATATACCAGCCAGCTGCTCACTGAGCTGTCTCTCCCTGAACCCTGTAACAGTCCCACTTCACAGCACAGATTAGTATCTATGCTATACTCATGTGGACACCTGGCTCAAGGTCTCTCCCTCAGGCATTTGCATGGTGCTTCCCCAAGAAGACCACAAATTATTAGGGGGGGAAACAAAAGCATATTGTTTTATTGTGTGCCAAGCAAAGAGGGGAAATGATGAACTCTGGTTGGAATCAAGAGGGTGATGACTTTCACTTAACCACTAATTCCCTAGAGCAAGGCAACTGTCAGAAAGTTCACATTCTTCTACTCAAAGGGAGGAGAGCCTAGAGCCTGTGGAAATAAACACGATGGCTAAACAGGCTCCATAGCACTTTAAGAGCTTTCACTCACTAGGACACCTGGGTGACTCAGTTGGTTAAGCATCTGCCTTCAGCTCAGGTCATGATTCCAGAGTCCTGGGATCAAATCCAGCATTGGGCTCCCTGCTCCAGTGGGGAGCTTGCTTCTCCCTCTGCCTGAAACTCGCCCTGCTTGTGCGATCTCTCTCTCCCTCTGACAAATAAATAAATAAAAGCTTAAAAAAAAAAAAGAGCTTTCACTCAGTAGTACTTTGGCAAATGACACAAGTGCTCACTAGTCAGTCAGGAGTGGGAGGCAACAGTTAAATGGGAGGGAAGGCCAAAGGAACGCATGCCGCTGCCCTGCTAATCAAAGTTTGCTGTGTGGGGCTAAGCCTACATCAGCTAGCATAAGGATTACCTAATTAATAGCCACCTGTAATCCACAGATCCCTGTGCAATATAGTAAGCATATTCTGAGGTACCTTCCAGGCCCCTTCTTGGGACTTGCTCCTACTCACCTATCACCGCTGATCACCCAAGCTGAGCCTATTCAATTGCCTTTCCCAGGAACATAGACTGGGGTACCAAGAGACTGAATCTATCTAACAGTAGCAGAGCTGGGAGATACAGCAAGTCAAAGTGACATTCAGGCCCTTGTAATAGAGGAACAAAAACCACAAGAAAACAGAGGAATGAAGCAGGACTATGAAAAGCAGCAGAAGTGAGAGGGCGTGCAGCTTGTGAGAAAAAGCCTAACAGAGAAAGATAGAGAAATACACAGAAGTCAGAGGAGATAGAGACAAGAGACAGAGATAAAGAGCCAGAGAGAAGGGACAAAAAGAGGGAAACAAAAAGATGGACATACACATGAAGAAAGAGATTAGCACACAATGCCCTGGCTATGCTCACTGTGCTTCTGCCCTGTAGCACCAAGATGTGGATGCAAGATCGGGGAGAGAAGCAGACATAATCCTCAGACCCACTGACAGGCACTCCGTCTCACTTCTACTCCTTCTCCCCATTCTGAATGACAGTCGGAAAGATACAAAAGAGCCTGTCACAGTGGTTGCCTCTGGGGAAGAAGACCAAAGCTCTGGAGAGAGAGAAAGACTTTTTCCATTTTATACTATTTTATACTCTGACTTATTTACCATGCACATATGCTTCTTCCTCCGTAAAAACTACTTAATCTAGAACAATGTGCAGCCAGGGAGCAAGGCCAGGAGTAGGGTGAGGTGAGGGGGGTGCCTGGGGCACAAAATTTAAGGAAACACTCACTTTCAGAACCACTTGAAGAACCTGAGAGTGAGTGCATCCATCCTTAAATGCTGGCCCCAGGAGTCTTACTTGCTTCACTGTACTCTCAGCTCTGCCAGAGAACAGAGAGCTCCCAGAAACAGTCTACCAAACAGAAGCCAAGTCCCCTGAATGTTTTCCTGATTCTAATTAAGAAACATTTCACCATCTGATCCTCACCCCTCCAAACCTACCCGAATTCCCATCCCCATCTAGCACCATAGATTCTATCAGCGCTCAAGCACAAGGCTGGGCCTGGAAGCCAGGTGCTCAGATAAAAGTAACTACCACAATTACAATATCCAAGCCTTCCCTCCTCTTCTGATCTCATGTCCTTGCTGGAAAGCCTACACCAATGAGTGTGGGGTCCATGTGAGGGTCTTCAAGTTCTGGGGGCATGATGCTGGGAAAGGAGTACTCAAATAGCAGATCCACACCGAACCCTAAAGCAGAAACAAATCCCCAAAGTTTCTCTGTGGCAAAAACTGCTAGTTATCTTTAAATATCTGTTCCTCCATTTTTCCTTAGTAATAGAAGTTTTAGCTAGAGTGTGGGCTGCCTAAATTAAAGCTAACATTTACCAGCCTCTCTTGCAGGCAGGTACGGCCAAGTAACTAAGTTCTTGCCCCAGGGAGGTAAGCAAAGTTTCATATTAATAAGACCTCAGGAAGTCTCTTTGAAGGGAAGAGCATGCCTTTCTTTGTCCTTCCTGTCAGCTACAGTACAGACTTGACAGCTAGAGCTTGAGTAGCCATCTTGGACCACCAGCTAGAAGTCACATGCTGAGGATGGCAGAGCAATAAGGCAGAAGGGAACCTGGTTCCCTGAAAAATTATGAAGTCACCCTACCAGTCCCATACTGCCTACCTTTAATATGTGAGAGAAATAAACTTAAATATATTTGAGCCATGCTGCTTTTGGTTTTCAGGTGTTTGAAACCCAAATTAATCCTGGATAATACATGCACCCTCAAACAGAACTGTACCTCTCATATTCTCTTTCTGATGAGGAGATCACTTAGCAATGTGCAGCTATAGTCCCAGTTATGCTGACAGTCACGGCTCCCTTTTCCCACAGCAACAGGGAGGAAGGAACCCTTCCAATTCCTCCCACAAACAAGCTGGGTGTTACTAAGGGGCACTCAAGGACAGAGGAATGCAATCCTTAACAACAACAGCAACAAGGTGGGAGAAGAAAAAAGCTAGGGAGAGACCATCTACAAGTATATTAGGAGAAAAATGTTCTATAACAGTCCAGGAGAGGTAAACCCTTCCAAATGGAAATCCTGGAATCTGGAGCTCCCTCTTGGGATGCATATGAATATGTCAGGTATATGCCTTTTTAAGAATCGTCCTTGTTTTTAATTACACAAATATACACATTTAGTCTTATTACAGGGGGTAGACTCCAGGGTCTTTGAGACTATGGTAAAGACCCAGTCCTTCTGAGTCATGTCACTTTCAGAACATGAAAGCTGTCTATCCATAGCAACCAGTGACCAAAATAGGGGAGCATAACCTTCCTTCTCAGAACCCTGCCCAGGCCTGAGTCCAAGACAGCAAGAGACAACAGAAAGCTATTCAGGCATTATACAGTGTTTCTTCCCTCCAATCTCCTCTAATTTAGAAGTCTCCCTCCCCCATCTCCTCCTGCTCCTGCTCCTCTTCACTGTCAGCTTTCCCCAAACCAACCCTGGGGATTGAGGGAAATGGGAGTCTCAGCAGTGAGCAAGCCTCTGCTTTGATGCCAGTATCAGTGCTGAATGACTTCTATAATGAAACCTTCACAACAAATATTCTTGAATGACGTGTGTGAGCCTACACAACAGGCAGGATCCCACAAAAATAAACAAACTAAGAAAAATCACCCTTCCACAATCAAATCAAATACTCCTGGGCACCTGAGTTACCAATAATACTGCTGGTCACCCGGCAAGAGGAGGGACCTATGGGCCTCAAGAACTGCCATTTTCCCCTATAGTCCTTTAAGTGAGTAAGAGCCTCTGAGCACACCGAGTCCAGTTGACAGCCTGAGGCCCTACCCACCACAGAAGATTACAAGCTCCCAGAACACATATGAATAGAATGCACCTTTAGGATAGAGTTTCTCAACTTCAGCACTATTGATATTTGGGGCAAAATAAGTCTTAGTTGTGAGAGGCTGTCCTGTACTTTATAAGATGCTCAATAGTACCCCTGGTTTCTACTCACTAGATGCCAGTAGCACCCCTTCCAAGGAGGTGTGACAACCAAAATGTCTCCAGACCTTGCAAAATGTTTCCTGGGGGACAAACTCACCTCTGGTTGAAAACCACTGTTCTAGGATAATGAGTAGCTAAGATAGCCTGAAATTCAAAAAAGTTGCTAGGATCTCTCTGCCAGTATAACCTGGGAATAGGGTGGGGGGGCTGCTGGAAAGTGAGGATGTGAAACAGCAATGCCTTCAAGGGCCAAGGAGGTAATGCAACAGAGCAAAGGCAAGAATGTCTGGGTATATGAGTGCCTGGGTGACTCAGTCAGTTAAGCGTCTGCCTTTAGCTCGGGCCATGGTCCCAAGGTCCTGGGATCAAGCCCAGGGCCGGGCTCCTTGCTCTCAGCGGGGAGTCTGCTTCTCCCTCTCCTGTTACCACCCTCCCCACCGCCACCATGCTCTCTCTGTCAAATAAATAAATAAAATGTATATATTTTTAATTTTTATTTATGCATGAGAGAGAGAGAGAGAGGCAGAGGGAGAAGCAGGCTCCCAAGGAGCAGGGAGCCCAATGTGGGACTCGATCCCAGGACCCTGGGATCATGACCTGAGCCGAAGGCAGACGCTTAACCATCTGAGCCACCCCGGCGCCCTAAATAAATAAAATATTAAAAAATAAATAAAGGGAGCAACCACTACACAAAGGCAGCTGATTGTGTCAGGAAGGAATCTAGGTCCAAGGTTGCCAGAACTTTTGATTTTTCAACAGAAAGGTCCTGGTTTTCAAATGCTGGCAAGTAATTCAAAATTGCTTACAACACTAGGCTAAACAAATATATCTGTGGGTCAAGTCTGGCCCATGGGCCACTAGCTTGCAACTCTGACCTGCAGTTGTTATATGGAGAATGCTGGGCCCTTTCTTCTAGAATGGAACTTCAATTGTATAGCTTGCATGGCTATAATTTCCATAGACAGTCTCCCCAAAAAACCTGGACCCCTCTTATCTTAATTTCAAGACTAACTCAATTCTCCTATCCTACCTAAATTTTGCCGTGGATTCAGTGCAGATTTTTGTATTATGACCTAATTGGTATCTTCCAATTTTGTCTCTTAAGACCACTGCCACCCCTGCCCAAAGAGACTCCCTTCAGCACATCCCAGCTTTGTTAGATGATGCATCAGCCCAATTCTACACCCTAAATTCCAAGAGGAGAAGTAAGCTGAACCCCAAAGTCTTGTCAGTTAGGACAGGACATGGTTTTATGACTTAAGCCCATTTCTGACAAGTTCCTACCTGCAGGTATGCATTATGGAAAAGCTTGGGCTTCTGGGATAGGGGCTTGAAGGAATTCTGATGGTGAGTAATCTGGGTAAAAGTACACTTGAATGAAAAAAGCTACAGATACCATGACTGCACGTCTAAGAGGTGAGGTCTCTCCGCCAATCAAAAGAGCAGTTCTGGCAAAGAAAAGAAAAAAGAGCAGTTCCTGGTATGGGGATGGGCTTCGTTAAGGACAAAAGAACAAAAACAATGGAGAAGATCATAAAGGAAAAAAGATTTACCAAATAAAAATCTTCTATACATGAAAAATTATATATAGAATGGTGTCCTTTGACTTGGTTATCCTTGGAATTCACCCTAAGGCCATCACGAGGCCAACACACAGGCACTCTCAAGTGCTTAGATAAGAGCACAAACTCACAAAACCTTCTAGAAGGAAACTGGGTAACACACGAAGAATCTTAAAACTGTTTATTTCTTTAGACACAGGTATTTCTCCTGTATAGCTAATTCTACCCTAAAAAAAAAAAAGATGCAGAAACTTTTTTTTTTAAAGATTTTATTTATTTATTTGAGAGAGAGAGAATGAGAGACAGAGAGCATGAGAGGGAGGAGGGTCAGAGGGAGAAGGAGACTCCCTGCCGAGCAGGGAGCCCAATGTGAGACTCGATCCCGGGACTCCAGGATCATGACCTGAACCGAAGGCAGTCGCTTAACCAACTGAGCCACCCAGGCGCCCCAAGATGCAGAAACTCTTAATCTTTATATACAAAGACTCCCACAGCAATATTATTTATAATAATAATACAGAGCACTTACTCCATGCCAGAAAGAGAAGTACTGTACCTGTATTGATTCATTTATTCCTCATGGTATTTCCATTTTACAAATGAGAAGACCAAGGCAACAGTTAACTAACTCCTCCAAGGTTAACAGCTGGGAAAAACAGCTGGTAAAGCTAGAATCAGTCCTGGTCTGGCATGGGAGCTATGATCTTAACCACTATACTACACTGCCAGGAAACTATTTATGTGTCCCTAAACCATGTTTTCTAAGAATATCTGATGAAAGGGATTAAATATTAAAATTTTTAAAGTATTATACAAACCACAGTATGATCTCAAGAGCAAAAAAAAAAAAAATGAGATAAGCACAGAAAAAAAAAAATACTAGGAGGTATTTCACACAAATAGTAGTAATAGTTCTCTGGGAGTTAAAATTATGGGGTGGGGATGCCTGGGTGGCTCAGTTGGTTAAGCATCTGCCTTCAGCTCAGGTCATAATCCCAGGGTCTTGGGATCGAGTCCCACATGGGGCTCCTTGCTCAGTGGGGAGCCTGCTTCTCCCTCTGCTGGCGGCTCCCACTGCTTGTGCTCTCTCTCTCTCTCTCTGACAAATAAATAAAAATCTTTTAAAAATAAAATAAATTAAAAAAATAAAATTATGGGTGATTTTTCTTTTCTTTTTTCTATTTTTTTGCATTTTCAAAGTGCCTATAATGTCTATGTATTCCCTTTAAATAATAGTAATTATAATAAAAAGACGCTACTTTAAAAACTGTTTCTTTTGAAGAACATTCCATAAAAAGGGGAAAAACATGATATACTAAATTTAAAAAGCAGAATATAAAGTTATATGCAAAGTACGATGCCAATTCTATAAAAGAAAGAAATGAAGACATGATTTAGTTATTAAAGGTGTTCATCTTGTGGTGGTAGATTATGGGTGATTGAGAATAAGTTCATCTTCTCCCTAATGAACACATTTTATAATCAGAAAATTCTTCTTTTTTTTAGAGAACTCAGTCAGGCCCGAGTTCCCCTGGCCAGACCCTAACACACATACAGCTGAGTACCCACCTTACCTCCTCCTTGGGCTACATGTGGAGGGGTTCCCTTTAACATTTGTCTTTAACAAATTCCTTAAAGTCAGGAAGCACAGTGTACCGTACAATCCTTTTTTGCTAACTCCAAGGTACTCTCAGTCTATTTTTAACACTGTGGATAAACTACATATACTGCCAAAGCTTTTGCAAGCAGAGATACGGAAAGAACAGAGTATAATTAAGTGCCCCTGGCAGCACAGTGCTAAGGAACACAGGGAATTCTGGGCCACTTCTCAGCTAAAACACTAGCTCTACAAGATTGGGTAAATTCACAGCAATCTTCTCTCCTTTTCAGCGATTTCACAGAACCCCTCCTTACCACCTCATGAGAGAAAAAGGAAAATAAAGAGGGATCAACTGGGATCTCTCAGGTTCTGTCATCAGAAACCCAAATATGGGGCACCTGGGTAACTCAGTCAGTTAAGCGTCTGCCTTCGGCTCAGGTCATGATCCCGGGGTCCTGGGATCGAGTCCCACATCGGGCTCCCTGCTCAGCGGGGAGTCTGCTTCTCCCTCTACCCTTTCCCCTGTTCGTGATCTCCCTCCTTCTCTCTCTCACGTGCGCACTGTCTCTTCCACATAAATAAATAAAATCTTAAAAAAAAAAGACAGAGAGAAAGAAATTTGAAACACCAATGAGAAAAAGCCATTTTGGTGTGGTGCCTGCTTCTCAGAATGGGCTGCAAAGAATGGCAGTGGCAGGAAACACTGGTCCTGTGGGCTGAGGGATAACACCTTGGGACCCCAACAATCTAGAGAAGCCTCTTTCCTCAGCCTCTAAACTGGTTTAAAATAAAAAGCTGGGAAGCAAAAAATAAAGTCCTCAGCACTGATGTTTTTTCTGGGTTCAGTTACAACTAGTGATGTTGACTCCAATCAAAACAACTGGTAAGACAAATGTAAGACATGCACCAACCTGTCACGTAGACTGGGGAACAGAACTCTGGAACAGTCAAGAGTAGAAGGAATGGGAGGCACCAAAAGCCACAAAGAGACTCAAACTTCTCTCATCCCTAACCTTTACCCTTACTTATCTCTCAGGGTTAAATGACTTTGGTGAAATTACTTCAAAAGGTAAGATGCGGGGCGCCCGGGTGGCTCAGTCAGTTAAGCATCTGCCTTCGGCTCAGGTCATGATCCCAGGATCCTGGGATTGAGTCCCGCATCAGGCCCCCTGCTCAGCAGGGAATCTGCCTCTCCCTCTCCCTCTCCCCCACCCATCCTGCTCCTGCTCTCTCTCTCTCTTAAATAAATAAAATATTAAAAAAAAAAAAAAAAAAGGTAAGATGCCTCTCTTCCCCCCCCAAAGCAAAATAGGGTGTTCAAGTATCAGTTACCATTAGCATTATTAAAGGAACCCACACCCTCAAACATACTCCACCACTAAACCCCAGACTTACATATGCAAGCAGCAGCGAGGAGACGGCAGGCCAGGTATGGGGGATCACAGGTAGGGAACGAGGGCTGGATGATGTAGTTGGCGAAGGTGATGGCAATGATGGCCTGACTGGTGGGCTCAACAATTAGCAAGGAGGCCCACAGACGGATAAAGGCAATGAAGCCCCCAAAGGCCTCTAGAATATAAGCATAGCTGGCCCCAGACTTGGTGATGGTGGTCCCCAGCTCCGCATAGCAAAGGGCACCAACAACGGAGAAAAGCCCACCAATGGCCCATACGACCAGCGACAACCCATAGGAGGCAGTGTATACCAGCACGCCCTTGGGTGAGACAAAGATTCCTGACCCGATCATGTTGCCCACCACCAGGCTGACCCCATTCAACAGCGAGATCTCCTTCTTTAGCTGCATAGTTTCTGCAGTCTGTTGAGGTTGCATGTTGACATCTTCCTTGGGCTGGCTGGCCTCGGGAATGAGATGGTAGGTTGGTGTGGGGCTTTCCAGCTCCCTGGCTTCCATGACAAATGTTTCCTTCACACTTGTGTTTACTGTGGCCTGGCAAAGAATATCAAAGAATATAAGTATGTCAGTCTAGGGCAGAAGCTGGTGAGTCTCTGGTTTAGACCTGCAAAGCTAACCTCTTATGTAGGAACAGCATGCCTTACACACAGACCTAAATATAATGAGGTTATATCCATTTCCACCACAGGACACAGAGAAATAAATGGAGATAGGCAGACACCTAGTGCTCCCAAGAAAGATAACTGTGAGAGCTCAGCTGATGGCAGCTTCCAACAAGAGGTACCTGGCTTGACACCAAGAATAGGTTGGCATTAGATTTATCCATAGCATGGATTCTCCCTGAGGTGCAGGTTTTGGCCTGGTCTTACCATTTTAAAACCTACAAACCTGTCCTGCAAAGACCAGACTCCCACTGCCAGGTTAGTCAGCCTGATAGGCTTCTCACTGCCCACACCCACTCACCTCCACCCAAACATAAACAGGAACTTCTGCAGTATCCAGCAACATGTGGACAAGTCTGTAGCTACTCTCAGGCCAGCAAAGAACATGAGCAGGTGGAGAGAAAGGCTAGGAAGATGCTAAGACCAGGGCCATTGCAAAGACTATAACAAGGAAAGGACCTTCATGAAAATACACACCTGTGTGTTGCTGTGTCTACAACATCAATCTTACTTCCTACATTGCTGTTTGCCCATTCAATACATCTCTTTTTCCAAAGTGCCCAGAAAAGAGAGAGAATATAATTAAGACCTGATGGAGAAAGAACATCCAGAGGGCACCCTAACATGGGACTTGACTGCTATCAGTTTTCCTCCTCAGCATGCTCTCACTACCGTCTGGGGTTGCAAAGAGATTCTCCCAGAACAGGACCCAGGAATTTTGACACCCAATCAGAGCTACATGGCTTCTCTCATCCACAGACCTGGCATTAGAAGGCATCCCATAGGGAGATGGCACACACTACTGCTTTTGGTTTAGAGTTGAGCCAGTCCAGAAACCTCAAAGAAGTTAGATTCCACAACAACCTATATATGAAAAACCCAGAATCTGTCAGAGGAAGACAAGCACCTTCCTGAACCTGCACTCAGCATGACCTTCTCCCTCTCTCAATTCCTGTGCCCCAGTAATCAGGAATTCAGATCACCTACTTACTCCCACCTCATCTTTTGGATAAAGGAATCCTATAAGCCATATGATTCCCACCCAGGAATCAGTCTTTTAAGGTCACAGAGATAACTTCAGGGATAAGAATGAGATCAGCACATCATCTTCCCAGAAGCCTCTCATCTACTCAACAAAGATGGAAGTGCCAGAACCTTACCTCACAGAGCTCAGAGCGAGGGAACCATAGCCACTCAAGAGTAAGCAGTTCTCAGGGAAAACTTCAGTCTCCACAGCTCCATCCAAAACTCCTGCCTTACCTGTCCCGGTCCCCTGCCAGGGTCTGGACTGGAGATCAAGAGAAAAACCTCCTCCGGGGCACTACCAAGCCTTCCTTTACTCCCAGCCTACCTCTGCTTAGATGAGACCTGGCTTTAAGGCGCACCACTCTTTCTTTCACTCTTGGCACCAAGCCACACAGGTTTCCCTAGGCAGGCACAGGCACGTGGGTACATACTTATTTTCATGTGTTTGTCAGGTGAGCCAAAGCAACCATGAAAACAAACCTGGAAATAGCAGAGGAGCCTATATCTTCACATGAGTCAGGTGCAGAGAGACCTATATTGCCTTTTTCCACCCAACACAGAAGCAAGCAGAGAAACCTGGTCCCAGTGACCACTTCAGCCTCCCCTCTATTTTATCAGACCCTAGCTAGATGGGGAGAGGAGGCTGGGGCTCCCACATATTCTTTTTGGACCTCTGACACCAGATGTATGGGTTTTCTTTTTTTTTTTTTTTTTTTTTAAGATTTTACTTATTTATTTGACAGAGAGAGAGACAACCAGAGAGGGAATACAAGCAGGGGGAGTGGGAGAGGGAGAAGCAGGCTTCCCGTTGAGCAGGGAGCCCGATGTGGGGCTTGATCCCAGGACCCTGGGATCATGACCTGAGCCGAAGGCAGACGCTTAATGACTGAGCCACCCAGGCGCCCCAGATGTATGGGTTTTCTACACATCAAGCAATTCTGCAACACAGACAATTTAACTCAATTCTGATGATGAGGGAGCAGAAGGCAAGCTAAGGACAAAGCACAAGCTGACACCCCACAACCCCTGCCCCCAAGGTGGGATATATGTGACATTCCTCAGCACTCTTGGCTGCCCTAAAGCTAAGGGAAGAAAAAAACAAATGGTTAATTTATAGAGATTATAGTCCTACAGGACAGGAGTCTCCCTTAGTTTACAAATGTCTTAGTGATTTACAAGAAAAAAAGCACTTATCAATAACCTAACTTCCAGAAGGAAATGTAGATAAAATTAAATGTCCTTATAACCTGCAGCCCATTGACAAATACTTGAGGCAGGCAGAGTATAATGTCCAGGAAGCTCCCAACTGTCTTCATGTTAATGCTTTACTAGAGAAGGGCTCAGTCCCACAAAACTGCCCCCTCTTCAGATGCCAAATACAAGTCCAGGTTGTTACCAGTGCTTCCAACTGACTGGCTATAAATTGGAGGGTCCCACTATCCCTCCTTGGGTTTAATTAATTTGCCTGAGTGGCTCACAGAACTCAAGAAAACAGTTTACTTACTAGATTACCAGTTTATTATAAAAGGATATAACTCAGGAACTGCCAGATGGAAAAGATGCATAGGGCAAGGCATATGGGAAGGGGTGTGGAGTTCCATGCTCTCTCTGGGCAAGCCACTCACCCAGCACCTCCACCTGTTCACCAACCTGAAAGCTCTCCAAACTCTGTCCTTTTGGAGGTTTTATGGAGGCTTCATTACACAGGTGCGACTGATTAAAATCATTGGCCATTAGTGCTTGATTCAATCTCCAGCCCCTCTCCCCTCTCCACAGGTCAGACTGGACTTAAAGTTCCAACAGCCTAATCACACAGTTGGTTCCTCTAGCAACTAGCCCCCATCCTTAGAAGATCTGGATGCTTTCCAAAAATCACCTCATTAACATAAACGCAAGTGGGTTGAAGGGACTTGTTATATAAATAACAAAAGACACCATTTCACTTTCATTGCCCTGGAGCTATTTCAGGAATTGAGAACAAAAGCAAATATTACAACAGAACATGCCCCTATGTCTCTTATATAGGAAATTATAGGAGCTGTGTCTAGAAACAGTGGATGAAGACCAAATATATATTTAATCACAATATCACAGGGAAAGAAAGAGGGAAATTCATTTCACTGGAAAATAAAATTAGTATAAAATGGAATTGCCTTAACTTCTAACTTCCGTTTAGGATATAGAAAGCCGGGAAAAGCATCACTCCAACTCCAATAACAAGAAAAAGCCAAACAATCTACAAAACCGTAACTTTTCTTGAAGCCATCGGAGAGCTGAGGTTACAGGGCAACCTACCAGACTGAAATTTTAGGAAAAACAGGCACCTCCACGAAGAGATGCAAGCTCTGGTTCACCTGTGGCAGAGGGAGAACGATGGGACCAACACGCAGGCAAGTAAGAAGAACTCAGGTACAATTCTTAATGAATTTTACTAAAGGTCTTGTGTGGTTTAGCAAGAGCATAGACACCCAGGGGTTTTTCTCCATAGACTTCAGTAGACTGGATGTTCATTAAAAAATACTAGGCAGGAGGGGCGCCTGGGTGGCTCAGTCGTTAAGCGTCTGCCTTCAGCTCAGGTCATGATCCCAGGGTCCTGGGATCGAGCCCCACATCGCATCGGGCTCCCTGCTCCGCGGGAAACCTGCTTCTCCCTCTCCCACTCCCCCTGCTTGTGTTCCCTCTCTCGCTGTGTCTCTCTCTCTGTCAAATAAATAAATAAACTCTTAAAAAAAAAAATACTAAGCAGGAGGCCAGAGACAACTTCTCAGTAGTGCTAGTCTGGAGAAGGAAAGCAACCGCTACTCTGGGGAAAATGCAAAGGTCCACCAAGTCCTTTTTCTAAAGAATAAAAATCTTACACCCCTGGGGAAAGGGTGGTAAACTCTGTCCCTCCCAAGGCAGCTGGGGCAGAGTAAAAGAAAAATAAAACACCACTTTATGCCTGGGGGAAAGGCAGGAAATTCTGATCTGGACCATTAGAAGTATCCTACCTCTGGGGCAAGGGCAGGATCACCAGAAAGATCTACACCCCTCTTCCCCCCAGAACCAGAAAAACAGGGCCTGCCTAACACTGAGGCTGAACCAAGACAACAGGGAATCCCTGCTCCCCACCAGCAGGTAAGCAAGCACCCAGCAACAAAAGAAAGACCTAAAGCTGAGAGTAAAGCATAAACATTGAGGAAAAGCCCTCCCACCAGCAAATCCATCCTAAACCTGAGGAATTTGAAGGCCCGTGTGCACCTAAGGTAACCACAACAACAAAACCCAAACCCAACTCACCTCCTAACTGACTGGAACTCCCACGCTAATACCCTAATAAAAGAAGACATGTACCTAGAGTAAATACTTGCCTCAGTTTCTACTGTTTTAAGTCCTACATCTAGCAATCAGTAACAAATTACAAGCAACACAACAAAAAGCAAGAGAAACAACCCACTATCAAGAAGCAAAGTAATCAGGGGCACCTGGGTGGGTTGTTAAGCATCCAACTCATGATTTTGGCTCAGGTCATTATCTCAGGGTTGTCAGATCAAGCCCCGTGTCAGGCTCTGCACTCAGCAAGGAGTCTGCTTGGGATTCTCTCTCTCCCCCAAACAAACAAACAAACAAACAAATAAATAAATAAAATCTTTAAAAAAAAAAAAAGGAAAGAAGCAAAGTAATCAACAGGAAAAGACTTAGAGATGACCGGAATATTGGAACTACCAGACAAGAAATTTAAAATAACTATGATTAATACATTAAACACTCTAATGGAAAAGTTAGACAGCATGCAGAAACAGATGTGAAATTTCAGCAGAGAGATGAAAACCATTAAGAGTCAAAGTGGGAAAAAGTGAAAAAAAAAAAAAAATAGAATGGAACCCCCAAGAGCTGAAGGATAATATCAAATGGTCTGAGGTAAATATAAAAAAATACTTTTTGGAAAAAAAACTTTTGGGGTGGCTATTTTTATTTGCTTTAGAATATAATTGACTGCCTCAAGTAAAAATAGTAGCAATGAATTGTGGATTTATAGCATATATAAAAGTAAAATATATGAGGGGAGCCTGGGTGGCTCAGTCAGTTGAGTGTCTGCCTTCTGCCTTGGGCTGGGGTCATCCCAGGGTCCTGGGATCAGCTTGCATTGGGCTCCCTGCTCAGTGGGGAGGCTGCTTCTCCCTCTCCTTTTGCCCCTTCCCCTGCTCATACTCCCTCTCTCTCTCTCTAATAAATAAAATCTTTTTATTTTTTTTCTTTTTATTTTTTAAAAGATTTTATTTATTTATTTGACAGGGAGACAGCGAGAGCAGGAACACAAGCAGGGGGAGTAGGAGAGGGAGAAGCAGACTTCCCGGTGAGCAGGGAGCCCGATGTGGGGCTCGATCCCAGGACCCTGGGATCATGACCTGAGCCAAAGGCAGTCGCCTAACGACTGAGCCACCCAGGTGCCCCAAAATCTTTTTTAAAAAAAGGAAAATGGGGGCGCCTGGGTGGCTCAGTCGTTAGGCGACTGCCTTTGGCTCGGGTCATGATCCCAGGGTCCTGGGATCGAGCCCCGCATCGGGCTCCCTGCTCCGCGGGAAGCCTGCTTCTCCCTCTCCCACTCCCGCTGCTTGTGTTCCCTCTCTCGCTGTATCTCTCTCTGTCAAATAAATAAAATCTTTTAAAAAAATAAATAAATAAATAAATAAAGGAAAATGTATGACAACAAAAGCACAGAGACAGAAGGAAAAATGGGAGTTATACAGTTGTAAATTTCTTTTATGTGAAATAATGTAATGTACTTAAAAAAACACTAAGAAGATTAAAAGAAGGGGTATAAATAATGAACCAATGGTGGAAATAAAAAAATACTCAAACCAAAAGTAGGCAGCAACATGGATGGACTTAGAAGGTATTACACTAAGAGAAATAAGTTGGCAGAGAAAAACAAGTATCATTATGAGTTCACTTATCTAAAAAACAAAACAAACGAACAACAAAAAAGGACTCATGAATACATAAAACAAACTGGTGGTGCCAGAGGGGAGGGGGGTGAAGGGATGAGCAAAAGAGGTGAAGGGGTATTAAGATGTACAAACTTCCAGTCATAAAATAAATAAGTTACAGAGATAAAAAGTACAGCATAGGGGCGCCTGAGTGGCGCATTCAGTTAAGCCTCCAACTCTTGATTTCTGCTCAGGTCATGATCTCAGGGTCATGGGATCAACCGAGTAGGGCTCCATGCTCAGTGGGAGTCGGCTTGTTCCTCTCCCTCTGCTCCTCTGCTGCTCATGCTCTCCTCTCTCTCAAATAAATAAATAAAATCTTTTTTAAAGAAGTACAGCATAGAAAATATAGTCAATAATATTGTAATAGCAGTGTATGGTGACAGATGGTAACTAGACTTATCATGGTGAGCATGTACGGAATTGTGGAATCACAATGTTGTACACCTGAAACTAATATAACATTGCATATCAAATATACTTAAATAATAAAAAATTTTTAAGAAGGCAGAAAAAAGAACATATGCAACAAATAGAAAACAGAAGACAACTAGCAAGATGGACGATTTTAACCCAACCATCCCAATAATAACATGAAATGTAAGTGATCAAAACATACCAATTAAGAGATAGACACTGACAGAACAAATTAGATAAAAACGCAAAACCCAACATGTAGTCTATGAGAAACACGCTTTAAATATAAAGACATTGGGGCACCTGGGTGGCTCAGTTGGTTAAGCGTCTGCCTTCGGCCCAGGTCATGATCTCAGGGTCCTGGGATCCAGCTTAGCAAGGAGTCTGCTTCTCCCTCTTACTCTCCCTCTGTGCTCTCTCTCTCTCAGTGAATAAAATATTAAAAAAATAATAAATATAAAAACATAAAGGGGTGCCTGGGTGGCTCAGTTGGTTAACTTTTTATCTCAGCTCAGATCTTGATCTCAGGGTAGTTAGTTCAAGCCCCTCGTTGGGCTCCATGCTGAGTGTGGAGCCTACTTAAAAATTAACAAATAAATAAATAAATACAAATAAGTTCTAGGTAAAAAGATAGGAAAAAATAAATCATGCAAACACTGATCGAAAGGTGGAGTAGCTATATTCACATCAGACAAAATAAACTTCAGAATAAGAAATACTGCTAGGGATAAAGAGGGACATTACATAATGATAAAGAGGTTAATTCACCAAGAAGACAATTCTAAGTGTGTGTTTCCTCCAACAACACAGCTTCAAAATACATAAAGCAATTTCATAGATATGAAAAGAGAAATACACGAATCCACGATTACGCTGTGACTTCAAAGCACCTCTCTCAGTCATCAACAGAATACGCAGACAAATAATCAGCAAGATCTAGGGGCACCTGGCTGGCTCAGTCGGTAGAACATGAGACTCTTAATCTTAGAGTCACGAGTTCAAGCCCCATGGAGGGGGTGTGGGGGGGGGAAAGAAAATCAGCAAGATCTAGAAGGCCTGAAAATGGAATGTCCCAACATAGCTCTTGTCTAAGGAATTATGTGAATTCTGAGTGGGAAAGAAAAAAAATAGCATCTGCAATAGGGTTTACCTCCACATAGGAGAGCGGAACAGGCTAGAGGTGGGAGACAACCTTCTAAGCAGAAAAAACACTGCTTTGGCTCCTCAAGTTTCACAACAGAGTATCAACCCTACTATATCTCAGTTGGTATCAGAACACTGTTAGGAACCCTCCCTCAAGCTCCTGCCTGAGGCCTTTAAGACCAATTCCAACCTTCTTAGCAGGGCCTTATCACTATATCCCCGCACCCCACCCCACCCCACCCCGACCCCAAAGTCCCACCCAAGGTCCTGTCCCACTGAATTACCTGCAGTTTCTAGAACCTGGAGTAGTCCAGCGTTTCCAGAGTCCATCAGACAAACATATTTTTGCTCATACTGAGCCCTCTGCTTCTAACACCCTTCTTCTACCACCGTTTCCCCAACAGCCTAGCTGCCATCTTTCTCCATATATCTCTTTGTGCCCATAAGATTTGTAATACATACTTCTGCCTTAGCAACCACCTCATTCTGTTGCATTTACTTAGCTTCAGTCTCCCAACTAGTTTGTGAGTTCCTCATCTATTTTAACAGCACGCAGGACAAGGCCTAGCATAGGTTCAGTAGTCAGTCCCTGAGCACTGAATAAAATATACCAAGGACAGAAAATAGCTAAGAGATAATACACAACAAACCCTACTGAAAGTCTTAAGACCTTAAGTGGTTCCTAATATTTTGTCAAAGTACTTGCTCTTTAAGTAACAGATGGTGGAGAAAAAAATGATAAAAAGCAACTCTGACTACAATAATGGTTTTGAATTCTTTTGCATTTAATCAGTCACCATATTATCTACATACATTCTCAAAAGGGCAGTCCATACCTGTGTGAGATGCATTGTTTATCCCCACAGAATAGATTTGCAGACCTTCTTCAACAATGGGATGAAAATCAAGGAGCTCATAACTAAGCCGCTATCTCCAGCTCAGTAGCCTGGTATTTAGGGGAAAGAGTGTGCAACAAAATCTTACCAGATCACCCTCTCTGAACTGGCTATCCTTCTGCCTTTAATTTTTATCCAATTGATAAGAGAAATCGGCATGTGAAGATCACACACAGTATCAGATTCTCAGTCTCTTTCTCATACAGTTTCTAAAATCACTATTGAAGAGGCGCCTGGGCGGCTCAGTCGTTAAGCGTCTGCCTTTGGCTCAGGTCATGATCCCAGATTCCTGTGATCCAGCCCGGAGCCCCGCACTGGGCTCTCTGCTCAGCGGGAAGCCTGCTTCTCCCTCTCCCACTCCCCCTGCTTGTGTTCCCTCTCTCGCTGTCTCTCTCTCTCTGTCAAATAAATAAATTAAAAATCTAAAAAAAAAAACAAAAAAACATTTACTTTAAAATGTAAAAAAATTTAAAAATCACTATTGAAGACAATTTCCAAATTCAGCATACCCTCTAAGTTTCTGTTGTGAAAAACTAACATTAAACCCTGCCTGTAAGGACACAATGCAGCTTTCTAGCAGGTTTTCATCCTATTTTACAGGCTCCTGCACCAGATAATAAAGGAATTCATCAGACCACTAACATTGCCTCATGAAAATTTAACCATGAAACTATCATATGCAATTTTCAGGGGGAAAAAAAAGGGAAGAATCTTTCAAAGTTCAATTACAAAGAATACTTTACAACCTGGATTTAAAAACTCTTTTATAGGGGCACCGGGTGGCACACTTGGTTAAACGTATGACTCCTGGTGTCTGCTCAGGTCATGATCCCAGGGTCGTGAGATGGAGCCTCATGTTGGGCTCTGTGCTTAGCGCAGAGTGTGCTTAAGACTCTCTCTCCCTCTGGTCCTCCTCCCATGCCCATGCTCTCTCTCTCTGTCTCTCAAAATAAATAAATCTTTATTTTTTTTTTAAGATTTCATTTATTTGTGTGTCAGAGAGAGAGAGAGTGCGCGAGCACAAGCAGGGGGAGCTGCAGGCAGAAGAAGCAGGCTCCCCGCTGAGCAGGGAGCCCAATGTGGGGCTCAACCCAGGACCCTGGGATCATGACCCAAGCAGAAGGCAGACACCCAACCAACTGAGCCACACAGGCATCCCAAATAAATAATCTTTTAAAAAAATAAAATGGCAACTGGGTGGCTCAGACATTAAGCATCTGCCTTTGGCTCAGGTCATGATCTCAGGGTCCTGGGATTGAGCCCCGCATCGGGCTCCCTGCTCAGTGGGAAACCTGCTTCTCCCTCTCCCACTCCCCCCTGCTTGTGTTCCCTCTCTCGCTGTGTCTTTCTCTGTCAAATAAATAAATAAAATCTTTAAAAATAAATAAAAATAAAATGAAATGAGAACTCTTGGGGCACCTGGGTGGCTCAGTCGTTGAGCCTCTGCCTTCGGCTCAGGTCATGATCCCAGAGCCCTGGGATCGAGCCCCACATCAGGCTCCCTGCTCGGCAGGAAGCCTGCTTCTCCCTCTCCCACTCCCCCTGCTTGTGTTCCTTTTCTCACTGTCTCACTGTGTCTCTCAAAATAAATAAATAAAATCTTAAAAAAAAAAAAAGAAAGAACTCTTTTATAATTAATGACCACAGGGGAAAAGATTGTTGAGAAAAAATACTAAAATCTCTACTGTGGTGAAAACAGAGGGCTCTTTCTTTTCTATACTTCTCTGAGTCTTATATATTTTCCACAATTAATAGGCGTTAACTTTTTTAATGCTTAACTCTCCTTCTCTCCCTCTCTCTCTCTATATATATAGTATCCCTATATCAAATGAAAAACTTACGTAACTCTACATTTATTATGTTTTTGCCTAAGATACCAGGAAACTCAATATCAAATTCAGCACCTAATCACAGTGAATAAATACCCTCACTTTCAACAGTATGTGATATCTAGTCTTTTCCATTGACTTTGGTTTTCAATTTCTTTTTAACAACCTCATTGAAGTATCTTTAATTATAAACCACCACAATTACTCTTCAGAAAAAGAAACAATTTAATATACAATTTTATATAATATAGTGTTACATAACTGTTAATTATATGTGAGCCATTTTTCATTAATAGTATCCTGTTTGTATCTTGCACAAATAACTGAAACTCTTTACAAATCGCAAAGATCCAAGATCTAATAGAAAACAGAACAATAATATTCACCTGCGAGGAAATAAGCAAACATCACACTTTCATAAGCTGCCTCATCATAAATGGTCAGGTACTGAGAAGAAAATGGAAGTCTTCACAGCAAGGCCTAATTCCATTTGTCTGTCTTGGCCATTTAACCTCTGCAACAAAGAGTAAGAGGCAGCTTATCAAAAAATGAACCTAATAAGCAACAGGATGATATTTCCCTTTGTAAAATTTAAGTTTTACATGCCTGGCAGGGGCAGCACTCAATTACTGAGAAGTTCCGTCACACCCACAGTGGAGTGTAACTGAAGCAACCAGCCCACACGTGTCAGAGAACTAACCCGGTCATCTCAAATCATGCATGTCTAGACAGCTGCTGCTCCCCAAGTCCCAGGTCCTGTAAGCCCTGTTTGTGTCACTTTTGTAAAAATATATCCACACCCTGGAGACTATAGCAGGAAACACGCACGACAGAGGTCAGGAAATTTCCTGTACCAAGAAGGGCCAAGGAGATCAGTCACATAACTGGTATTTACTTTTAGTCTGCAATAAAAAAATATGTCCACAGCCAGACAGGGAAGAAGGAAGATAAGAAAAAAATCGTTTGTGGTTTTCTGCATATTTGTCAGGAGAGGGAAATCAAATATAAGAACTTGAATGGCAGTCTGAGAACCAAGCTGGGAAGCAAAAGCCATTAGTACGCAAGGGCACCTTAGCAATGTAGGCAGACTGGGCAGTTTCCTCTTACAGGGCTTCACAGCAAGCAAAGAGAGACAAAAATGAGCTCAGGAAGCACTCACAGACTTTCACAAAGTCTGCTCCTCCCAGATCTTCAAATCAGAGAGCAGCTCTCAGAGAAGCACCAGATGGCTGAGCATTCGGCTACCACGATGCTAGATTTGCTGGCAGTGCTTTTTTCCCCCCATCAAGGGCAGAGACCGAATTCTTTTGAACTGTGTCACCAAGCACACCGCCCAGTGCACACAAGAGGTACTCAAAAACATCTGTTAAATATTGATTCCAATTTATACTGACCATTACACAATGTGGTACCCAGACTGTTTGCTCAGTGCTTAGTGAAGAATTCTCAGAATGTTTTACAAGTATCTCCTTCCATTTATAACATGAGATGATCAAACAAGGTGACAGGACATGAAGACACGAGAGAGAGCCATCACAGCAGGAGCACCCGGTTCCCTAGCACCAACAGGCCAGCCCTGCAAGCTCGGGAGGGCCCTAGACAATCTCGCAGCACCCCAGGAAGCTCTGATCCTGCGGTACAAACTCTTGCATTTGCAGTTTCTCACAGCCCAGGTTCTCCTTCGCATCACACTCAGCGTCCGGTATCGCCCCGTCTCTCACACAGTCAGCATCGCACTCAGAGACTCTATCACCACAGTGTCCCTCACACTCTCAGCCTCTCCCACACTTGTGGAGTCACCCTCACACTCAGGCTCTCACACCCTCAGGGTTTCTCTCTCTCTCCCTCCCACACACACACACACACACACACACACACACACACTCCCTCCCTCTCTGTCTCTCTCTCTGTCTCTCTCTCCCCCCTTCTGGTCTAGGGCGCCTGTCTCTCACGCACACCCAGAGTCTCCTTCACACCAAGGTCTCTCCCATACTATCAGCGTCATCTTCTCACTCAGGGTGTTTCTTGCGCGCGCACACAGTCACGCTCAGACTCAGGGGGTCTCTCACACTCACACACGTAGTCCTCCTCACGCGCTGGGTCTTCCACTCAGGGTTCCCCCCACTCCGGAGCCCCCTCACGCTCGCAGTCCCTCTTACACGCACAGCGTCACCCCTCCGGCACGCTCTCGCCGCCGCGTCTCTCACGTGCCGCCCGCCCGCCCGCCCCGCGCACGGGTTGGCGGGCCCGCACCCCGCACGCTGCGGCGGCGGCGGCCGCGCGGAAAGTTCGGCCTCCGGGACGCGGCCCCGGCCCCGGCCCGGCCCCGGCCCCGCTTCCCCCGCGCGCCCGCCCGCGGCCCGTTACCTCGCAGTAGCCAGGCGCCCACAGGATGCTCGGTAGCTCGACCGCTTGGGCCGCCGCGGCCGCTCAGGCCCCGCCCCCGCCACGTCACGCGCCGCCGGATCGCGACAGCGCGCGCCGCGTCGGGACAGGGCGCTCAGCTCCGCGCGCGGGGTTGGCTTGCGGCGTCGCTTCTGGGCCTCTGGGGCCCGCCGCGGCCTCAGGGATCGGCCGACCCGGCTCGGGAGTGCGGTCCCAGCGTCTGCGTGCACTTGGCTGCCCGTGACCAGGGCCCGGCCACCCTCGCTCTAAATGGCCCGCACAGCCGGTTCCTATGTGGCTCTTGGCCACACAGCTTACACAAGGAGCTCTAAACAGCCGCCATACCCTGTTCACCACCATCCCCTTCCCTGCGCACCTTAGGAAGACACAGACCCAGGACCTGTCCTCCCACATTCACAGCTCAGCTCCAGCTCAAGTCCACTGAGGCCTCCACAGACACAGGAACACTGTTTCCCCCCCCCCCCCCCGGCCCCTGGGGCTCAGGCTTGAGGACATTTTTCCATCTTCAACTTGTGTGACCCTACTAACATCCGGGGGGGGGGGGGGCCTGCACCCTCCTGTCTTCCTCTACCTCTGGCTGCTCCTCCTCCTTTCCTTCTAGGGGTTCTTTTTCTCTGGTAGCTCTGGGCTCTTCTAGGTCTCCCGACCTCATGGGCAGCTGAGCCCTCCGCCTTAGCTTCCTTTCCACAACCTCAAGCCATGACTCCCTCCTGGGACATGGAGTCATTTCCCCTGACAAGTGTTTACAACTGCACACCCTCTGATTCCAGACTGACCATACCCAAAGCCCTGCTCCCCATCACCCAGTGACGCAGCCAGAGATGGGCAGCACACCTTCCTCCTCCTGCCCCCCAAGGACCTGCAGGTTTTCTCATGGTTTTCTTCACTCCAGCTCTAGTAGCCTCCCGATCCCTACCCTGTTCCTTCTAACCCATCCCCACAGGGCAATGACTTTGTATCTCCTCTGCCTAAAAACCCCTCTGTTCTCCTACCTATAGACCTGAGACAATGAACCTTGAAGAACCCTCACTCGTATGCCCTCCTCGTGCTCTCTGCTTGGACTACCCTCCCTAAGTGTGAATGAGAGTATATGTATATTTGGAGTCATTAGAATCTGACCCTTTAACCCCTGGATCCCTTCCTTCTGTCTCCCTGGCCAGGCAGAGGAAGGACCGCCCGCGCTCACTTGTGTCACTCAGTGGCAGCTGGTCCACTTATCCCTGCAACAAACGCATACATGACCTGCCAGCATCCAGCTCTCTGGCTTTGCTGTCTCACACCCGGTTACAACAACCCGCTGTGAAAGCCCACTATGCAGCAAGCACTGAATTAGATGTTCCCCAATACCATCAGTGTTCCTCAGGACCACCCTGCAGGGCACATTTATTCAGCTCCATTCTTCAGATGAGCAAGCTGAGGCTCAGGGAGGTAAGGAGACTCCCCAGGCTACTTGCCTGGACCTGGTAGAGCTCAGATTTGAACCCCAGTCAGCTGGTCTTAAAGCCTGCTGTGACTCCATGCTCTCTCTCTCCAGCTGTGAAACCAAGGATGGCAGTGGGACTAAAACAGGTCAGGGGTGAGTAGGTGGCTGTTAAGGCCACCACAAGGAGTGGCAGGGGAGGGTGGGTGTCAGGGCAGAGCTGGGACTCAGGCTGGGTAGGACCTGGAGGTAAGGGGTTTGCACCCTTTTGTGCTGTTATTCTTTTACCAGAGCCAGCAATTGCAGCTGGGCATCCTCCCCCTCTCTTCCAGGTTTGGCCAATAACTAGTGCAGTGAGGGTTCAGAGCGCCCTCTAGTGGTCCAGGGTGTATTGAAGCCTGAAGCCCAGGCCGGGTTGGCTCTGTGGAGGTGGCAGGTACTGGGGCTCCCACCAGCCCCACAGCCCTCAACCCCCTCTCTGGGCTCTGCACCACAGACAGTCCTGGACCCCATCCCTATACATGTTTCCCTAGATCAGGCTCTCTGTTTCCCTGTCTTTATCCATCTCCATTGGTTCCGTCTCGGTCCCTGTCTCTGCCCATCTTGGTCTCTGACCTAGTCTCAGCCTAGTTTCTCCTCCTCCCTCAGTCTCTGTCCCAAGGGAGACAGATGGTGGGCAGACAAACTGAAGAAGCAAAGTAGAAGGGTGGTGTCTTAAAAAGAACTCTAGGGTCAAAAGATGCTGAGACCTGAAAGGTTAGAGAGGACAAAAAGGTTGGGCAGCAGAGTCCAGCCAGGGTGACCTGAAGGACTGTCCTCTGCCCCCAGCTCTGTGGCAGTATGTGGGGCCTGCCGGCCAAGCAGGAGCAGAGGGAAAGCAGGAGCCACATTCCAGTGGGAATGTTTCAGGTCCTGGTTCTTAATCCCAGGAGGAGAAATAGATTCCAGGAGATGGGGCAGGAGGGTAAGGCCCAAATAGGTGCGTAGGAGCCATGCTTTGGTGCTGATAGAACCCATCAAGGCCCCAGGAAGGGTCCAGCCTGATTACCTGCCTCTCTAGCCCCTTCACCCCTCCACTACCTCCCTCCTCTCATGCTCAGAAGAGAGCCTCAGCCAGGGTACTTTACAGCATCCAGAATATTTTTATTGCCAGAATCAAGGTACAGCCTGCTTAGAGCTCCATGAGGGGCCCACCATCCAGGAATACAAGGAGAGAGATGCTGGGTATGTTCCCAAAGAGAAAATCCAGCTCCACAGAAACCTGGTGGGAGAGCAGCCCAGTCCGGCCCGACTGTGGCTCTGGGGTCCCATCCTAGAGGCTAGACTCGAGTCTTGGCCTACAGCCATCGCCCACTTGGAGATGACTGCCACCAAGGCAGATCCAGACTCTCCAGCCCTGCTATCATAGGAAGATCCATGAAGCACCTCTGGAGCAGACAAAAAACTACCCGGGGAGCCCCAAGCCACCTGGCTCTCTCAGGGGCCCACTCAAGTTTCGGGGCTAGTCTCTGCAGACTAAACACCAGTGAGCTGCCTGGTGGGAGTAGGTGCTGAGGAAGACGGGCAAGAGCCCTACCTCCTCTCAGCCCTGTGCCAGCCCACCTGGGTGCTAGAAAAACCCCAGGGCAGGGTGGTAATGTGGTGGTGGGGTTATCAAGAGGGCAGCTCAGGGTACCTCTGAACGGCCT